TTAGTTTTCAATTTGTTAATATGGTGTATCACATTGATTGATTTCTGTACATTGAAGAATCCTTGCATCCCTGGGATAAATCCCACTCGATCATGGTGTATTTTTAATGTGTTGTTGGATTCTGTTTGCTAGCATTTTGTTGAGGATTTTTGCATCTATATTCATCAATGATATTGGTCTGTAATTTCCTTTTTTTATAGTATCTTTGTCTGCTTTTGGTATCAGGGTGATGGTGGTTTCATAGAATGAGTTTGGGAGTGTTCCTTCCTCTGCAGTTTTTTGGAAGAGTTTGAAAAGGATGAGTGTTAGCTCTTCTCTAAATGTTTGATAGAATACACCTGTGAAGCCATCTGGTCCTGGACTTTTGTTTGTTGGAAGATTTTTAATCACAGTTTCAATTTCATTACTTGTGATTGGTCTGTTCATATTTTCTATTTCCTCCTGGCTCAGTCTTGGAAGGTTATACCTTTCTAAGAATTTGTTCATTTCTTCCAGGTTCTCCATTTTATTGGCATAGAGTTGCTTGTAGTAGTCTCTTAGGATGCTTTGTATTTCTGTGGTGTCTGTTGTAACTTCTCCTTTTTCATTTCTAATTTTAATGATTTGAGTTCTCTCCCTCTTTTTCTTGATTAGTCTGGCTAATGGTTTATCAATTTGGTTTATCTTCTCAAATAACCAGCTTTTAGTTTTATTGATCTTTGCTATTGTTTTCTTTGTTTCCCTTTCATTTATTTCTGCTCTGATATTTATGATTTCTTTCCTTCTAATAACTTTGGGTTTTGTTTGTTCTTCTTTCTCTAGTTCCTTTAGGTGTAAGGTTAGATTGTTTATTTGAGATGTTTGTTGTTTCTTGAGGTAGGATTGTATTGCTATAAACTTCCCTCTTAGAGCTGCTTTTGCTGTATCCCATAGGTTTTGGATCATCATGTTTTCATTGTCATTTGTCTCTAGGTAGTTTTTGATTTCCTCTTTGATTTCTTCAGTGATCTCTTAGTTATTTAGTAAAGTATTGTTTAGCCTCCACATGTTTGTGTTTTTGATGTTCTTTTCCCTGTAATTGATTTCTAATCTCATAGCGTTGTGGCCAGAAAAGATGCTTGATATGATTTCAGTTTTCTTAAATTTACTTAGGCTTGACTTGTGACCCAAGATGTGATCAATCCTGGAGAATATTCTGTGCGCACTTGAGAAGAAAGTGTAATCTGCTGGTTTTGGATGGAATGTCCTATAAATATCAATTAAATCTATCTGGTCTATTGTGTCATTTAAAGCTTCTGTTTCCTTATTAATTTTCTGTTTACATGATCTGTCCATTGGTGTAAGTGAGGTGTTAAAGTCCCCCACTATTACTGTGTTACTGTCGATTTCCTCTTTTATAGCTGTTAGCAGTTGCCTTATGTATTGAGGTGCTCCTATGTTGGGTGCATATATATTTATAATTGTTATATCATCTTCTTGGATTGATCCCTTGATCATTATGTAGTGTCCTTCCTTGTCTCTTGTAACATTCTTTATTTTAAAGTCTGTTTTATCTGATATGAGTATTGCTACTCCAGCTTTGTTTTGATTTCCATTTGCATGGAATATCTTTTTCCATCCCCCAACTTTCAGTCTGTATGTGTCCCTAGGTCTGAAGTGGGTCTCTTGTAGACAGCATATATATGGGTCTTGTTTTTGTATTCATTCAGCAAGCCTCTGTCTTTTGGTTGGAGCATTTAATCCATTCACTTTTAAGGTAATTATCGATATGTAGGTTCCTATTACCATTTTATTAATTGTTTTGGGTTTGTTTTTGTAGGTCCTTTTCTTCTCTTGTGTTTCCCACTTAGAGAAGTTCCTTTAGCATTTGTTGTAGAGGTGGTTTCGTGGTTGCTGAATTCTCTTACCTTTTGTTTGTCTGTGAAACTTTTGATTTCTCCATCGAATCTGAATGAGATCCTTGCCGGGTAGAGTCATCTTGGTTGTAGTTTCTTCCATTTCATCACTTTAAATATGCCATGCCACTCCCTTCTGGCTTGTAGAGTTTCTGCTGAGAGATCAGCTGTTAACCTTATGGGAGTTCCCTTGTATGTTATTTGTCGTTTTTCCCTTGCTGCTTTCAATAATTTTTCTTTGTCTTTAATTTTTGCCAATTTGATTACTGTGTGTCTAGGCATGTTTCTCCTTGGGTTTATCCTGTATGGGACTCTCTGTGCTTCCTGGACTTGGGTGGCTATTTCCTTTCCCAGGCTAGGGAAGTTTTCGACTATAATCTCTTCAAATATTTCCTCGGGTTCTTTCTCTCTCTCTTCCCCTTTTGGGACCCCTATAATGCGAACGTTGTTGCACTTAACGTTGTCCCAGAGGTCTCTTAGGCTGTCTTCATTTCTTTTCATTCTTTTTTCTTGATTCTGTTCTGCAACAGTGAATTCCACCATTCTGTCTTCCAGATCACTTATCTGTTCTTCTGCCTCAGTTATTCTGCTATTGATTCCTTCTAATGTAGTTTTCAATTCAGTTATTGTATTGTTCATCTCTGTTTGTTTGTTCTTTAATTCTTCTAGGTCTTTGCTAAACATTTCTTGCATCTTCTCAGTCTTTGCCTCCATTCTTTTTCCGAGGTCCTGGATCATCTTCACGATCATTATTTTTTTATATATTTTTTAACATCTTTATTGGGGTTTAATTGCTTTACAATGGTATATTAGTTTCTGCTTTATAACAAAGCGAATCAGTTATACATATACATATGTCCCCATATCTCTTCCCTCTTGCATCTCCCTACCTCCCACCCTCGCTATCCCACCCCTCTAGGTGGTCACAGAGCACCGAGATGATCTCCCTGTGCTATGCGGCTGCTTCCCACTACCTATTTTACATTTGGTAGTGTATATATGTCCATGTCACTCTCTCACTTTGTCACAGCTTACCCTTCCCCCTCCCCGTATCCTCAAGTCCATTCTCTAGTAGCTCTGCATCTTTATTCCCATCTTGCCCCTAGGTTCTTCTGACCATTTTCTTTTTTTTTTTTTTTTAGATTCCATGTGTATGTGTTAGCATACGGTATTTGTTTTTCTGTTTCTGACTTACTTCACTCTGTATGACAGTCTGTAGGTCCATCCACCTCACTACAAATAACTCAGTTTCATTCCTTTTTATGGCTGAGTTATATTCCATTGTGTATATATGCCACATCCCCGCATAGCCCAGGGAGATCAGCTCGGTGCTTTGTGACCACCTAGAGGGGTGGGATAGGGAGAGTGGGAGGGAGGGAGACGCAAGAGGGAAGAGATTTGGGCACATATGTATATGTATAACTGATTCACTTTGTTATAAAGCAGAAACTGACACACCATTGTAAAGCAATTATACTCCAATAAAGATGTTAAAAAAAAAAGACAAATCCATCATAGTGGGATATTACTGACCTCTCTAAATTATTGATAGGTAAAGAAGTCCAAAAATTAGTTAAGTTATAGAAAATTTGAACAAAACAGTTAACAACGTTGATCTAATAGAATGTTTAGAGAGTGCTGATCCACTTCTAAATGGTGTCACACCATTCATGTATATAAATGAATGAAATAAGCTGCTTATTTAAGGGAGTTGATCCATGTTGTTGGTAATGGTGGTGATTTGTATCTGAAGTGATTACTTGGGAGGAGGGGAGATGAAAGAAGGAAGGGACTGCTTCAGTGGGAAGGGTCAGGGGATGAGGCTGTCAGGAGACCCAGGTTCTAATGGCAATTCTGACATAAACTTGTTGTGTGATAGTTTTAAAAAAATATTTATTTATTTATTTGGCTGTGCCGGGTCTTAGTTGTGGCATGCGGGATCTGTACTTGTGGCATGCGAACTCTTAGTTGCCGCATGTGGGGTCTAGTTCCCTGACTAGGGATCAAACCTGAGCCTCCTGCATTGGGAGCATGGAGCCTTAGCCACTGGACCACCAGGGAAGTCCCTGGTTGTGTGATTTTCAACAAACTATTCTCTTGGATCTTATTTCCTCATTTGTAAATTAGAGATGAATGTTCACCCTACCTATTCCCCAGGAATGTTATCAGGTGCAGTTGAAACGTGTGAGTGAAGATGTTGAAAAATATAATGCACTAACATGGGTTAAATTAAACAAGTATTTATTGAATGCCTACTCATGCAAAGCCTGTGGAAGACAGCTGTAGGGGATACAGGGATCCCTGTAGGTGATACAGGGGATGCTTAGATTAGAGATTCTAGTCTAAGAAGTCACACAAATAACCATCAGGTTAACTGTTTATAACCTTTCAGTACCCCCGCCATGGGCCCCCATTGCTCTTAGGAGAAAGACCAGCCATAGTATAGCCTCTGGCTTCATCTCATATATTTTCTCCCTCACTCAGCTTCAATCCCTCACATCTCTGGTTTCCCTCCCACCACAGGACTTCTATACCAGATGTCCCCTCAGCTTGGAAGACCCTTTCACCAAGTTAACACCTTCTCATCCTTCAGATCTCAACTCCATTTCTCAAGGCCCTGTCTCCTGCCTCCCTCAATAGGGCATTCTCCTTTCACATGGCATCTTAGTATAGTGTCCTCCTTTGTAGTAATTTTAATTTTAGGGAGCAATCATTTAGTTAACACCTATTTCCCCTAGTGACTCTAAGTTCTAGGAGGACAGGGTACATGTCTGTTTTTGTTTGCTGGCATATAATAGACGCTCAGTAAACATTTGTAGACAAGCTGACTCATTTTCTGACTGACTGACTGACTGAATGTGCCTGAAGAGAGATCCAAACAAGTACTGTCAGGAAACAAAGGAAGAGGTAATTTTAAAAATGAGCCCTAGAAGAGATTACAAAATGCTGCCTAGATGCTGGTTTGTTGGATGATTGTGATTATCATTGATCAGCTTCAGGTGATCTTGGTGTTTGTTATAACAAAGAAATTGTGGGGTTTTAATTGTTCCCTCTTTCTTAGTATTTTTTAGTAAATTTTTGCTTAATTGATCTGGTCCTAGGAAATAACCCATTCTCTTTTGGCAGCCCAAGCATGAACCTCTCAGCATCTTCTGTGACCTCATGGCTGTGGACTTTGAGGAGATGTGTCACTGGCTCTGCCATCGGAAGCTGGCTACTGCCGCGGAGACATACATCAAGCCCATCTCCAAGCTGCAGGCCACGAATGCCCGCGATGCACTGGCCAAGCACATCTATGCCAAGCTCTTTAACTGGATTGTAGATCATGTCAATCAGGTTCTCCATTCTGCTGTCAAACAGCACTCTTTTATCGGCGTGCTGGACATTTATGGGTAAGTGTATTTGGCTTAGTGGTCTGAGCATTTCTTTCTAGAGACTATCTAGTAACTGTAAGTGGGTATTTGATTATGTTTCCTACTGGTGAGGAGAAGGGAAAATTAGAAGAGAATTTTTAAAAGTCTAATTTCATTTGCTAGTTTGCCTTCTCTGGGTACCTTTCTTTAGTGTTAAAACCCTTCCTGTACATTTGCGCTGTACGATGCCTTTTTCATTATCTGGTTCAGTTTTTCAAAAGAGTGTATGAAATTTCTATTCCCCGTTCCTTTCTATGTGTATATAGACACTGTGCATCTGTGACCTGACAAGAGCAATGGCTTTATCGTAATTCTGATCGTTCCCTACTTGAGGGTGAATATGCCGTCCAAAGCATATACTGTTAGACACATCCATAGGCTGCAGCCTTTAAAAAAATCTCTCTACCACCTGGCTGATGCTTATCTGCTGGGTACATATTTCATGTTACTGAGTTAAAAACCCTTATTTATCTTCATTGATGTGGAAAGGAAGTTTCACAATGTTGAGGAATTTCCTATTTCTTTCTTTCTGATTTGCACATTTTGAATATTTTTTTAAAGTTATTTCTTCCTTTTTCTCCTCTTCCCATATTATTTTTGGTTTTACAGATTTGAAACATTTGAGATAAATAGTTTTGAACAGTTCTGCATAAATTATGCAAATGAAAAACTACAGCAGCAATTCAATATGGTAAGAATTTTCTTGCTTGAATAAGATTCTACCAAAAATTATTCTCTCGAATTCCTAGTATGTGTTTAAAGTTTGGTTTAAGAAATGAAGTTGTGAATTACAATTATTATCTATGGTTTAAAACAGCTAAACTGCTGAGGAATTTAGGATTAGTAAATGCTGCAACCTTGGAAAGACGTTTATGGTCCAGATTGGATTCAAGGTCATCCTTAGATTGCTGTCTGAGAATAGTGAAAACTTGGTCCAAATAAATTGAGAGAGGGAAGCCGAAAGTGTGTTAAGGAGTAATATAGGGGGTGTAAAACTTTGATCCCAGGGATATCCTTCAGTTGGTCGTTCCTGAGGCTAACTATATGTGGAGTTATGACTGTCTTAACTCTTACTTGCTGTATTAGCAAGAGGTCAGAAAAAGAAAGCCAGGACAGATTCTCTTTTCTATATATATATATCAATAAATCAATAGATAATGTTTCAAATGAATAAATAAAAAAATAGCTGGTAAGCATATTCTTTAGAGGTAAATATCAGAAGAAATAGCTGAGGGAGTTAAAAATGGTCACTTCCAGGGAATGAGACTGGGGTTGGGGAGGGATAGGACAAAGGATTGTTGCTCGTCATCATAAAACCTTTGAACTATTTCATTATCAAAAAATATTGCATGTACTTTGATAAAAATTTGGACCACCTTTATTTAGCAAATTAAGCTACTTAGTATAGTGAAATAATGTAGAGGTGATCTTAAAATCCTAGGCTTATGACTGTTTCTACAAGAACACGACTGGTGTATTTTGCATCTCTGCATAAGGAACATTAATAAAAACCTATCAGAGACTAAATTGAGCTTTATTTTTTCTCAAGGTTTTCCTGAGTTTCTTAATATTTTAATCAGTGGCACAGCCTTCTGTTCTCTCCCAGTATATTTTGGCACAAGGTGACTAGAAGTATAAGGAACCAGTGCCAGCCTTATTAAGGACTGGCTAATTTGTTTATTTCTCAAGGACCTCATATCTCTGCATGTGTGTTTCTGACTCTCTCCTTTCTCTTTCCCTCTTTCTGTCTCTATCCATCTGTTTCTCCTCTCTCTCTCTCTCTCTCTCTCACACACACACACACACACACACACACACACTGCATCCTAGCCTCTCTCTGCACAACTGCTCCACTCCCTCTTATCAGATGGCATATATTTTTTTTCTGTTCTGTATATATTTTGTCAAGGTTTCTGCTTCCTCACTCACCTCACACTTCCTGTGAACCAAGCAGTGGTTGGAATGCTCCCATCGTCTTAACTTGTTTAACTCTCATTCATCTTGACTTCTTTCAGCATCAGCTTCCACTGTTAATTGCCTGTTTCCTAGTTTTTGTACCCGAGAAACAGAATTTGATTAACCCAGTTCATTCGTTCATCAGAGATCTCTGGCACTTGACTAGCTGTGACTAGGAGCATGGGGTCTCACAGTAAAGAATTTGGTGCTTAGGACTGCTCCCTCAGCAGGGGCTGTGGGTAGGGTAGTGGGCAGGAGAAACATGGTGATTGGCAGGTTTAGTGCTTGGAGGCATTACCTTATCCACCAAGGATCTCTTGCCATATTGAACCTCATGCCCACCTGTCATTTTGGAAATTGAGAATCGAAAATTTTTGGGGCGCCATGGATTTTTCCAAACTAAACGCAGAGACTTGTATGAGAAACAGGCTCTAAAGTTTGGAGCAGTGTTTTTGTTGTCAATGTGGAAACTGCACTGCATGTAAATTAATGAATTTTAAAAAAGATAGGGCTCATTGTTTTGGAAATTATTGGTACCATCAGACAGGGCATCTTGCTGACACATGGTGCCCTATTTGCCTTCTCATTAATCAAAAGAACAGAAGAAATTTGCTTTCTAATTAACATGACATAAATATTCATATGGATGACAGGTTTGGTTGTTGTTGTTTTTTTTAACTAAAGCTTTTGTAGCTGGTTAGACTATAAATGCTGTAAATGAGCCAAGAGCAGCATTATAATAAGTGTAAAATAAAGTGGAAAAGTTCCAGATGCGTGAGGAGAGTAAAGCATCAGAAATCTTGGTAACCCCTAAGTTTCATGGGGTTTTGGGTTCTAGGAAATATATGTTGTCTGGTAATAGCCACAGAGGGCTTATCTTCCCAGAAAAGTTGCAAGATGTGTGAGATGAACCAAGGTGACAAAGGAGACAAGAAAGAAAGCAGAACCCTCCAAGAACAAATGAGTAGAGGTCATTAGCATCTGTAGAGACTAGAATTTATGGGTTGGCTTCATTGGCTGTGCAGCTTGACCAGGAGCTGCAGCAGTGGTTGGATTGCCCTTCCCTCCTGGACCAACTTAACTACCTTTCACTGAAGGACTCAGATCACACAGCCCTTCCTCAAGGAAGCCTTCCCTCGCCACCCTGTACCCAAACTGGATAAGGACTCCTGCTCTCATAGCTCGCCATTATTTTCCTCTGGAACATTATTACAGTTTGTAATTATATTTCTTGTGATTACTTGATTTCTGTTTCTCCCACTAGTCTTCAAAGTCCATGAGGGCAGAGCCCATGTCTATTTTGCTAATGGTATGCAGTGACTGGCCTAGGATAGGCAGTCAATACATATTTCTGCTAAATGCTTCAGCCATTGCTTCTCAGTGGAGATGAGAAGCATTTAGCAGAAATAGCAATGGATTCATAGTGGTTGCAGCTGCTTGCAGATTTGGATGTAGAAGCCAGAAAAGTAAGCCGTAGATTCCCTGACTGTGGAGGATAATCAAGGCAGACACAAAAGACCAACCAAATGTTAATCTAATTCTGAGACACATGAACTTCAACACCACAGTCCCTTAAGAGAATTACTTTGTTATGCTGTAAGCATCACCCAGAGTGTTTCAGTAGTCTGGAGGGCATCCTCTCTGCATAGTTGTTCAAGGCCAGCTAAGACATTTCTGTGCCCATGTGGTCAGCAACACTGTGCAATAATTTAAGGGACCAAAAAGTATATAGTGCAGTTTGGGATATATATCAAAAAATCAAAAAGACTGCCATATTTATCAGCTATTTAAGTATTCACATACTTAGATTTTCTTGTTTGCCAAAAATCCTATATTGCTGAGGCTTTACTGTCTGTGGTTTATATTTGCTTTCTTATTTTGTTCTCTGCATGTAAATCATGCTTCTCCAAGATTGTTCCTAGAAGCCATTGACTATCTCAAATTATGTTGGTGTCCTTTTATAAATGTTTCTTGACTAACATTATTTATGACAATGATGCAGTAATGCCAACTTTTTCTTTTTCATTTCAGCATGTCTTCAAATTAGAACAAGAGGAATATATGAAAGAACAAATTCCATGGACACTCATAGATTTTTATGATAATCAGCCTTGCATTAATCTTATAGAATCTAAACTGGGCATTCTAGATTTGCTGGATGAGGAATGCAAGGTAAGTATGGCTTTCTGATGTACTTAGTATATGAAAATTGATACATCAAGGTCAAATGGTAAATGGGTTTAAGCAGAGATTCACTAGTATACCATGAGGTGCCATGGTGGCAACAAGTGTAGGTCACCCTAACTTGCATTCTGAAGGGTCACTAGACCCAAAGAGTTCAAAATACATTTGAAACCAGGAGAATCTCCCTTCTCATTGGCATTAGATACAACTACTACCAATTTTAGCCACTTTTGTTATTGATATGCTTATATTTGGTACTTTCTGTTCAGTGGTATGATATAGTTAAAGAAATGCAAGAAATTGTACAAAAGGCATTTTGAATAACAGTTCTAAATATCCATAATTTTAAAATTGACTAGTTGTTCTTTAGTACTGATATATATGGTGGAGAGGGAGTTTTAGCTTTAATATTTGAAGATGCAGCATGTGGAAAATATATCAGATTCCCAGCTTTACTGCTAACTGAGTTATCCTAGACAAATAACCTATCCTTTCTCTTAGTTGCTCTTTAATTTATATGCCATAAATTACCACTTAACGTAGGTTGATCCTCCTAAGCATCCAGATTTCCTGCAACATTAAGAATGCAAAGACAAATACTGTATCTTTTCACGTATATGTAGAATCTAAAAAATAAAACAAACGAATGTAAGAAAACAAAAAGAGCTTCACAGATACTAGAGAACAAACTAGTGGTTACCATTGCGAAGATGGTTAGAAGGAAGGGCAAGATAGGTGAAGGCGGGATTAAGAGGAACAAACTACTAGCTATAAGATAAATAAGAGATACAAGGATGTTATGTACAGCACAGAGAATATAGCCAATATTTTATAATAACTTCACATGGAGTATAATCTATAAAAATATTGAATCACTATATTGTACTGAAACTAATATAATATTATATGTCAACTATACTTCAGTAAACAAAAAGAATGCATGTAAAGGTGCTCTACCTTGCTTGAAATTAAATAAAATGTAAATCAAAACAAAAATGGGATACTGCTTTTTACCTATCAAATGAGTTTAAATTTGATAATACCAAATTGATATTTTTTTAATGACTTTTTTTTTTTTTGCGGTATGCGGGCCTCTCACTGTTGTGGCCTCTCCTGTTGCGGAGCACAGGGTCTGGAAGCGCAGGCTCAGCGGCCATGGCTCACGGGCCCAGCTGCTCCGTGGCATGTGGGATCCTCCCGGACCGGGGCACGAACCCGTGTTCCCTGCATCGGCAGGTGGACTCTCAAGCACTGTGCCACCAGGGAAGCCCCTTAACGATGTTTTTGATGTGGATCATGTTTAAAGTCTTTATTGAATTTGTTACAATATTGCTTCTGTTTTATGTTTTGATTTTTTGGCCACAAGGCATGTGGGATCTTAGCTCCCCAGCCAGGGGTCGAACCCGCACCCCCTACATTGGACGGCAAAGTCTCAATCACTGGACCCCCAGGGAAGTCCACCAGATTGACATTTATTGCATATATACTCTTGATGAAGGGCATAAGTTAGTACAACATATTTTTGAGGAAATTTTACAATATTTGTGAAGATTTTAAATACACATACCTTTTGACCCAGCCGTGGAACTGCTGAGAATTTACCCTATGAATATGCTTACAAAAGTATTCAAGCTTTTTGTGTAAAAGGAGCCATTGTGGCAGTTTTCATAATAACAAAAAATCAGTATCAACCTAGTGGCCATAAATACAAGAATGCTATTGTTAAGAAGAAAAAAAAATGCAAGGAGTTTATAGAATAATCCTATTTGTGTCCATGCCTTTAAAGACAGAAAGATAAAGAAATTGGTGGAAATGGTGAGAGGAGACTATTCTCTATTTTATACCTTTCTGAATTATATAAATGGCCCACTGTGTGCAAATGTTATTTTTATTTAACAAATTTTTAAAAATACATGATAGTCATGATATTTCATCTTTCATCTGTGAGGCTTTTGTTGCTTTAAAAGCATATCGAATATTTATTTGATGACCTCTGGTATAGGCAGGTTGAGTTGCTGAAGGTCTCAGTCATAGCTTTTCATTAGTCATTGGTTTGGGGCCTCTAAGAGAGAAATGTGGAAGGAATGAGTTCCTAAACTGGATGTAAAATTTGTTAGGAAAGCCAAAACATGGTCTCTTGGTTGATGCATCAGAAGCATCTCATAACAATATTCACCTTGTTTTCTTCTTTTTTTCCCCCGAATGTAGATGCCTAAAGGCACAGATGACACTTGGGCCCAAAAATTGTACAACACACATTTGAACAAATGTGCACTCTTTGAGAAGCCCCGTCTATCAAACAAAGCTTTCATCATCCAGCATTTTGCTGACAAAGTAAGGAAGTTTTATTATCTCTTTTCTTTTTGAATACTTAAGCTCAAAGAGGAAAAAAATCAGTAGTCAATAGATAGCATTTTTTTCTTTGCTGAGCTTGCATTCTTTAGCTCCGTTTAGGAAAAGTAAGCTTAAGTGTTGGCTTATTGGTTTTCTCTTTCTTTAACCTAAATGAGATTATATTAAGAAATAAATACATGTTTACAGTCCTCTATCTATAATTCTGAAATCCAAGAAACTCTGAAATCCATGTCTTTTCATAATTCATTTAGTGGCTAAGCCTGATTTTTGACCTGAATTAACCTGAGGTTATTTATAGTCTTTATTTATACCAGTTAGGCTGGATATTTATATATTTCAATGTAGAAATGTTAATATGTTTGATTACAGATTGCTGCCTCAGATTCTGCTAAAAGATTCTGGGTTCTGAAACCCAATGGTTTCAGAATAGAAACTGTGGACGTGTGTCACCCTCTGTGATTGATTCAGTGGGTCCCTACTAATGAGGCATGCAGACTTGCTGCTTCACAGGTTCTGTAGTATACTCAGAAAATCTGGAGCTATGACACTAGTTTATATTTCCAGGAGGTTGTGGGGTGGCCTTCTGGTAAGCTCCCCATGGTCCCCTTTAGGAACCCTTTAGGAGGGTTTTCCGAGTCTGTCCTGCTCCTAGCTGGAGACCTTGGAATGGCTTCAGGGCCACCTAACGGCTTTGTGGTACAGGCTGGGGACTCTGAGTGGTAGATGGCTGACGTCTTCTAGAAGCAGGGAGAGTCCATTCTCACGTAGTTCTACTTAACCGGATCATACAGTGTTTACCCAGCCTCCATCTACATCTATCGTCGCCACTTCAACTTTCTGCCAGACAGCCATTTGTTCCTTCTGACCCTCTCTCCAGCTTTTATCTCTTCTCTCCCAGAGGAGACTTACCCCTGCGGGACGGTGAGCTAGGTTTGAAGGAAATGCAGTGGGTCAGCCTTGGAGGAGCTCTCTTTGGCCTGCATGAGAGAAGAGAACAGCTTCTTATGAGTCTGCTTACCCATGAACTGGGATGATCTTAGATCACAGTTAATCAGCACTGCCACTCTTCCCTAGGAAAAACAATATTTGGGGAGTTTTACTCTAGAGTTAACATGCTTCTTACTAAGAATGGTACTAGTTTCTTAGAATAAAACTAATGATAACACTTCACTGAGAGCCCATCACATAGCCTGAGCCTAATAAATATTTTTGTTGTTGATGACAATCATATCTATTCAAAAGTTTATTAGCTAAGGAGATTTTCCCATGTGTTTTCAGGTGGAATACCAGTGTGAAGGCTTTCTGGAAAAGAATAAAGACACTGTTTTTGAAGAACAAATTAAAGTTCTTAAATCAAGCAAGGTAACCATGTATAGGCTTTCTCCAATCAGGATATATTCATTAAAATGTTTCTTATTTAAGCATTAGCTTTTTAACAGTAATAATAATTGTTCTAACAAAATCAGCTTTACTGTTAGTTTTCTATTTATCAATACATGTGTCAGGTCCTGTTTTTTAAATGCCTTACAAGTGTTAACCCACCTAATCCTATGATGAAGTGATATTATCATTACTCCCATTTTACAGATGAGGGAACTGAGGCAGGGAAACTTCATAGCTAGTAAGTTTTCAAGCCAAATTATTGATAAAACCCAGGCTGTTGAGCTCAGAGTCTGCACTCTTAACCACTATGCAGTGGTGTTTTATGTGAAATGTTTGCCTCCACAGCGGTTATAGGCTCTCTTGTGCCTTTGTGAGAGACCATGAGAGAAAACATTTTGTTGTTGTTGTTGTTTTTGGCTGTGTAATTTTGAAGGGATACGCTAGAGACATGGCCTTAAGCATTCCATCCAAATAAAGATTGACCTCTGGATCATTGAGTGCAATTTTCAGGTATGGTCCAAAGCACTTTGAAATTATTCTTCTTAGGTATAGATACCAGAAACACTGCTTTCTAGTGGGAGCAGAATATTCCAGATTGCAAAGAACTATGATGGCTCTCTGAGGTTAATCCCAACCTCCACCCTTTGACTTTCTTCAGGAAAGTATGGGGAGCGGAGCACGGCTCACTTTCATCCTGTAGGGAGCAAACCAGAAAGCTGGTTACTTACATTTAACAAAGTAAATATTCAAATATTCAGTGAAAGACTAAAAATATTCATGTGAATTCTTCCGGATTTCCGACCAGCACTTTTTGTTTTTCTGGTTTATTCTAACAAAATCGTTTTAACTTCAATGGAATGTTATATGAACATTTTTTTTTTTTTGCGGTACGCGGGCCTCTCACTGTCGTGGCCTCGCCGTTGCGGAGCACAGGCTCCGGACGCACAGGCTCAGCGGCCATGGCTCACGGGCCCAGCCGCTCCGCGGCATGTGGGATCTTCCCGGACCGGGGCACGAACCCACGTCCCCTGCATTGGCAGGCAGACTCTCAGCCACTGCACCACCAGGGAAGCCCCTATATGAACATTTTGACTCTTGTTTTTGGAATAAAAACTTTTACTTTCAATTATTTTGGTAAAAGAAAGATGATGTAAGGACCAAATTCCAGTTTTAACCCTCAGAAAAGAATGAGTCTATAGTCTTAAATGTCTGTAGAAAAAATCATTTTTTCATTTATCCTCTTAAGCCCTGGACATTAACACTTTATACCTTATAAGAATGATGTATAAGAGAAAATTCTCTCACAGTGCCGATCCCTGATTCAGTTAAAGATTATAAATCATTTTAGTTTATGAATACTGATGAAAACCCTGGAATTCTAGTGTTACTACTCTAAATAATTTAGCTGACACAGAACATTCACAGGTTCTCATTCCCCAGGCACCCATAATCTTTTGTGTCTTTTTTCTGACCTAACTTTTCTGACTGGCTCGTGGCTCCTTAATTTCCAGAAAGTAGCTATGCATTCTGAGGAATCATTTGGAGTGACTGCCAGTCTATATAGCACTGTTGCAGTTGGGTGGAGGTGGTGTGAGGTTTACATAGCTTAAAGGCCTACACTGCTCCCAGTCAGCAGAAACCCAACCCAAGCGTATGAACTTTATGTTTTAATTTTTCTGCACCTGATAGGAAGCAAGTGTAACCTAGTGTTGATTTGTCCTCTTGGAAGTACTAATTTTAGAAGATCAGTATTTGTGTTATGTGTTTTCAACAGAATTATTTTTGTGGTAATACAGTGTGGGGTTCTGTTTGTGTGTATGTGTTTTGTCTTTTATTTTTCTTTCTTTCATTTTGCAGCTTCTAGCCACTTTAAAAGGAATTAAGGTATAAAAAAACTTAACAGAAGGTGTCTTAATTTATGTTTTCCCACCATAAAGATATCTGTTGCTACATCAAATAACAAGAAGCACATAAGTAAATTGCAGCTCAATGAAATACTACTAAATTGCAACTCTACTAAATGTCACTAAAAAGAGTTATATCCCCTACTTTCCATGTTGCTAATTGATGAAGGGAAGCACAGTTCATCTACTGAGTTTATGCCTCAAATCTCTCATCTGTAAAATAGAATCATGATAGTATCTACTTTCAGAGGTTGTTATAAACATTAAATAGGTTGTATTAAGCCCTTAGAGCAGTGCTTCATGTGTAAAAAGCTCTTAGTGAATAATGTTGTTGTTGTTGTTACTGAGATGATTTCCCACATCTTTATGAAGCAGTTACTTGGATTCTTCTGTCTTCTTTAACACTCTTTCCTAGACATATAAGTTCAGTCTGAAGCAATTCAGAGCCCTGTCTTAAGCATAGACAGATCAAAGAAACAAGATGGAATGTCCAGGCATATCTACCTACTTACATATTTGACTTTCTGTTTATCTGCCTTTCTCTCTTCAAATGAAGTTGGCCTCCTCAGTCAGTGGGGAATGGCTAAATTTTTCAATGAATGATTTAAGAAAATTGGGGATTTAGCAAGGTAAACAGGTAAATGAGATAGGCAGAGGAGTTAGGTAATAACCGCTTAACCAAATATTTAGATGATATCATATCATAGAGTGGTAAGTGCTATAAAGAAAGTAAACAGGGCTTCCCTGGTGGCGCAGTGGTTGAGAGTCCGCCTGCCGATGCGGGGGACACGGGTTCGTGCCCCGGTCCGGGAAGATCCCACATGCCGCGGAGCGGCTGGGCCCGTGAGCCATGGCCGCTGGGCCTGCGCGTCTGGAGCCTGTGCTCCGCGACGGGAGAGGCCACAGTGGTGAGAGGCCCGTGTACCGCAAAAAAATAAATAAATAAATAAAAAGAAAGTAAAACAGGGTACCAAGCTAGAGAGTGACTAAGCTTGGGCAGAGGTGAGGTGCTCCACCAGCCACAGTGGTCAGGAAAGGCCTCTCTGAGGATGTAACATTTGGGCTGTACCCTGAATAATAGCAGACAACTGTGTCAGTGGAAGAGCAAGTGCTGAGAGGAGTGCTGAGACTGTATAAGATGGTTGTGTTTGAGGTCCGTAAAGAAGGCCAGTATGACTGGAGCATGGTAGCTGAGTAGGATGGGTAGACAGGGGCCACTTTCTGGAGGGAAGTGTGGTAAAGAGTATAGATTTTATTCCTGTTCCTGTGGAAAGTCTGAACAGTTTTCATATGGGGAATGATATGCTACTGTGTGGAGATATGGTGGGAGGGCTGGGGATAGGGGGGTAGTAATCTAGGGGACAGATAGTGGACTGAGATACTGAAATTATAGCAGTGGAAATGGCTTATGATTTGTGGGTAGAGTTGACTGGTCTTGTTGATGGTTTGAGTATGGAGAGTGAGAGAAGGAGAGAAATTGAAGATGACTTCTATGTTTTGGGCCTGAGATGCTGGATGGATAATGGTGCCACTTACTGAGGTGAAGACTTGTAAAAGATCAGGCTTCAAGAGAAAGAATCAAGAGTTCTGTCTTGGACTCATGGATATGGAGAACAGACTTATGGCTGCCAAGGGGGAGGGGGTTGGGGGAAGGATGGAGTGGGAGGTTGGGGTTAGCAGCTGTAAGCTACTATACATAGAATGGATAGACAATGGGGTCTCGCTCTGTATAGCACAGGGAACTATATTCAGTATCCTTTGATAAACCATAATGGAAAAGAATATGAGAAAAAAGAATGTATATATATGTGTAACTGAGTCGCTTTGCCGTTCAGTGGAAATTAGCACGATATTGTGGGTCAGCTATGCTTCAATTAAAAAAAAAAACAGTTTTATCTTGGACATGTTTTGCCTGAGATGGCAATTAGATAGTCAAGTGGACATGTCATATAGGAAGTTGTAAATGAAAGTCAGCAGGTCAAAGGCAAAGTCAGAGTCAGTGATATAAATTTGGTAGTCTTTAGAACTAGATGGCATTTAAAGCAGTAGGACTGGATAAGATTGCTTAGGGAGAACAAGTAGGTGAAAAATAGTAGAGAGTAAGGCATTCCAACTCCCAGAGACTGGCCTGAGGAAGAACCAGGAAAGAAGTCTGAGAAAAATGGCCCACAAGGAAGCAGAAATACTGCCTAAAGAAGAAATTGTAGAGTAGTTTCTAATATGACAATGTGAAATGTTCTCTTATTTTTTTTTAATGAAAACTCAATGTAGAGAATTTTAAATTTATAACTTGTATGAAGAGGAAGACATATATATGCATCTATATGTGTGTATGTGTTCTGAACTCTCAACACTGAGTAGTTTTCTGGTAGATATTGTAGAACTTCAGTTAAATTGTAACACTAGTGGTGAATATGATATTTCAAGCCAGCTCTATTAACCATTTCACACAGAAGAGAGAAAAACAAAGTTTAGGTAGGCAGCGCTAATGTAGAGCTAGCAATTTACTCAGAAATGACAGAAGTGTGTCAGATAGATCCTAGAGTCTTTGGCCTATTATCGAATAGCCTTACATCTTAACTCTGTGCTGAGTTTTCAAATCAAATCTATTAGGAACTCGTGTTTTTCCCCTTTGTGATACAAGATAATGGTAAAACGTTCCCCTACCCCCACCCCCTGCCCTGCTTTGTAGCTAACCAAGCTATATGTATTCCGTAAAGCTAGGGATACATTCATTTGTGCAGCAAGCAACCATTATTGGTATGTCATGTATAACAATTTGTTATATACATCATGAATTGTATCCTAAATTACCCTTATAATGGATAGATACATTATACCAAATGAAATTAATTTTGTTTTTAAATGAAAGAACTCTCTTAAGAAAATTATTGCTTCTGGAGATATTCTGAGTTTATTAGATAAATAATTGGCTGTTGCAGTTACACTTTGACTTATAAGAAGGATTTATTTTATGTATGTGGACTGTTTCACTATTGTAAACATATGTACGTATATCAAAATGTTACTGTCGATTAGTTTGAAGTCTCTTTCGTTCCATAAAATGTCTTCCAACCACATTAAATTATACTATCCACCCATTTATTAACTACCAGATCTTTTAATAGCCTTTCATTTCCTTAACCTGGTAGAACACAAAATTGATTGCAGATTATGCAGTCATGCAAAGCTTACAGGATACGGGCAGGGTTTCCTTTTACTTTTTTTCCCCAATAATGCACATTACTTTCTAAAAATTACTGTTAATTCATGATTTTTTAAAATCTTATTAAATTGTAGAACTAGTTCATGACACCCTTTCTGATGAGATTTTCAGTGATAGTTTTTAGTTGGTACTCACCATTTGAGTTATTGGGTAGACAGATGAAGCATGATGATAAAACATTTGGTGGAACTGATGTAATAAGACTTTCAATTAGTATGTTGCTCATAAAATAATTATCGTTTAAAACCAGTAAAATGGTTAGAGCGGCCATTTCCTGTGGATTAAGATTTCAAGTCTCAGTGGAGTAGTTTTGATTTTGTTTTCCCCCAAATAAGGTTGTAGAATTACTGCATTTTTTCCATCTATATTTTTGTAGCATTGATGTCACCTCCCTCTCATATTTTTGGCTCCTAACATAGATACTGATTATTTCTGGAATGTGACTCTGAAAGGGGTTACTTAAGGAAGGGAATCACTATGGATTGCAAATCATCATAGTGTTTCTGCGAAGATCTCCAATTGAGTTTGGGTTTAGAGTGTGATTTCCTTTTACTGTTTTTGACTCAGTTTAAGATGCTACCAGAATTATTTCAAGATGATGAGAAGGCCATCAGTCCAAGCTCAGCCACCTCTTCAGGGCGCACGCTCCTTACCCGCACTCCTGCAAAGCCCACCAAAGGCAGACCAGGCCAGGCAGCCAAAGAGCACAAGAAGACGGTGGGGCACCAGGTGAGTTCAGGGAGCCGCTGCTGCAGTGCTACTTCCCCTCTGGCTCAGCTGGAGCCTCAGGTCTTCTTTTGTCAGCCTCCCAGGTGGGGTCCTCAGGTGAGGAGAGGCTGGAGCTTTCACTGTGAGAACACAGAACACTGTCCACTCATACTTCTCCCCTCCTAACATAGACCCGTAACTCTGCTTAAGCTTTCCCAAAATAATTTTCTCTACATTTTAATTCTTCCAGTACATATCCTCCCTCACAAACCACTGCTGCCTTTGTTTTGTTCTCTGGTTGTTTCCTCTCTGGATTTGTACAGCTCCTTCAGCCCAGGAACCGTGCCCTCTGCTTTCTTTGATGTTTTATGCACCATGGGGACTGGGAAACATGACACACGTGCTTAGTGCCTGAACTAGGGCTGGGGGCTTTGGGCAGGAGGCTGAGTGCTAGTCAGCTTGTTTTCCTGAGCAGATAGGAAGCAGGACCTGGCACAGGTCCACAGCCCCCAGTATGATCCCATGTCCCTAAAGGTAACCCCACCCTGGCTGTACTCTTCCATCCTCTGCCCCCCCCCATTTCCTATACTCTTTTAAGCCATCTGCTACTTTTTTCAGTATCATACAGCAAAATTCCTACTGTACATGATTAAATGACCTTAATATCTTTAAAGCAAGCTTATATTTTTAGTCAAAGTTTTAAGTGTACAACATAAAGCTACAGAAATCTATATTAAAAGGGTGGGTGGAAGAATGAACTCTAATGTAATGATGATAATGATGTGTGATAATGATGTGTCTAAGTAGGTTCATCAACTGTAACACATGTACCACTGTGGTGGAGAATGTAGATAATGGAGGAGGCCATGCCTGTGCCAGGGTAGGGGGTATGGGGGACATCTCTGTACCTTCTGTTTGATTTTGCTGTGAACCTCAAACTGCTCTAAGAAAATAAAGTCTATTTTAAAGAGGCGGGGGCAGTGGTGGTGGTGGGAGGAGCAAGAATATCTGTTTGGCAGAGTGAGCATGTAAATGGTAGGGTTTAAGCAAATTTGAACCAAAAGCCCTAGCAGCTCCACTGTTGAGGGCTGGTCAGGTTCACAGGTGGCAAAGTCATCTCCACTAGTGTCATCTGAAGAAAATTTTCAGTTGTTTTATGTCATCTTTGACAAAACCTTGATGCCCCTTTCTGCTCTTTTTCATGCAGTTCCGAAACTCCCTTCACCTGCTTATGGAGACCCTGAATGCCACTACCCCTCACTACGTTCGCTGTATTAAGCCTAACGACTTCAAGTTCCCATTCACGTAAGTATTTCTCAACTGCTGAATTTAAAGTATCCATATCTCATAAGGATTGCCAAACCAGCAGCAGAGAAAAAATACTTAGGTAAATCTTCATGCCTTGTAGAGGGAAACAACTAGTTAACAGAACTTTTTCCGTTTTTGTTCCCTTTTAAGAACGTGAAAACAGGGAATTCCCTGGTGGTCCAGTGGTTAGGACTCCACGCTTCCACTGCCAGGGACCCGGGTTCCATCCTTGGTCGGATCAGGGAACTAAGATCGCACAAAGCCTCACGACGTGGCCAAAAAAAAAAAAAAATGTGAGAACAAATTAGTAGTTGGCCTTCTGATGATTTTAAAAGTTGAGATCAACCACACATTTCTAGTACTATTTTCTATTTGTAATTTACTTCATTTCAAGATCTTTTTGGTTAACTTGGGCTTTAGTTAAAACCAGAGCTGGGTGAGATAAGGTTGCTTTGGCAAAGGCTCACAATCATCCCTGCTACTTTTCAACTGTTGAAACTATCAGAGAACGTCTACTTTTACCAAACATCTTGTCCTGTGTCAAATACCATTTGTGAGAGGAAGTTTTTTCCAAAACGGAAATATTTCTCTAATTTTGAAAGTAATGCATGCACATTATAAAAACAATTTTCAGGAAATATAAAGTGGCGTAAAAATAAATGAAAGAGCATTTCATTATACCCAGAGAGATAATAAGTATTAAGTGGCATAGATCCTTCTTGATCATTCCTTCCCTGCTATATGTGTGTGTGTGTGTGTGTGTGTGTGTGTGTGTGTGTGTGTGTGTGTGTGAGAGAGAGAGAGAGAGAGAGAGAGAGAGAGAGAAAGAGAGAGAGAGATTAATAAAATGGAAGGGATCATGCTGTAATTGTTGTTTTGTATCTGCTTTCAACTTACGGGTGTTTTCCGTGTTAGTAAATACAAATCCACATCATCATTTTAATGGCTACATCATATCCCATTATATACACATAACACCATTCTTTTAAATTATTCCCTATTGATGGCCATTTGGGTTATTCCTATGGCTATGATAAACATCTTTTGCCAAACATTTTTATATATTTGCCTGATTATCTCCTTAGAATAATGTATTTCTAGAAGTGGAATTTGTGGGTCAGAGATTAGGCACGCTTACCAAAGGCTGTAATAACTCCCACTCCGCAGTGTGTGCGTGCTCCTTTACCTACACCCATGCCAGTCTTGCCCTTGGAGAGTCGACCTTAGACTGCAGGGCACTTCTCAAAGACTGTTGTATTCTTCTCATTGCCAAGAAGCCCTTTCTGGAGGAAGTGAGAAGCTGGAAGATGCTGCCACGCCCTGGGTGACTTCCCTGGACAGCCCTAGGGGCCATTACCTTCTGTCAGCCAACCGCATCTCCCATCACCAACAAAACACTTGAGAAGATAGCGCAGCAGAAGCCTCGGATAGGTTACTCAGGGCTTAACTGGGGCGTAAGAGGAATCATCATCCCGTAAGAAGCAGGCCTTGCTACTTCTTCTTTTAGTGTCAATTTAACATTAAGGTGCCGTTTATCTAGAGTGAAATACACATAAGATATAATATAAAATATTTTTCACTGACATGGACACTATTAATGCTTAGTATGTATACACTGAGTTGAATAGCTTTTAGAACACCAATAATTTTTTAAAAATACCTGAATGGGGCATATTTAATTTGTTCTTCTTGCTAGAGAAATCTCCAGGGCTGGCCAGTCTTTATTCCAGGGGAGCTCCATGGTGAACTAATGAGTTATGAGAACAGCTAGTCAGGCCAAGGCACGTAATGAGCATGGCAGTGCAGAGGAGTTTGGGCTTTTTAAATACGTTTAATGGCATTTCTTATAAGTTTGTGGTATGTATTTTTACTGCTAATGGTCTCTTCCCCTCTCTTACATGGAGTTTTCCATTCTGATCACTGTTCCAGCTTTTGAATTTTTTTTTTCTAATTTATCCATTTGGCTCTTTACAAAAGAATTCAGTCTCTGGACTGAGGAAAGTAGTTTGTGGCTAGAGCCACGCTTCTTTGTGTATTAATGATTTCCATTTTTACACATAGGTTTGATGAGAAGAGGGCAGTACAGCAGCTGAGAGCGTGCGGTGTCCTGGAAACCATCCGAATCAGCGCAGCAGGTTTCCCCTCTCGGTGGGCTTGACATTTTTCAAATATAAGGGATCCTAAAGGGGGAGGTTCCTGCTTCTTTAAATAAGCTGACATGAGTTTCTTTTTATAGGTGGACTTACCAAGAATTTTTCAGCCGCTACCGTGTCCTAATGAAGCAAAAAGATGTGCTAAGTGAGAGAAAACAAACATGCAAGAATGTTTTAGAGAAACTGATAGAGGTAAGAAAGATTTTTCACTTACCTTTATCGGAACAGATGTTTGCCAAAGGCCTTGTGATTGTAACCTGTGAATGTCCTAGGAATATCCATAATACTACTAATCCGGGTTATTCAGGGGTGGAAAGGTGCAGAGGCACACTGTCTTGGAGGTCAAGGTTCCCTGTCTTTACGATGGAAGGACTAGTAAAGATGATGGTCCAGTATCAAGATACAGGATGGTGAGGCCTGGACCCAGACTTGAGACACATTCTTTTTATTTATTTATTTATTTATTTTGCGGTACGCGGGCCTCTCACTGTTGTGGCCTCTCCCGTTGCGGAGCACAGGCTCTGGACGCGCAGGCTCAGCGGCCATGGCTCACGGGCCCAGCCGCTCCGCAGCATGTGGGGTCTTCCCGGACCGGGGCACGAACCCGTGTCCCCTGCATCGGCAGGCGGACTCTCAACCACTGCGCCACCAGGGAAGCCCCCAAGTACTAAATTTTTATTGAAAATTACTTATGACAGACACCAAGCCAGATGCTGTGTGATTAAGAAAAATAAGTCCTGTCCTCAGGTGACATAGCGTGTCTTGGAAGTTAATGCATTTTAAAGATAAGTATAATATACCTTAGTGTCTGTCAAATGCTGAGTGAGTGAGACAAGAAATCAACGGAAGACAAAGCCACATCTGCTGTGGGAAGCAGGAACTATTTCATGGAAGACATGTATTTTGAGTCAGGCCCTGAAGAGTGGGTAAGATTGTATAAAGTGGAAGGAGACTATCCTACTAGGGAGCAAGGAGCAGAAAAGCATACTTTTCTCAAAAAGCAGTTAGAGTCGGATTTTTGTTTTTGCTTTTGCAGTAAAAAAAACGGTGCATGGGACAGTAGGGAATTGGTTAGGAAATGTGGGTTGGTGTTTGAAGAGACTTGCATACCGAGCTAAGGCGTTCACAGACTTTAGAATGCACCAGAGTCACCTTCAGGGCTTGTTAAACTTCAGAGTGCTGGGCCCCGCCCCTAGAACATCTGATTTGGTAGGTCTGGGACGTGTCCAATAATGTGCATTTCTAACAAGTTCCCGGGTGATGCCGATGCTGGTTTGAGGACTACATTTTGATAACCACTGATGTAGGTTGTAGAGAATTTAAGACTCATGAGATGCTGTTTAAAGAATATTTTCACTTATTTGACACTAGGTTGGATGGATTACCTCACTTTGAAGTAATTAGTCATAATTATTAGCTATTAACTAGATGTAATATCTCTTCTTTGGTGATAATAACTTTATTTTTCTTGAAAGCACTTAGGCCACTTTCCTGGTAATGTGTAAAAGAATCTGATACATTTTGAATCTGGCCTAAGTCCTTTCTAGGGAATGGAGAGCAGAAAGTAGGGAAAGCCTCCTCCCCCAGACTGCTCCCCCCTGCGCTTGGGGCCACAAGGTAAAGGAGTGCAGGCTTGGGGGCGAGGGAGAGAGAGCTGAGATGAAATGGGGCAGGGAGAAGGAGACAGGGAGAGGGAACCACTTTCTAGCTCTTCCAGCTAGCCTCCTTTGCAAACTTTATTGATTTAAACTGAAACAGTTTTAGATATATGTGGAGATTTCTGATGTTCTGTTTTCATGTACAAGATAGGAAATATTTGCTTACAGTGAAAAGTGATTTTCTCTGTTTTCACTTAGAATTTCAGATCACAGTATTGATTAGTATAAATAAATTCTACTCTTCTTTTGATATAAGATGGTTAATAACTTGCATGCTTCTAGATAAGTTGGATCAGAATATAATAGACCAAAAATAGCATCATATATATCTGTGTTTACTGCTCAGCTTTGTTTATAATCAGAAGTCAATGAGCATTATAAATGATTACATTTTTGTAAAAGGAGTTTTGAAATTTGTAGGAAGATTTACTGTTGATAAAACCAAGAGATAACTGTTGAGAAACTTAACTCTTAACATGAATATGCAAGATTTTTTATCTTTTAGTTTTTATTTTGTGTGCATTACTTCCTGCCTTTTTCTTCATATTGGTGTTTTTGTCCCTTCAGCTTTCTCATGGAACACACAGCCCGATGTAATTCTTACAGCCTGGGTCAGTCAGAGGGAGTGTCAGCATCTCCATTTCCTTGAGATATTTAAAATACAGACAAGCAAATAGTAGCTGCCTATAACCCACAACCAAGTTTCGGGCCTCATTTAATAATTCCAGGTAGAATAATTCTGGAAAATAACTCTTAACCTGCAGTTTTCCTTGAAGTCCCTTCTATTTGCTCCACTTGCATAGGATCAAAAAGCTGGCTCCATTAGTTAATTGTGATGTAGCCCAAGTTTTAGCTAATAGTTTTATCCCTTTACTAATTCTGCTTTTAGACATATATTTTCTCTTTAAAATTCATTTATCTAGTCATCATTTCTACTTCTGAGTATACAGTTTCTTCCAAAAATAGGACAAGGACAAATACCAGTTTGGGAAGACAAAGATCTTTTTCCGTGCCGGTCAAGTGGCCTATCTGGAAAAATTGAGGGCAGACAAATTGAGGGCTGCCTGCATCCGGATCCAGAAGACGATCCGAGGGTGGCTGCTGCGGAAGAAGTTCCTGCGCATGCGCAAGGCTGCCATCACTGTGCAGAGATACGTGCGAGGCCACCAAGCCCGATGGTAGGTCTCCTGGCAGCATGTCCACTCTGGCTCATGGGCAGCGAAGATTGGCGGGCTCATCTGATTGATTGTCCAAACTAGGACAGTTTTGAGTGGTCACCCTACCTGAGAAGGCAGCACCTTACCTCTTCTTAGGTCCAAGGAATTAACTCATAAGACAGTTAAATAGAATACAATTTCACTCACCTTTGTGAATGATTCAGATTGAACCTCAAAAAAATAATTAAAAATTACTGCCCACTCATGTCCTCAGTATTTATTTTTTATACATTTATATGGGCTTGAAGAAATCATCTGTAAATTAGAACAGTCATGAATATAACTAGTTAATAATGACTCTGTTGAGGAGTTTGGGGGAGCAGTTAACTGAGAAGGTGTAGAAGAGAGTTAGTTACACTTACGTGTGATTACGTATTAGGATAATTTTAATTTAGAGATATCAAAAGACATGAATTAATGGTAAAGAACTTGTGCCCAAATGGATAGATTAAGGAAAAACATCGTGCATTAGCAATGGATAGAGTTAAGAAGGCTGGGTGATAAGTAAGTACAGGATTACTGTGTAAGCTCGTCTGCTATGTAAAGGGGACATAGCCTGGGGTAATGAGCACAGTCCTAGAAGGAATAAGCCTTTATGACCTTCGCTTTCTGTATTGTAAAATCAAGTAATATGGGACATCCCACTTTTCAGGGTTAGGTAAGGCTCAAATGAGATAATGGATGCACAGATATTTGGGGGATCATCAAAAAACTATACAAATATAAGAAATATAAATGTTGATTTAACATGTATGTTATTAGAATAATACAATGGAGGTGCTACTTATTCTGCCAAAGATATTGGTGATTTCAGCCTCTACAAAATGTATTCATGGGTTTTTCTGATTACTGACTACGCACCACTCTTTCTCTGGCCAGTTATGCTAAGTTCCTGCGCAGAACCAAGGCAGCAACCATCATTCAGAAGTACTGGCGCATGTATGTAATCCGCCAGAGGTACAAGATCTGGCGGACTGCCACGATCGTCCTTCAGTCTTACCTTCGAGGCTACTTGGCCAGAAATAGGTATCGCAAGGTGAGGCCTTGTTTTCAACTTTGTTTATTCATTCCATTAACGTTAATCAAATTCCATGTCTGTACAAAGTGCCACGGGGGCTCCTATGGATGTAGGAGTCATATGGAGACAACCAACAATTGAAATACATTTTTAAATATTAAATAAGCCACATATATTTATTAACATGATGTTGAAAAAGAAAATTTACTTTTTTCTTCCCCTGTCTGTAATTTGAAAAAAAAGTGAGTATATTAGTTTCCTGTGGCTGCTGTCATAAATTACCACCAACTTGGTAGCTTAAAACAACAGAAGTTTATTTTCTCACAGTTCTGGAGGCAAGAACTGTGAAATTAAGGTGTCAGCAGGGCTGCTCTCCCTCCAGAAGCTATGGGGGAGAACCCATTCCCTGCCTCTTCTAGTGCTGGTGGCCACCAGTATTCCTAATAATTGTGGCCATATCACTCCAGTCTCTGATTCCATCTTCACATCATCTTCTCTCTGTGTCTAACTTCACTTCTTTTGTCTGTCTCTTATGAGAACACTTGTGATGGATTTAGGGCCCACCCAGATAATCCAGGATAATCTCTCCATCTAGAGATCCTTATCTTAATCGTATCTGCAAAGGCCCTTTTCCCAAATAAGGTAATATTTACAGATTCTTAGTATTGGGGGCCTTTATTCAGCTGACTGTGGTGAGCTTTGAATAGGTAAAAATATTGGGTAGGCCAAAAAGTTTGTTCGGGTTTTTCTGTAACATCTTACAGAAAACCCAAACGATTTTTTTTTTTCTTTTTTTTTTTTTTGTTGCGGTACGTGGGCCTCTCACTGCTGTGGCCTCTCCCGTTGTGGAGCGCAGGCTCCGGATGCGCAGGCTCAGCGGCCATGGCCTACGGGCCCAGCTGCTCCGCGGCATGTGGGATCCTCCCGGACCGGGGCACGAACCCGCGTCCCCCGCGTCGGCAGGCGGACTCCCAACCACTGCGCCACCAGGGAAGCCCCGAACGAACTTTTTGGCCGACCCAATATATGGCAGATGAACAGATTAAGAATGAAACAACCTTGGAACAATTTACCATGGTAAAAATGAAATCAAATATAACATCAATGTGGTCAAAGTTGTATTGACTGGAGTATTATGCTCTAGAAAGTTTTGACAAATAATCTTTATGTCTAGCAATAATCATCATGGCTATAGACAGTGGATCACCAGATTAGTCTTAGTCATCACCTCTAACAATATATGATCTAGTCGATGAAAGTTTTTCCTCTTTCATTTCGGCAAGGTTTCGAGTCTGTTCTTTAGAATATAGCCCTAATAAGCCAAAAATACAGTCTGGATCTTGGAGCTCTCTGGGCATCACTGTTAGGAGTGTCAGTAGAGTGATGTGAAGGACATTTCTCTAATCACAGGCAGTGATTATGTGGGTGTGCCCTAGGCCCTATTCATGTATTTATTTTATTTTCTTATTTTGAATTAATTTTATATAACAAAGAAAAATGGAACGCTAATGAGGCTTGAATGAGCATATTTAATAGCTATGTTTTGAAGAAAATTTGAAGACTTAGCTACTCCAGGTCTTTCTGCCCACGCCTGCTTTATAGTCAGATGTTCTTTCTCTTCAAGCATGAGCTTTCAAGGGAGGGAAAAGCCTTATTAAACTTGACCTTTTAGATATACCAAACCAGTTACCCTCCTGTTTTCCTCACTACTCTCCTCAGGAACATCTGAACTGGCGTGTGAGGCCTTTGGTTTAGCAGTAGCAGTCTCTAGCTAGCTTAGCTCCCAGTGTGACTGGACATAGTAGGGGAGGCAGGTTAGAGACCGGCTCGTGTGTAGGCCAGTAGTACCCCCTTAGTGATCCTTCTAGCTGTGATTCCAATCCAAGCTTCCCCCAAGCTTTGGGGGTCTTAAAGTGAGAGCAAGTGTTATTTAATGTCTCTGACTCACCGATGGAAATGAGATTGAGAATGGAAGCTCTAATTATATACTGTTTCCATTTGACTGAAATTAGAGAAATGGACCAGTATCTGAAGTTACATGGGGAGAAGGAAATGGAACAGGAATATTGGCATTAATACCTTTGCCTCTGTGTGCTGCTTGAGTTTTAAAGTCTGAAAGCCTTCAATTTGCCATCACTGAGTCTTATCCAGTTTGTCACTAGTCATGCAGATAAGATAGGTGGCTCCCTTGGGATTGTGTTGTTGAGTGAGAGCTCAGGATGCCCTGCCTCACTGCGGCATGATGCACGGTGACTGCACGTAGTGGGAACTGAAGGCTGCCTTAGCATTAGGAAAACATCCCAAAGGGACAGCCTTGAGTTGGCTGAAGATACTATGAAGGTCTCCTAAACACCTGTGTTTATTTTGTATTTGTTGGCTTTAAACACAACGACTTATTTCTTAATTGTATCCTCTAGGATGGCATATGTTTTTCATGGTTTTTCTCAGCTACATAACCTAAAAATAGGAACTGTTCTTTTAATGATCTTACTAAACTGCTACCTATCTGAATAGATGGTTTCAGAGATTTTTTACATTTAAAAAGTTTCATAAAAGATACATTGTATCCATTTATAATAATCACTAATAAGTACTTAATCAAGTGCATACATTTAAACATTTATATCACACAAGACTTATTTTGTAATATCGTAGACTTGAAAGGACATCAAAGTTTTGCTAGTTCAACCGTTCTTAAAATTTAAGAACTTCTTCCCCATCATTCCTGGAAACTGTTTACACAATCTCTGCTTGATGATCATTAGTGACAAGAAATTCATCTCATAAGGCAATCTTATTTTTTAAATTTTATTTTTATTATTATTATTTTTTTGGCTACATTGGGTCTTCATTGCTGCCTGAGGGCTTTCTCTAGTTGCGGCGAGCGGGAGCTACTCTTCGTTGTGGTGCACGGGCCCTAGGCAAGTGGGCTTCAGTAGTTGTGGGACGCGGGCTCAGTACTTGCAGCGCGTGGGCTTCAGGGCACACAGGCTTCAGTAGTTGTGGCACACGGGCTTCAGTAGTTGTGGCATGCGGGCTCAGTAGTTGTGGCCTGAGGGCTCTAGAGCACAGGCTCAGTAGTCGTGGCACACAGGCTTAGATGCTCCATGGCGTGTGGGATCTTCCCAGAGCAGAAATCAAACCCGTGTCCCCCTCATTGGCAGGCGGATTCTTAGCCACTGTGCCACCAGGGAAATGCAAGGCAATCTTATTGTTATAAGTTGTTTATAAGTTTAGGGCAATATCTTTTTTTTTAAGAAAATACAATATAAAATTAAGATTTGTTTACTTCACTTTATCTTCTTTTTAGCTTTCCTTTTAAAGTTCTCTCCCTACTACCTTTGAATCCCGTAAATGGATTTGTGCTGCATTTATAATAGCAATGGGAAATCCTCACTAGGATGGTATTCCTCAAATATGGCAAACAAGAGTGTCGTTTTTTTGTTGCTGGGGAAAAAAATCAATAAATCAGTAATAAACTTTGCAGTACCCCAAGTGTCGTCTTCTACAGCCTGCTTACTGGCCATACCCCATGTCCTCAAGCAGAGACCTAATGCACAGTGACATGGTATCAGCAGTAAGGGTAGTGGGTAAATCTCTTATTTTACTAGCACATAGTTCACAGGGTACCAAGTTCTGCTTATTTTCTAAAGGATCACCTGTTGCTTATAGAAATCATAGAGCAATAAGAAACCTAATGCATTTTTTCTTTCTTTGTAGACTAGTTTTCTATTTAGTAATCTGGTACCTCTTATTTAGACAGCTTCTATCTGTATACTCTATTTATCATCATACATATACATGTAATCATACATATGACATGTGGATATAATACATATTTTTATATATGTCTCTGAAATTTCCTCTTTTTTTTATAAAATGAGTTGAGTTTTTAAAAAATTTATCTTTATTTTATTTATTTATTTTTGGCTGTGTTGGGTCTTCGTTGCTGCATGCAGGCTTTCTCTAGTTGCGGCGAGCGGGGGCTACTCTTTGTTGCGGTCCGCGGACTTCTCATTGCAGTGGCTTCTCTCGTTGCAGAGCACGGGCTCTAGGCGCGCGCGCTTCAGTATTTGTGGCTCGCAGGCTTAGTTGCTCTGCAGCATGTGGGATCTTCCCAGACCAGGGATCAAACCTGTGTCCCCCTCATTGGCAGGCAGATTCTTATCCACTGCACCACCAGGGAAGCCCTCAAATTGCCTTTTAAAGACTACATTTCAATCACCTTTTAAAATAATTTTGTGCTTCCATATATTTGTGATAAATACAATCCACATAATACATTGTTGCTTCAACTTTTATGTCTTTCCCTTTAGGTAATGTGTGGGTTCTCAGCCTGACATCCATAGGTTGATAGAGTTGAATATTGAGTCTAGTCCAGGGTCTGACGTTACTTGCACTTACCCTCTTCTGCAGATACTCCGTGAGCACAAAGCAGTCATCATTCAGAAGTGGGTCCGGGGCTGGCTGGCTCGCACCTACTACAAGAGGAGTATGCACGCCATCATCTACCTTCAGTGCTGCTTCCGGCGGATGATGGCCAAGCGCGAGCTGAAGAAGCTCAAGATCGAGGCCCGCTCCGTGGAGCGCTACAAGAAGCTCCACATTGGCATGGAGAACAAGATCATGCAGCTGCAGCGCAAAGTTGACGAACAGGTGTGTTTTAAACAGGAGTCCTGAAAGTGCAGCATGCCTAACAAAATCCACTGGGGTCATCTTCAGCATTGTCCCCTCTTGACTTTACCTTTCAGTCTTCGCAAAAAAAGTAAAATAATAATGGCATTAATGAATGTGGAAATAGTGACAAGCTCATAGGTAAGATTATAATTGCAAGGACCAAGGCAGGAAATTATTTTCGAGAACACAGACAGGTTTACTAGCACTCCAAACAGTTAGGACCGAGAGTCATATTGTACTTTATATTTTACAAAGCTCTTTCATCATTATCATTCATTTGTGTATAGTGTATTGTTCCTTTTACAGATGAGTTGTTTAGCATTGAGATGACAAAAGAAGCAGGAAAATGTCCATGCTTCTTGGAAATCTGCAGTCTATTTGCAGAGATAAAAGTTTGATTTCTTAGAGATAGTTACCAAGTAATATTTTAGCACATGCAAATGATATAAAGGTAGTTAGTAATACATAAATACTAAGGATGACAAAGAAAAACAGAAAACAGAATGAAATAGGATTCATCAGAAAGGTTTTCTGAGTGGGAAGAGGAGTTTACAGATGGTAAACAAAGGGATTTGTAAGAAACTTGTGATTTTTGAGGCCATTTTATCATTCTTATGCATCACTAGCCGGCACGTGGCTTTCAGTAGCACACTGATTTGTTTTCAAAAGCAAGTATAGATTTTCCTATTCCTGGATTAAGAATCAAGAAAGAGAATTTACTGTGGGAACTCACCTTGTGACTATGAGAAAATCACATCTATGTTGCTCATCATGTAAAACAGAAATAATTGTGCCCATTCTCTCTTTGTATCACTAAGAGGGTGCTGATGGTGTTATTTTAAATATTGTCATTAGTAATTTTGGTTAGATACTATATCAGCACTATGATGATATAGCATGAATACGATGAATAGGCATGGTTTTCTCACTAAATACATTTGTGGTGTGTATATTTACTTTTTGTCACTTATGTGTGTGTTTAAAGAACAAAGACTACAAATGCCTCATGGAGAAACTGACCAATCTGGAAGGAATATACAACTCTGAGACCGAGAAACTACGAAGTGACTTAGAACGTCTTCAACTAAGTGAGGAAGAAGCTAAGATTGCTACTGGACGTGTCCTCAGTCTGCAGGAAGAAATTGCCAAGCTCCGGAAAGACCTGGAACAAACTCAGTGTGAGAAAAAATCCATTGAAGAGTGTGCTGATAGATACAAACAAGAAACTGAGCAGGTAGGAGCTAATGTTCATATCCCCATCTACTCCTTCCACAAAGGAGTTGTGCTGTCATCTTGACCTGGCCCTTGTGGCTCAATATTGGTTTCAATCGAAGGTAAACACACATTTCAGTTGGTTTACTGTTCATTATTAGTGTTTCCCCCAAGCAGCTGTTCCATATGCTGGATGAGTACCTATAGGTCTTTTAGTAAAACCTTTTACTCTCCTAAAGCAGAGGCAAAGCAGTGTTATAAGAAGAGAAGTGATGGCCAAGAACCTTCTATACACCCTTTTTCTTTGAATGAATAGATCTGTGTGGAGTGTAGACTCTTTTTTCTTCAGCAGGTTAAAGGTGATTAAGAAGTAAATCACAATGAACTGTCAGTAGCTGATAGTAGGGATCTTTATGGAAACCTGCATTAAGACTGTTTTGAGAAGTCCAACAGGAAAAAATCCAAATGTCTGCACACCGATCGTAGCCAAGAGCTGCTATGCAGATAGAACAACAATGAAAATGCTTACAGATTGACCAGTGCTTCCACACTACAAATTTGTATTAACTTATATCAAAACTTTATTAAATACAGAAAACACTAAGGTTCTCAAGCAGTAATGAGATGTATTGGTTAAACAAAGTAAAGATACCTCAACATAAGGCTTACTGGAAAAAAGTAATAGGTTTTCAGAGATTCCACTAGTATTACCATCTTTAAATGAAAACAGAGTTGACTGATGGCTGTAACTATGGCAAGAATCCCAATATGCTTTTTCCTTACTGACTTCTGAACCTTAACAGCAGCTTATACAGTAAGAACCTCGAAGGAACTTAGACACAATTCAGGTAGGATAGTGTAGCTAATAAAGTTGCAATCCTTCCATGGTATTCAGGGTCCTGATAAAATAATCCCTTCTATATCTATAGCAGATCTGGGCTCTGATCTGGAAACAGCAGTGCTATTAATATGTTACTTTGACATAGCAAGCTTGTTCTCTCAGAATTCAAATATGTATCCAATGGGATACTGTTGAGGTTTAAGATCTCTCTTGTGCTCTCTCTCTCTCTTTTTTCCCCATTTCCTGAGTCCCTGGAAGCTTTCCAAATTCCTCCGAAACTATAGAGAATTAAGCTTGGTAGGAGTATTCTCGTTTCCTTTTCAAAGTCAAGTTCATACCTTTCTCGTCTGATAGAATAGTATACCAGAACATATTCAGATTTCTCCTTTCGTTTTATTATCTGCTGACTTCACAAGGATAGCTGTAGGCACTACCATTAATTCTTTTAGATGGAGTGTGATAATGAGGAAGAATGAAAAAATTTCCCTGTGAGAGCTAGCTTTGTGGTCTGGAAGGCTACATTGCCAGTTAGCCTGACAAAGGAGCCTAGAAGGTCCAGCAGAACTGTGGTTCTTAACCAGGAGTGTATTTCAGAATATGCTGGAGAGTTTTTAAAAAGATACCTGCCCAAGCTCTGGGAGTGTGGGCCAGGCACATGTATTTTGAAAAAGCACCACAGGTGATTGGTTGCATACCCTGACAAAGAGCAGCCTCTCTCAAGAGCACATAGAGAACTCAACCTTTCTACTGAGAGCAGACGTTAAGACCTTATCAGCACAGAGGGAAGACACTGGACCGTCAGAAGGAACACCTTCTGGCCTGACTTGTGCAGTGGCACAGTGCTGTAATCTCAGTTCCCTGTTCTTCAGGGATCCTTAGTCAGAGAGCCCGCTTTCTCTGTCTCTGAAGTCCTAAACTTTCTCTTTATTAGTAAAGCTGTTGCTTTAAGAGTCCCTTGAACTTATGCTTAGAGAAAGGAATTCACATTTCACTTATAACAAGCACACATTCTATTCCAAAGGTGAACTGTATAAATTATGAACTTAGCAAAGTTTCCTTTGGTTTTGATTTTTGCTTCCTGAGAATCCTTATCCAACCAGGAAATAGAAAGTTAAAGGTCAATATTTTTTTATTGTGGTAAAATATGCTTATATGTAACATAAAATTTACCATTTTAATCGCTTTAAGTGTACGGTTCTGCGGCATTAAGTGTATTCACAGTGTTGTAAGGTCAATGCTTAAATGTGGAATAAAAGTTTACAATCTTGCAAAACTCTTGAAAGGAGATGAAAATGAAATTCTCTTTCTCAGGACAGAGAGCAGGGAGCTTCGGAAGGTCTTCAGTGAATTTCCAAAACCAAAATGCCTTTCATATTTTTCTTAACCTCTGTAATCTCTCTGCTTGAATCATGGGTACACATAAACATTGCATTAGGTTGTTGGTGTGAAAAGGCATTATCATTGCTTCAAGCGCAAATGCTTACTAGGTGCCAGGCAATTGCTAAATGCTCAAGGTACAAAGTAAAACAATAACAGCAAGTCATTTTTGTCCTCCAAGAATTTCTAGCCAATCAGGGAAGTAAAAGTAAATCATTTATAAGGGCTATAAAGAGGCATATTCAGGGTCCTGTAGTAGCCCAAAGGAGAGACATATAATTGGAGGGAGTTTCTGGGAAAGCTTTCTGGAGGGTAATGCTAGAAACAAGTTTGAAGGATGACCAGATATAACTCGGCAAAGAAGTGAGGCAGTGAGATGTGGAAGTAAGGAGTGACTGCTGTATGTGTGGTCTTTGTATTCAGTATCGGGCTGCCTCTGTCTGTGGCAGCCATCTCAGTTTATTGTTTCATTTTATAGTTGGTATCAAATCTGAAGGAAGAAAATACTTTGCTGAAGCAGGAAAAAGAGGCCCTCAATCACCTTATCGTGGAGCAGGCTAAGGAGATGACAGGTAAGCCTCATGTGGGCCCAACCTACTGCACTCCAACCAACCTCAGACCAAAGGTTTATAAGTTACAACTTTGCTTAGACTGTCATCAGTAAATTTGCAGAGTTCTGGAGGCAGGCACTCTAAATATTTGGTTGAATTAGTTGGTGAACTTGTAAATCTGGTCTCCCTATGTACAAATATCAATTCATATTAGTCAGTATCATGGGACTTTTAAAAAAATTGTTCTGTATGTATGATCTATGGCTTATAGGAGTCCTGTTGTTTTAGGACCAATTCTTGAGCTAATATGTATATGTATATGAGTATATGCATCTGTATATATTATTTATTTTGCTAAACCAATGGATATTATTTTCCTAAGATCAACCACTTTTTGCCACCTTAAAAAAAAGGGCACTAGATGTGGACATTTATTTCATTTGCTGTTTGTAAGATAAATTAAAATGGTGATAATTTACAAGGAATCCACATGTACATAAACATGAGCTAAGAAAATATGTATCTAAACTACAATAATTGGTGATAGAAATAAAAAGGAAGAGATTTGATTAGAGTGAAAATATATTATATGAAAAGAATTGTATATCATATATCATCATTTTTGATGTATTCAAAAAAGGAGTAAAAATTTTCTAAAGTTTCTGAAAATTTTCTAAAGTTTTGAGATGAGTTATCAAAACAATAATGTGTTATTAGTAATGAGGAAATTGAGGGGAACAAGTCTCTGTTTATGAGGCAAATTAACGAGGTCAGTTGTTTGAGTGTTAAAATTTGGATGTCAGCTGGGGCCTCCAGATAGAGATGATGTGAAAGCAAATTGAGATGAAAGAGAGAGCCCTCTGTGGTTTTCCCCATACTGCCCCATTCCTCCCAATTAAGGGGAATACTATATAGAAAAGAGAAGAAAATCTGGAATTAAGCCTTACAGGATAACCATAAATAAGGGATAAGGTGAAGAAAAGGAGCAAGAAAAGAAAAGAGGGAAGGAGAAAAGTCATTGAAAACATGGAAAAAAGGAGGCTAGGATGCAGAATGCAGTGGAAAAATCCAGAATGATGAGAATTCTTGAAGGAAAATAGAAAATGTTATTTGATACTGAAAGATAAGAACAAAGACAATAACAGTGGATTTGCCTAAGGAAAATTTGTTGATAGCCTTGGGCAGCTTCCACAAACTTGTGAGAATAAAAAGCAATTTACAGAACGTTATAGAGAGAAGAAGTTCTTTCATTCATTTATTTACAAATTATTAAAGCCCTAGGGTAGGGAAACACTGTATTGGACACCAGGGAGGCAGTTGTAACAAGACGTTTGGCAGCCCTTGCCCTCATGGAGCTGACAGAGAAAGAAATGGTGAAGCAATAGAAGCAGGCAGGGCAGATTAAGATATAGCCACAAAATATGAGGGTAAAATGGGCCATAATGGTAGGAAGCTTAATGTTTATAAATGTGACTGGGTCAGCTCATTGAGATAAAACATAGAGCTGAGATTTAAGGCTTTTTTACTGTGCTTGATTTGCAATCAAGGGCTAATCTCCAATCTCCAGATGATGTCCTATCTAAGTGCCAGCCCCTGGCAACAGAGAGAGTAGAGTGAGGTGAGTAAATGGAAAGGTCAGGTCCCCCAGCAGCACATAGGAGTGGTAACAACAGAGGACCAGGTGTGGGGATCTTACCTGATTAGAATCGAGGGAGTAATAGGACAACAAGGGAGCTCACAGCGTTGGGAAATTGTAAGACAGAACCTGGGGACTGAGATGAGTGGAGACACTCTGTAGAGCAGTACAGCTGGGTCCGCTGAGAAGTCGTTGTTCCCCCAGAGGCTTGAGGAATGTCTCTGACTTTTCGGACAAAAGAATTTTATGAATAGCCTGAAACAGAATAATAAAAAAATGTATACTCTAGTTACTAGATGACGGCTAGTGGAAGTTTATGAAGGATGTGCTGTAACCAATGAATGAACTAGTTCTGTTCATGGAACAATGCAATGGATGATGGTTGTTGTTATTAATAAATTATTCTTTGGTCATGGTATTTTCTCTTTCCCTACCTCCACTAAGATACTCTTCATAGATCATAGTGGTGCTAAAAGTAGAACCCCTCCCAAAGAAACTGGAAGTCAGTGTCCATGTTTGTATTCTTGCATTCTGTGGAGCCATCTTTGGTATGCTTTTCCCTCTCCTTTCTTTCAGAGACTATGGAAAAGAAGTTAATAGAAGAAACAAAACAACTGGAACTCGATCTTAATGATGAAAGGCTGAGATATCAGAACCTTCTGAATGAGTTCAGTCGCTTGGAAGAACGATATGATGACCTCAAGGAAGAGATGACTTTGATGGTTGTGAGTCAAATACTTTTGATTTTTTTTATATATAAAAATTTGAGGGCTTCCCTGGTGGTGCAGTGGTTGAGAGTCCGCCTGCCGTTGCAGGGGACACAGGTTCGTGCCCCGGTCCGGGAAGATCCCACATGCCGCGGAGCGGCTAGGCCCGTGAGCCATGGCCGCTGAGCCTGTGTTCCGCAACGGGAGAGGCCACAACAGTGAGAGGCCCATGTACCGCAAAAAAAAAAAAAAAAAAAAAATTGAAACATATGCAAAACTAGATAGAAAAGTAGAATGAACCCCCCTGCACTCCATGCACCCATCACTCAATCCAAAATGGTCAACACGTTTCTATCCCCCATTCTACCTTCCATCCCACTCCATCCAGTGGATTGGATTGTTTTAAAGCACATCCCAGAAATCATATCACTTTTTTCATAAATATTTTGTAAAGTCAAACACTTTGAAGACTGGATTATAAGATAGTATAAAGTCAGTGTAGGTGGACTTTGTTTTATGTATTGAATGACTTAAAATAAAATTTGCTTATAAAGCAAATATTTATATAATCAAGTATTATATAGTTTTTGTAGTTTCAAAGATATAGTCCTAGAAAAAGAAAATACAGCCTCTGTTTGTAATAAATTGTCTTATCTATTTCAAGGACTCTTCTGCATCTGCCAAAGTACATTTTGAACTTTTAATAGTTCTGCACACCCTCCCTGTTCTACTTATCCTGCTATCAGGAAACAAAGAGTCCCCTAGCAATCTTGTTCCTACAGCTATCAGCCTTAAACGTAACCTAATGGCACAGATGGCCAGAAATGCTCTGAAATATCTGTTATAAAACACAAGGTAATTTGGAGGGGAGTGGCCAAGACGGCAGAGTAGGAAGACCCTGAGCTCACCTCCTCCCACAGGCACACCAAGATTATAACTATTTACAGAGCAGCTGTATATAAGAATGACCTAAAGACTAGCAGAAACTATTTTATGAAACTAAAGATATAAAAGGGAACCTCAACAAGATGGGTAGGAGGGGTGGAGACATGTATAGTCAAGACCCACACCCCATGTAAATGACCCACAAACAGGAAGATAAACACAATTGCAGAGGTTCTCCCCAAGGCACAAGGGGTCTGAGCCCCACATCGGGCTCCCCAGCCTGGGGTTCCTGCACCAGGAAAACAAGTCCCCAGGCATCTGGACTTGAAGGCAGTGGGGCTTGTGTACAAGAGAGCCACAGGGCTGTGGGAAACAGAGACTCCACTCTTAAAGGGCATATACAAAATCTCACATGTCCAAGACCCAGTGCAGAAGCAATAATTTGAAAGGAGCCTGGTTCAGACCTACTTGCTAACCTTGGAGAGCCTTCCAGAGGGCATGAGGCCACTGGAGCTCACCCTGGGGACATAGACATTGGCTGCAGGCATTTTGGGGAGCTCCAACCATGAGGACACTGCTGCAGACAAGTTTCATTTTGGAGTCCTCCCTCTAGCCTATTAGGGCCAGAGGTTTACCTGCTCACAAGTGAGCTGGCACCAGCCCCATGAGCCCCCCATCCAGCCACCCTGGTCACTGACCCATCCATCCGTAACCTGGGACCAGCCTTGAGACACCCCCCAGGCTATGCAGCCTCTGCCACACCAGCACCCAAAGCCACCACCAGCCGGCTGGCAGTTATTGCACTAGGTAGGACCTGGAAGCCAAGCAGGCCGAGGGCCATCCCAATGTACCAGTGCATCCAAGCAGTGATCCCCACCACAGCAGAAGGGCCCATGCAGCCCACATAGGGGCACCCGTAGAGCATATAGATCTTGTGACTAAAAGGATGGGCTGCTGGGGCCCATAGGATGTCTCCTTCATAAGGCCACTTCTCCAAGACTGGGAATCCTAAACAACCTACCTAATGCACAGAAATAAACACAAACAGTAAGCAACACGAGTAGATAGAGGAATATACTCCAAACAAAGGAACAAGACAAGACCCTAGAAGAAGAACTAAACGAAGTGGAGATAAGCAATCTACCCAATAAAGAGTTCAAGGTAATGATCATAAAGGTGTTCAGTGCACTCGGGAAAAGAACGAATGAACATGGTGATAAGTTTAACAAAGGGAAAATATAAAGAAGAACCAAACAGAGTTAAGGAATACAATAACTGAGATTTAAAAATACACTAGAAGGAATCAACAGTAGGTTAGATGATACAGAGGAATGGATTGGTGAACGGCAAGACAGAGTAGTAGAAATCAACAATTCAGAACAGCTAAAAGAAAAAAGAATTTTAAAAAATGAGGATAGTTTGAGAGAGGCCTCTGGGACAGCATCAAGCATAATAACATTCTCATAGGGGTCCCAGACGGGGAAGAGAGAGAAAGGGGCAGAGAACTTATTTGAAGAAATAATAGCTGAAAACTTTGCTAACCTGGGAAAGAAAAGAGACATCCAGGTTCAGGAAGCAGAGAGAGTCCCAAACAAGGTCAACCCGAAGAGGTCAACACCAAGACACATTATAATTTAAATGGTAAAAATTAAAGATAAAGAGAGAATCTTAAAAGCAGCAAGAGAAAAGCAACTAATTACATAGAAAGAATTTCCTTGAGACCGTAAGCTGACTTTTCAGCAGAAACTTTGCAGACCAGCAGGGAGTGGCATGATATATTCAAAGTGATAAAAGGAAAAAACCTACAACCAAGAATACTCTACCCAGCAAAGCTATCATTCCAATTTGAAGGGAAGATAAAAAGATAAAACAAGCAAAAGCTAAAGAATTCAGGACCACTAAACCTTTTTACAGGAAATGTTAAAAGGACTTATATAGGCAGGAGAGAAAAGGCCACAACTAGAAAGGGAAACTCTCACTGATAAAAGTAAACATACAGTATTGGTAGTAGATCAATCACATATAAATCTAGTAGGAAGGCTAAAAGACAAAAAAGTAGTAAAACAACCTATATCCACAGTATGTAGTTAAGGGGTACACAAAACAAAAAGATGTAAAATATGATGACAAAAACACTAGTCATGGAGAGGGGACTGAGAATGCATGGTTGTTAAAATGCGTTTGCACTTGAGATCATCATATTTAAATAATTAAATATATTTGTATATGTATGTATATGTATATATGTGTGATTGAACCTCATTTATTGTTGTTTTTATGAACTTCATTGTAACCACAAACATATTATAGATACACACACACACACACACACACACAAAGAAAGTAATCCAAATATAACACTAAAGAAAGTCATCAAATCACAAGGGAAGAAAGCAAAAGAAGAAAGGAACAAAAAAGAACTACAACAACCAGAAAACAACTAACAAAATGGCAGTAAGTACATACCTATCAATAATTACTTTCAATGTAAATGGACTAAGTGCTCTAATCAAAAGACATAGAGTGGCAGAATGGATAATAGAAACAAGACAAATACACACACACACACACACACACACACACCTGTGAGAGACTTCAGTTCTAAAGACACACAGACTGAGAGTGAGGGGATGGAAAAATGTATTCCATGGAAATGGAAAGGCAGCTGGGGTAGCAATAGTCAGACAAAATAGACTTTAAGACAAACACTATAACAAGAGACAAAAAAGGACATTACATAATGACAAAGGGATCAATCCAACAAGAAAATATAACAGTTGTAAACATATGTTCACCCAACATAGGAGCACCTGAATACATACAGCAAATATTAACAAACATAAAGGAAGAGATTGACAGTGACACAATAATAGTAGGGGACTTTAACACCCCACTTATATCAAAGGACAGATCATCCAGAAGATTGAAATTACATCAAGCATCTTTTTCCACCACAATGCCGTGAGACTAGAAATCAACTACAGGAAAAAAAACTTGAAAAAGCAAACACATGGAGGCTAAGCAAACCACTACTAAACAACAAATAGGTCACTGAAGAAACCAAAGAAGAAATTTTTAAAATAGCCAGAGACAAATGAAAGTGGAAACAAAATGATTAAAATCTATGGACTGCAGCAAAAACAGTTCTAAGAGGGAAGTTTAATGGTGATACATGCTACCTCAGGTAACAAGAAAAATCTCAAATAAACAATCTAACCTTGCACCTAAAGGAACTAGTAAAAGTACAAACAAAGCCCAACATTAGTAGAAGGAGAAAAAAAAAGATCAGAGTGGAAATGAAATAGAGACTAAAAATCAGTTTAAAAGATGAACAAAACTAAGAGCTGGTCTTTTGAAAAAAATAAGCAAAATTGATAAACTATTAGCCACACTCATCAAGACAAAAAGAGAGAGCCCAAATAAATAAAATCAGAAATGAAAGAGGAGCGGTTACAGGCAACACCACAGAAATACACAGTATCGTAAGAGATTACTACAAACAATTACATGCCAATAAAATGAACAACCTGGAAGAAACGGACAAATTCCTGGAAACATACAATATCCCAATACTGAATCAGGAAGAAATAGAAAATATGAACAGATCAAATATCAGAAATGAAATGGAATCAGCAGTCAAAACTCCCAACAAAAAACATTTAAAGAAGAGTTAATACCTATGCTTCTCAAACTATTCCAAAAAATTGAAGAGGGAGCAGTTTCCCAACTGATCCTGTGAGGCCAGCATCACACTGATACCAAAACCAGACAAAGATGTCACACACACAAAAAAAATTACACTAATGAACATAGAACATACAGGTTGGGCTGGGCTGGGGGGCTTTCAACTGCCCCTGGGGCCTGGCTTCCCTGTGGTTGCACAGATGGGTCTGCTCTCTATAAGCCTGGATGTTGGAAGGAAAGAGGCAAAAAGCTCTTTGTGGCTTCTGGCTCTTTTCCTGCACCTGGGAAGGAGTAAAGGAAATTGGACAGATCCCAAAGCTCTTGGAGGCCTTTCTGAAGCTCTCAGGGTTTGTAACCCTAGAAAATCCAGGCCACTGAACCTTTCCATGTCTTCTGCTGGGGGCACCCTAGGAGTGAGGGGCCCAAACCCAGCCTTTTTATTCCTTCTTCCTTTGAGTCATTCTCTAACCCCTTTTCCTACAGAAAGGAAGGGACTACAATTGCTTAACTTTTCTGTTCCCCACAAGCTTTCTGAACACTAGTTCATATACCACATGCCTTAAAAGTGTCACCTGGACTCCCTGAATTAATAACCCAAGGATCTTCCCAGGATTCTTCGAGCAGCTTCCTTGCCTCTTCTGCACATTCATCCTTCCCACTGCTGACTCCAGAGATTCAGCTTCAGGCATAAAACTAACAGAAACTGTAGTCGCCTAAGTGGAAACTCCCCTCCGCTGACTTTTTTTTTTTTTTTTTTTTTTTTTAACCATTTATGCCCAAATACGGTGCAGTAAAATGATTATGCTATCATTAAATATATCCTATGAACTTTTTGGTAGGTTTTATTTGATTGCAACATGGAAGTCAGTTGCAGTCCTTAGATGCTGAGGCATCATACCTATGCTTCACCCAGTGCGACTAGCCACTCACAACTTTAAAAAGCGGACTCTGCCAGTAATCACAGATGATTTTTGTTCGAGTATTTGGTTTTGTGACTGCGCTTGTCCCGCCCTCCTGGTGCATCTTTCTCATTCTTTGAGGAGCTCCGAAGGTGACCCTTTTGTAAGAGTTTGTTAATACAACATGGAACAGATCGTTTGGGCATGAGAACATTAAGTCAGTGAGTGAGGATTAGAACTGAGTTAAGGTGGATGCTGTCTTAACTACGCCTAGTTCAGTTATTTAATTATGTTGTGTCAACTGTAACTGCTTATTTGTCTTGCAGAATGTGCCTAAGCCTGGACACAGGAGAACAGACTCCACCCACAGCAGCAATGAGTCCGAATACACCTTTAGCTCTGAAATTGCAGAAACTGAAGACATTCCATCAAGGACAGAGGTACATTTTAGACACCTATCAGTAAAAGTAAGATGTGCCCATGCTGTTACTAACAGAGAACACTTTCTTTGCAGGGAGGGCCCCATTTGTCCATAAACGTAACGTTTGTTGTATGCTGTTTATTCTTCATAAGTGACTTAAAGGTGCTTAATTAGCTGTGTACATACATAACTTATTGCATATATTTTTTTGTCAATAAACATTTTAATTTTCATTTTTAATGTAATTTTGAGGATCAGATTTTCCCTTCTGTAATTCCCTTTTACACCTTAACATGTTCTATGTGCAAAAAACATAGCCTGTCATGAATTTATTTCAGACTGAGGTAAATTATTTGAAAGGTAAGCCCTCTGTCCTAGAATATTATAAATACCAACGCCCAGGAGTTTAGCAAAATTGCTGCCTGTTTGATGATAGTTTGTACCAATGTAATTCCCTCCCACAAAAATGCATGAAAAACAGCTTATAAATCTGCCTTAGTGTTTTGTGTTACATGGTTTGAAATCAAAATGACATGTTACTGTAACTCCAAGAGTACAGTGACTTTAAGTTAGATCGTTCCCAAACCAATTCTCAGATCTTCTTCAAATATGACATTAGTTTCTGTAATGGGTAATTCAGGCACAACTCTTCTATTTTTGTATCATATTCTGAGAGAATGGCCAAGTCAGAAATAGACTGCTTCTGACAGAACAGCTGAAAAAAAATGAATAATTCTTTCCTTTCTTGTCTTAGTTCCACTTGGGATGAAAAGTTTCTCCATCTCATTCTGTTCCTTTTAAAGAAAAGTGTCATATAATTGGACTCATACATAGGAGAGGGCTAAGTTGCTGGCCCAAGGTCACAGCTTGTAAGTGGCAGAGCCAGTATTCTAACTGAGGCCTGTCTGTTCAGAGCTCCACACTCTACCTCCTAGCACTCAGGGGTTCTACACTGCAGTTCTCCAGTCCCACTTCTGTCTACAGATAACGTTAGGCTGGCGATATTGATACAGCAGTATGACCTGTATATAGCAGGACAGAGGTTGTTCAGGTTACCTATTGTGCAACAAACCATCCCTGACTTTAGTGGTTTCAAACTACAGCAATTCATTATTGCTCACAGTTCTTTGGGTTTTTTTTTTTTCTTGAATTTTTGAATTTTATTTATTTTTTTATACAGCAGGTTCTTATTAGTTATCCATTTTATACATATTAGTGTATATACGTCAACCCCAATCTCCCAATTCATCCTCCGCTCCCCCCACCCACTGCCGCTTTCCCCCCTTGGTCTTGGTGTCCATATGTTTGTTCTCTACATCTGTGTCTCTATTTCTGCCTTGCAAACTGGTTCATCTGTACCATTTTTCTAGATTCCACATATATACAGTTAATATACAGTATTCCACATATATACAGTTAATATACGGTATTTGTTTTTCTCTTTCTGACTTACTTCACTCTGTATGACAGTCTCTAGGTCCATCCACATCTCTATAAATGACCCAATTTCATTCCTTTTTATGGCTGAGTAATATTCCACTGTGTATATATGTACCATTCGTCGTCTTTATCCATTTGTCTGTAGATGGGCATTTAGGTTGATTCCATGACCTGGCTATTGTAAATAGTGCTGCAATGAACATTGGGGTGCATGTGTCTTTTTGAATTATGGTTTTCTCTGGGTATATGCCCAGTAGTGGGCATTACATTTTTAAACTCAAAACTCTTATATGCTTTACCTAATTTTTACTAGTAACAGTTTTTGTCAGGGTCTCTATTCTTTTCAAGTTTTCTCCAGATTCTTACAGATTTGAGGGGAGGGGTAACCTTTTCATTTCTATTCTCACTTGTTTTCTGTCAAGTCTTTTCTCAGGTTAAGAGATAGATTAGAGTGGGATTTGGTACATTTTTCATCTTTTTTGAATAATGAAGTGTGTGAATTGTGCTCCAGAAATCACCTACAGATCTTGGATTATTGTTAGTGTCTGTCATGTGCACTGACCACCAACAGTAGGTCATACACTGGAAGCCTTCTCTCAATAATGAGGAAGGCTGTTGACAAGTAGTCATGCTTGTTTCTTGTGACTAAGTGCATGCATCTGAGATGTGGCTGGCTTTGGTTAGTGCTGTCTTTACCATGGGACAGACTACAGTAACTCTTCTCCTTGGGACTGAGTCCATAACCTTAGCCTCAATCTCTCTGTGTTTCAGTTTCCCCATCTGTGAAGTGGCAATGCTATTATTATCTTACTTTATAGTGATATTTTGAAGATTAAATGAGTTAATTTTTATAAAACACTTGTAGCAGTGTTGATACATAGTAAACTAGTGTTCAATAAACAGAGGTTTTTGCTCTAATAAACAGGCTTCCAGTGACCACCCTACAATTCTGACTGGGTGTGGCCAGGATCAGAAAGATGGAAATCTATACAACTAGTAATGGAAAAAGAGAGATTGATTATCAGAAGGGAAATTGTGCAGGACGTAACTTTGTACTTCGAATTACTTATGACTTGCAGGTTTGCATTTCTTCCTGCAACTACCCCTGTAATGGCCAGGTTTACAAATTGCCCCTTTCAAACTAAAGGAAAACTTTCAACTCCTATGTGTAATATTCCCAAGTAGCTCTTTTAGAATCCAGTGCCAGGAAAATAATGGGATCACTCTTGTTTATGAATTGATTTTTTAAAAATTAAAACAGATAAATTGTTTTGAAACACAGAATTCCGACCTTAGTCGTGTAATAATAGCAAAATTTGATGTAAAAATAAAAGATTAATGTCTCTGTAGTCAGAAATCACAAACCTGTGATTGTTTATTCACAAGACACAATGACACCTCCATTGCTCTTTCTCTCTGAAGAACTCACCTGCCAGCTCTACTTGCCTTGCAGCCCTCCCACACTTCCAGCATCTTCGTGGTTTGGGGTTATTTTTTTGGAACCATTGCTTCTCCACGCTCTGTAATGCCCCTTTCTTAGTAGCCATTAACAAATTATCTCAGTTCTGCTATTGCTGTCGAGCTTTCTCATACCTGTCAAATCCAGGAAAAGCGTCACCATAACTTTCTCAGCTATTGTCAGCAGTTAATTGCAGAATGACTGCCAAGCCTGTTGTGGTAATTTTGTGAACAAATTCTGTTATCTTCCTGATTTTACTCTAATGAGAGACTGTTGCTATTTTTTAGATTAATTTTAAAGCTTCACTTTCTTGGAAAAGCCCTAGATGACAAAGTCCTAACAAAGGAAAGAAAGCAAAACAAAACCCCAGAAACTTCCCTGAGCCAGATGGCCCAAACTTCCTTCTTGCTTACGTGGTATAGAGAGGACAATATATCTTTGATTTTACGTGTCATTAGGGATAAGAATGGGCACCATTTGGAGCTCTCTTAATTACTAATCATTATGCCTCAATTTTTGCAGTTGTCAAATGTTCCTATCTATAGGTACAATGATGAAATATTATATTCATTCATAGAATGAAGGTTTCTATCATAGTGTGAAAAAAGGATTAAATAGTTAAAAGTTTTCAGGGATACATACACCATTAATAGAGGAACAAACATTAAAATACATAAGATAGAATGTTTACATTATAAATAAGCTAAAATATAAGTATTTGTGGGATGTATAGAAATGAATTTTCATATGAATGAAATTGTGTGGTAATTTCATGCTCAGGGAAGATGTTACCTCTGTTGTACTAAGTCAGGACAGACTTTATGGTTAAGGTCATCTACCTAAACTTTTTGTTACTCTGAGCAGTGCAAAAGTGGACAGATGGACTTCCCTGGTGGCGCAGTGGTTAAGAATCCGCCTGCCAATGCAGGGGACACGGGTTTGAGCCCTGGTCTGGGATGATCCCACATACCACTGAGCCCGTATGCCACAACTACTGAGCCTGCGCTCTAGAGCCCGAGAGCCACAACTGCTGAGCCCGTGTGCCACAACTACTGAAGCCTGTGCACTTAGAGCCTGTGCTCCACAAGAAGAGAAGCCAGCACAATGAGAAGCCCACGCACCACCACAAAGAGTAGCCCGTTCTTGCTGCAACTAGAGAAAGCCCGAACGCAGCAACGAAGACCCAACACGGTCAAAAATAAATAAATAAATAAAAATAAATTTTTTTTTTTTTAAAGTGGACACAAAGAAAAAGACCAGGTCTAACTAGTTTGTAGATAAATGACCCTGACAGCCTATAAATGCCCCACTTCTTAGTTTAGTTGATTCTTCTTAGGTGTCTTTTTAGAACTGGAATAATACTGAACTTAGCACTACCAAGAATTCACAAAAAATCAAAGATTGCTCATGAATATAAAAATTATTCAACCTCATCAAAAGATAAAGAAATATAAATTAAAACAATAATGAAAAACCACTATTGGTCTACCAGCTGAGCCAACTTTTTTTAATGATGACAGTCATTGCTGTTCCAGGCAAGTTGGTGGCTGCTGATGGAAGTATAAACAGGCTCAACCAATTTAATAGACTTAAAAACATTAATGTTTAGATATTTATGTACTAGGTTGTTTATTTTAGTATATTTCAATAGCAAAAAATTAGAAATAACCCCGGTGATCACCAGTAAGGTAATAGCTAAGCAAATGATGGTACACATGTCAATACAGCCATTAAAAATTGTGCTTTCAAGTATCATATTATAAATTTGGAAAACGATTATAATACGATGCTAAGTTTTAAAGACAGTACAAAATTATAATGAAAGTACTATTCCAGTTCTTTAAATTTGTTTAATAAAAAAGACTGGACAAAAATTGTGGGTTTTCTCTGGGTATGAGATTATGCTTACAGCTCTCTTCTTTGTACTTTTCTTATTTCCTAAACTTATTTTGCTTTTATATGAGGAAAAAACTTTTTTAAAAAAAATTGACAATTGGAAATATAAGATTTGCTGATGAGTTAAGAATTATACTTCGATCATTTAATTAAATAAATGAGTTGTTGTTACCATTCTCTTTCTCTCTAACAAAAAGATGATCTTTATCCTCTCAAAATCTAATGATACAATTGTTTCTCTTCTTACCTCATTAAAAATTCAAACCCAAAGTAAAGAAAGTAAAACAATTATGGAGCCTCCAGAATTTCTATGATGGTGGTTAGGGGTTAATTATTTCCTTTTGTTTAGCTTTAGTTAGTGTATCTTTATTTATCCTACTAGTTCTCCCTGTGACTCTGTTTTAGAACCAATTGACATGCTTTTAAATGCTACTAGGTTATCTTTCAGTTTATTAAGTGCTGTATATATTTTGTTTTTTTAGTTTTCTCTCTGACATCAATATATTTATGCTAGCATCTCACCTTTTCAAAAATCATTTTTCCTAATTACAAAAGTAATACATGCTCATTGTAAACAATTCAAATATAGAAATGTGTGAAGTAGAAAATGAAACTTTCCCACAGTACCTCCCATTCTCTAAGATAACCTCGATGGCCTTCTAGATATTTGTATGCCATGTGCTAGGTATACTTAAAAGTCACGTGTATTGGGTTTTGTTTTTTTTTTAAGAAAAATGAGATACTGTCCTGCAACTTGTTCATTTCACTTAATACTTTTATCTAGAACATATTTATCTACTCATATAGATCTACTTCATTATTTTTAACAGCTATAAAATACTTTATAGTTTAGCTATACCATAATTTATTTAAGCAACTCTCCTATTGACCAACATTTGAATTCTTTTTAGTTTTTTGCAATTACAAAAAATATTACAGTGAACATCTTTCCCCATATATTTTTGTGTACTTGTGTATTTGTGCAGGATTAATTCTTAAACATATATTGCTATGTTTGTCCTATGTTAAAGAATATACAGACTTAAATTTTAATAAATACAGCTAACTTGCCCTTCCAAAGGGCCTACTTATAACTTCCACCAATATCTTATAAGACACTGTTACTAACACATGGCCTTATTAATCTTATTAGTCTTTGCCAATATGATAGGGGGAAAGTGGTACCTCGCTGTTGTTTAATTCACATTTCTCCATTTATTAGCTGGTTGGATGTGTTAGTTGTATATACTTTGGCCATTTATATTTCTCCTATAAGTTTGCCTGTTTCTCTGTTGAGCTGTTCATCATTTTCTCATTGGCTTGTACATCTTCCGAACCATCTTGACCATCTTCTGCTTTCTGGGGTTTAGGAGCCAAGCGAGAAGAAGGTGCCTCTGGACATGTCATTGTTCCTCAAGCTCCAGAAGCGGGTCACAGAGCTGGAGCAGGAGAAGCAGGTGATGCAGGATGAGCTGGACCGCAAGGAGGAGCAGGTGCTCCGAAGTAAGGCAAAGGTGCGCAGTGCTCTCCCACCCTAGGGCCATGGCAAACCGAGTTCTTCAGTTTCTTCTTTAATGGCAACTCAGCCCAGAAGTACTTTAACTTTAACCAAGTAGGTTTTGGTTCAAGTAGTGAGGGCTTAACTCTCCTCACTCTTTTCTGCTGAGCTAGGAAATATTCTAAGAGTAAAAATGTGACAATTAAAATATAACTACTTACTTATAAAGTTTTTAACTTTGTGTGTTTCCCTAGGAAGAAGAAAGACCACAAATTAGAGGTGCAGAACTGGAATATGAGTCGCTCAAGGTAATGGGAAGTTTCAGCCCAAGACTTTGAATATCTTGTGGCGAGAGACCTGCTCAGAGCTTCTTTCTCTCAGAGAACATCCTTAAGGGTGCCTGAGGCCCTAGCTTAAGGCTTATTCAGGCATTAGTTGTAGCCCTGTGTCATTCCCTTTTTAAAATTCTCTTTCATATAAGCTAGAGTTCAGTCTAAGCAGAAGCAGGAGCAGTAGCTGCCATTTGAGGCTGTAGAAGGTAGTAAAGGACATGGACCCAGGTGACACACTGCCTGGGTTCAAATGCTAGATCTGCCACTGTATGACTGTGTGCAAATTCTCCTTTCTGTGCCTTGGTTTTCTCATCTATAAAGTGGGAATAATGATAATATGTATCTTATAGGACTGTCATGAGGATTATATGAAGTAATTCATGTAAACTGCTTAGAATAGTGCCTGGCACATCATAAGGACCCAACGAATGTTGGCTGCTGTCATTACCTTCATCATTTTAAAATACAAGCACTTTACACATCAGCCTTAATTTTTAACAACCATCCTTCAAGTAAGCATTTTAATTCCCATTTTATAGATGAAGCAATTGACACTAAGAAGTATAAGTAACTTCCCTGAGATGACCCCACTAGAAACCGATAGGAATGGAATTTGAACATTGGTATCTCTAGCTCCAAACCCCATGCTCTAACCATCAAACCCCACTGAAACTATGTGTTTGTAGAGAAAGACAGTTCCCAAGTATTAGCTCAGTGTTTCGAAATGTCCCTGGTCCATCTGCGTCAGCGTGACCTGGTAATTTGATGGAAATGCAAATTTACGGGCCTCACACCAAACCTATTGAATCAGAAACCGTGGGTGTGGCACCAAGCCGTCTGTCCTCCGGGTGATTCTGATGCACACTAAAGTTTGGGAAACATGGCATCAGAGCTTAGGTGTCGAAGTAAAGACATTCGTACGTTTTCAGAAATAGCAATACGAATCTGATTACCAGTTGGTAGGAGACTGGGGATAGGAAGGAGCATTCATTTTCACGTTTGAATGGACTAATTCATGAAAGAAAGTGTTATACATTCTTAAACTAGGGGGAAAAAAGGACTTTAATTAGTCTTACTATAACATGTTGAAAGGTCTAATATGGTGCTATAAACCTAAGATTTCTTCTCTGGAAGAAATGGTAAAATATTTTATCTTTGTGTGGAAGTGTCTCACTTCCACTATCATAAAGCCTTAATGTCATGTGCTAAGTAAATCAGCATGGTGCTTTTAAATGCCCGTCTGCTTCACTATTTCCCAACCAGTATCCTGTGACATTTGTATTTTAGGGTCAGTAAATAGAGTTTAGCGGCAGAGCTCTATTCTGGGTTCCACTGCCGTTGGTTGAGCAGAGCCTACAAAGGGCAGCACTAACTGGTGATGGGAGGATGGCTGGTAGTATGTGAAAGTATGGAGATGGTAAAGGATGTGTATGTCCATCTAGATGACTGAAGGAAGAGGTCGCCCACCCTCTCCTCCTGCTTCTCAAGGCTTCCGCCAGCAGCTTCACAAGCATGTCACACAGGAAAGAAGTTTCAAAAATATATTGTTTGTTGTTACTGAAACACTATAGAGAATTTTATTAGTTTAAATGCTATGTAATTTTTAAATTAGAAGCTAAAAGCCTAAAATTTCAGTGGTCTTTCCCCTCTCCTTTACAAAAGAAATAAGAGGGTACTACTCAACACTTCAGGGATCTGCTCTCTGAACCATTCATTGGAAATAACCTGACCATTTGGACCTTCATATTTGTGCTTGTATTTACCCATAAAGAAAACCTGGGCTTCTTAGTACTGAGATAAACTCACCCCTTAGGACTCAGCCTTCTCTTCAGGCCTGTGACCACACCCTGGGCAGCCTGGAATAAATTTGATTCTGGAATTTAGGTTGATGAAGCAAACTACCATTCACCTTGCTCAATTCCACTTGACGTTGACTTTCTTAATTTTAAGAGCAGAGTTCCCAGTAGAACCAGGGGAGCCATTCACTAGGGGAGCTCTGGCGATCTTTTCCAGCAGAATTCTTCTACTATCTTAGGGAAGGATGAGTATTCCAATGTAAAGTTGAGGATGACAGTGATGAACTATTCTTTATCTATTCATACAGCGTCAAGAGCTAGAATCAGAAAACAAAAAACTGAAAAATGAGCTGAATGAGTTACGCAAGGCCCTTAGTGAGAAAAGTGCCCCCGAGGTGACCGCTCCAGGTGCCCCAGCCTACCGTGTCCTCATGGAGCAGCTGACCTCTGTGAGTGAGGAGCTCGATGTCCGCAAGGAGGAAGTCCTCATCTTGAGGTCTCAACTGGTGAGCCAGAAAGAGGCCATCCAACCCAAGGTAAGCATGAGCAAGTGGCTCAGGTGGGTGTTTGGGGACTGGCCTCTTTCTTCATACCCTTTCCCTCCAATTTATTTATTTATTTATTTATTTATTTTTGCGGTACGCGGGCCTCTCAACTGCTGTGGCCTCTCCCGTTGCGGATCACAGGCTCCGGACGTGCAGGCTCAGCAGCCATGGCCCACGGGCCCAGCCACCCCACGGCATGCGGGATCCTCCTGGACCGGGGCACGAACCTGTGTCCCCTGCATCTGCAGGCAGACTCTCAACCACTGTGCCACCAGGGAAGCCCTCTCTCCAATTTATAACAAAGCAAACATTTAAGAGCATTTTTAGTCTAATTGAGGATACCATCATTTTTGGGGAAAAATCTCAATGTTGTTTTAAAACTGTTGCAAATACCAATTGGAGTGAACAAGAAGCAAATGATATCCCAAATGCTCTTCAAAGTTTCACCGCTCACTCATGAGCAAAAGGCTTTTAAAATTAATCGTTTTTTAGTAATCTGGTCATGATAAATTTTGATCAAAAATACAATTCTATTAAATACAAAAATCCATAAGTTGTCTTGCTGTGGGAAGGCATTAAATACAATTTTAAATTATTTGTTGAAAATAGCCTGTTTAAAGATAGGAAAGATAACACATGAAAAGGTTAGAAATGAGATCAGTGAGTAGAAGAGACATGGTGATGATTTCTGCTCACTTCAAGAAGTTCTGTTTAATGGTGGGAGTTGTCCCAGCTAGGAGGGGCTGTGTTTAGTGATTCCACAGAAGGGACCCAGGCTGAAGCATATAGATGGCCCTTTGAACGCCTTCCCTGACCTCAGATAACTTGAGATCCAACTGCCATGTGTTGGTGAGAAATGGACCTTTTAGTCATTCGACATCGGGGGGAATCTGAATAATCATCTTAAAACCTGGTTTTTGTCCCTACCCATGTTCATGAAGCAAAGTGTTACCAACAATTAGGCAATCAAGTATCCCAGCTGCATGACCTGCCACATAAAAAATGACTATAAGAGAATGAAAAAAAAAAAAAAAGACAGAGAATGACACATCCCATATGATTTCACTTAGTATGTGTGAAATCTAAAAAACAAAACAGAAACAGACTCATAGCTAGAACAAACTAGTGTTTGCCAGAAAGGGAGGGGTTTAGAGGGTTGGGTGACATAGATAAAGGGGATTCAGAGTTACAGACTTCCAGTTATAAAATAAATAAGTCACAGGGATGTAATGTACATCATAGGGAATGTAGTCAATGATATTGTAATAACTCTGTATGGTGACAGATGGTAACTAGACTTATCCTGGTGATCATTTCATAATGTATAAAAATATCAAATCACTATATTGTACAAATGAAACTGACATTGTATGTCAATATAATTCAATTTTTAAAAGACTATAACATATAATGAATGGGATGCCTGAAAGATCTGAGAGCACTTCTCTTAGAAATGGTAGTTCTGGGGCTTCCCTGGTGGTGCAGTGGTTAAGAATCCTCCTGCCAATGCAGGGGACATGGGTTCGAGCCCTGGTCCAGGAAGACCCCTCATGCCGCAGAGCAACTAATCCCGTGTGCCACAACTACTGAGCCTGCGCACCTAGAGCCCGAGCTCCGCAACAAGAGAAGCCACTGCAATGAGAAGCCCGCACACAGCAACGAAGAGTAGCCCCTGCTCGCCGCAATTAGAGAAAGCCCGCGTGCAGCAACGAAGACCCAACACAGCCAAAAATAAATAAATAAAAATAAAAGAAGATTGAAAGCCTCCAAATTCTGAAAAAAAAAGAAAAGAAAAGAAAAAAAGAAATGGTAGTTCTGCATGTGGTTAAGATACCATACCTGGCACATAACATTTGTATTTGATAACGACAACTCACACCTGGGATTGGGCCTCAAGAAACAAGCCTCCCTCTGCATGCTAGCTGGAACAGAGTCCAAAATTAGAATTCCTTTCTCTGGTTCCCTGTGATGAACTAATATTCTAACAAGAAACTTTAGTAAAAGTCAGTAGAAAGAAAAAGAAAAATGAACCAAGGGGTATAAAAACAATCCAGCTCACAAGAGCACATAGCTTTGGTACCTCACACTGTCACCTACCCAGCTCACATACTCCATGTGACAACTTATCTCCAGCGCCTAATGGGCTGGCCCTGTCTAACCAAGGTCCCTGCTCTCCAGGCTCCAAGCCTACACATAGCATCAGCTTGTTTTCTCTTAGGAGAAATGCCCAGGACACTGACTAAGCCCTTTCAAACCCAGGGCTGTTTATCCCACTCCGTTTCTAGTCAAGAGACACATCATTTCACAACTCCTTTGCAAGCAAGTGGTAAGTGATATCCCGTGAGCCAGGTGATGATCCAGCCCAGCCAGCCACATCTAGTTTACGTGCTCCACCTCCACAAGTGTTCGGGAGGCTTCACTTGGACAAATGACCTCCTACCAAGGCGTTACTGTTAACTCTCACAGACCTGGGATAAGAATTTTACCATAATACATTAACAGGAGGTTCATTTTCCTCATACCCTCACAAATACTTTATAATTAGAAAAATCAAAACAACTCAAAAGAATTTCAAGAGTCTGTTCCTGACAATTAAGGGTTGCCATTACATAAATATATATTAATGTCCACGTCATGCCAGTTCCATGGACAGTAATTTACATACAGACTTAATTTTAGGAGAAACAAACTTGGTTGTTTTCACAGTTAGCTTTTATCTGTTTTGATGAGGACTCAAGATGGAATTTATTTGTGGAACTAAGGGTTTGTTGTTTTCTCCATTTGTTTTTTGTGCCTGCTGACTTGTGATTTTCAGGATGACAAGGTAATTATATATTTTTTAAAATTTTTAGTAAACACTTCTATTTAATCCTGATTTTTACAAGTATCCCCCAGTTTTGCAGTTGATATTTTCTGGCCAACAAGTCTATTTTGATATTTACAAATTAATTTCCTATTTGACCCCCTGCTATTTGAGAAGTCAGTGGGAAAATAATGGATGTCATAGGCTCCAGTCTGGATCGCAGAGAGGCCTCCATGACTTTTGAATTCGTAGTCAGCTCTGTGACTCATAGTGGTAGTTATGGCAGGCCATCCACAAGCGGGGGAGGGAAGCCCTTAACTCGGAGCACACTCCAAAGTGCAAGCTCTCCCATACTCTCATTTCTACGAGCTGTGGGTTTGTTGGCCAAGGGAGAGGAGGGGCCTGAGGAGCTGAGCATGCCCTTCTTGGGAAGAGTGGGATTTTCCTACATGGCGCAACCCTTTCAGAACTTCTGGTCCTGTCTTGGCAGGGACTCTTTGAGCAGTGAGTCAGGAACTTCCTAGCGCTGGCAGTCCAAGTCTGACCCCATGCCCAGCCCCTGCTTCTTAGCTATGATAGGCCAGATAAGGGAAGGACTGGCTACTTTCTACTATCTTTCCTTTGGATGAGTTCATTAGATCTACTTACCTAATTTACTAAAAGTTAAAAACCAGATCATGTAGGTCCTCAGATGTCAAAGAATACATGTAGTGTTATTTAACATAGAAACTGGTTCTTTGAGTTACTATCTAAAACTTAAAAATCTGAGTATGGTCCTTTATAGAGTAGAAAGATTTTCTGCCTTTCAATAAAAGAGAAAAAGAAATTTTCTATGAAATATGTACTAAAATATTTATAAAACATACCTAGAATATTTATAAAAATGCTATATGTGGTGCTTATGGGAAAGATTTTTAAAATCAGTAAAGCATAAGCTCTTGTTAATAGCTCTTATCAGATTATATTTGGTCTTCTCTAAGTGTGCATTTATAGACTCACAAAAGGACAGCATTAGGATAAAACTGGGATTTTTTTTAAAAAAGGATGTTTTTTATTATAAACACTGGAATTCAAAAGCGAGTATTTGTAGGCCTCTAGTTGACATTAAAGTTATCTTGGTCTCTAAGATCATGATATTTGAAGTGTATTCTATAATCTCCACTTCACTGTGAGATCTGGCTTTAGAGCAAACGTTGACTAAAGGATCAGACATATACTATTTAGACAAATAGAATGGGCTCTTGGGTTCTAAAGAGTATTATTCTTTAGAGGCTATAGAGCAGTTGTTCTTATTGTCTGTTCTTGCCCTGGTTTAGGAGAGAGAGAGAGTGGCTGAGTAGAGACAAGATTTTGAGATTACATTGGTTGTCAGACAGATTACACCAAAAAGGAAAAATAAAAAAGGAAGTAAAAATGTTAGCAGAAAAGTCCTTTCTATGCAAAATCGTTAGTAATTCTGACCTGCCAGATGTTTATTTCAAAAGCTTATGTACCATGCTATACTGTAACAGAGGAAAAAAGAATTGAATAACAGCAGATGGTAGACATTTCCAAGGAGCTAAATCCTTCCCATTTATATATATCTAAAGATGTGAGGAAAAAAACATTTAATTTTGCTGAAACACATGATCTGAACACCACTTGTTTTGTACTGAGTTGTTAATGGAAAAATGAGCTTTATGTCAAACTTTTCGTGTTTATTAGGGCATTTGTTTTGTTATAACTGGTCCGGAAGTAGAAGAAAGAACAGCTTTGTACATTGCATTGAATACTTGGTGTTCTTGCCTGGTTATTGTTTTAATGCTGTATATAGTTTATATCTATATGTATATTTTTTAAAGTATATATACAACATTAGAATAATAACCAGGCAAGGACACTGAATATATATATATATATATTTACACTGTGTGTGTGTGTGTGTGTGTGTGTGTATACACACACACACACAGTGTAAAACACATGGGGCCCATCAGTGATTTTATTTACTCTAGAATCACACCATCTTTGTAGTAGAGTGTTAGGGATTCTCAAGAGAGGGACTGGAGGTGCCTCTTCCTCTTAACTGCCTGTGCCCCACTCTCTGTAGTTGTACCCGGGCTAGGGCAGATGCTCTGGTGGGGCAGAGGTGTTGTAGAACACAGAAACCCCCTATTCTGGAGGAAAGAAAAATGTTGTATGAGGTTCAAAGCTTTAGAGTTAACACTTAATGTGGAAATGTGTCTTTTCCCCCTTCAGAATACAATGACAGATTCCACAATACTTTTAGAAGATGTACAAAAAATGAAAGATAAAGGCGAAATAGCACAAGCATATATCGGTTTGAAAGAAACAAACAGGTAAGTTGATGTTTCTTTTATTCATTTTGGTTTAATCATATTGATCTTTAATCTTCAAGCCAGCCTCTTATACAGTAAGTCCAAGTGTTTATGCGTTGTTTTGTTAGACATCAGCTGACCTTCAAAGGGGATCCAAGGTTTCCAATATATTCCCAGTTAAAATCTCATTTATAATAATATAAGGTAGCATTACCTTATATTATTATAAGAGGTGAGAGATGGAAAGGAAAATATTCTTTACATTAAGGGAATATATTTCTGTATATTTAGGGTCTTAGCCTTGAGAAGAAAACCAGTTGCTTACTATACAGCTTGGTCTATCTTGGGTAGTCACTTCCATTTGTTATTCAGGATGGTTATTGTGAAAGTTTGTAGGGACAACTGCAGCTTTCAATAATTGAAATTTAGTGTGAAGAGAAGTGATGAAGTAGCGGAATCACATCTGTGTTGGCCATGTAATTCTAGAAGGGTACCATGACTTCTAGGATGGGACCCTGATATATGAGACCAAGTTTTTGTCACGTTTCCTAAGGTGTTCTGAGAAAATTCTAACCTTGGTTTCATCTCATTTACTCATGAGTGAACTTGTAGATGGCATTTAGCTCCGTCTTAAGAGCCTTGGGTGGGCTGAGAGTACAGATTTGCAGTCACTAAGTGACCAAACTTTCCCAGAAGTTTTCCCTATAGCTTAGAGTATCACAGCTCATTGCTGGAATTCCTCAGCCTTCCTACCATTCCTGCTTCCCAAAGAGCCTTCATGCTATTGAACTCTGAACTTAAAAGACTACATGCTTAAAAGAACACAGCCAGTGATGATAACAGAGATTTATCAGTGTACTTCTAGGTCTCCTGGTGCGTAATGTCAGGATTGGTATACAGAAATACTTCACAAACTAAAGAATATTACCATGCAAAATGTAAGGTACTTACTACCTTCTTTTATGGGCAAGAGTGGAGAATGCTTATAAAAGTATTTGGTTAAACTTAAATTTTAATTTATGTATGTAGGTTGTAAGCATATCTTATAGCTAAGAATGTGTTAGTATAAAAAGAGCTATATTACATTGTTCATCCATCCACTCAGCTGTTCGGTCACCAGATATGTATTGCATGCCTGCTTCATCCCAGGCCCTGTGCCACACACTGGGAATATAGCAGTAAGCAAGATGAATACAGTCCTTCCTTTCACAGAGTTTTATAGGCTGTTGGGGAGACAGCCAAGATAATTTGGACTTCCCTCCAGTGACAGGAAGGAAGTCATTTTTTTTAAAATTTATTTATTTTTATTTTTGTCTGCGTTGGGTCTTTGTTGCTGCCCGCTGGCTTTTCTCTAGTTATGGCGAGCAGGGGCTACTCTTCGTTGCCATGCATGGGCTTCTCATTGCGGTGGCTTCTCTTGTTGCGGAGCACGGGCTCTAGGCGCGCAGGCTTCAGTAGTTGTGGCTCGCGGGCTTAGTTGCTCTGTGGCATGTGGGATCTTCCTGGACCAGGGCTCGAACGCGTGTCCCCTGCATTGGCAGGCGGATTCTTAACCACTGCACCACCAGGGAAGCTGCTGAAAGATTTTAAGTAGGAGAATGATATGATGAGATTGGAATTTTAGAAAGCTAGCCCTGGCTTTTATGTTAGAGAATAGATTATAGTGGAACAAGATTGAGAGCATAAAGACCAGTTAAGAGGTTACCACTATAATTGAATGACTGATTATAGTGACTTTGACTTAGTTGGTAACAGTTGGGATTGAAGAAAATGGGACACTTTGAAAGATACATAAGAAGATGGGGTGTGTAGCCTTGCAGTTTGTTGGCTGTGTGGGATGGGGACCGTGAAGGGTAACTTTGCAGTGTCTGCTATGGATACTTGGTTGGATATAGTGATGCCAGTTTGTGATCCTGGGTCTGGGATGTGGGGAAGTACAGGAAATGATCAGTAGATTTACAAATATTTAAGGAGGTAGGAAGACATCCAAGGAGAGAAATTCATTAGGCAGTTGAAAATATAGGTCTGGAACAGGAGAGATATGTAGGCTGAGATGTAAATATTGAAGTCATCAGCATGTAATAATACAGTTGAGACCATGCAAATAAATCAACTCTCTAGGGATAGATGGTAGATGGAAAATAGAAGAGCAATGTCTGAAATTTGTTTTATGTAAACATCGTATCAACAAGAGAAGTCTAGGGGCTTCCCTGGTGGCACAGTGGTTAAGAATCCGCCTGCCAACGGAGGGGACATGGGTTCCAGCCCTGGTCTGGGAAGACCCCACATGCCGCGCAGCAACTAACCCCGTGTGCCACAACTACGGAGCCTGTGCTCTAGAGCCTGTGAGCCACAACAACTGAAGCCCACGCGCCTAGAGCCCGTGCTCTGAAATGGGAGAGGCCACCACAATGAGAAGCCCGCGCACCGCAACGAAGAGTAGCCCCTGCTCGCCGCAACTAGGGAAAGCCCGCGTGCAGCAACAAAGACCCAACACAGCCATAAATAAACAAACAAACAAACAAAACAGAAGTCTAGTAGGAGAAGTAAGAACCTGGGCTCTGGAGTCACATAGCCCTGGCCTTCACCACTTGCCAACTGTGCAACCCCTGCAGGTATCTTACGTCTAAGCCTCAGTGTCTTCTTCTGCAGTGTGGCAAATGATATATATTGGGTTACTGGGAGAACTAAATGAAATGATACATGTGGAAGGTTGTAGAATGGTGTCTGACACTTGACAAACAGTCAAAAATATTATTTTTATACCCTCAGTAGAAAAAAAACTATAACCAACTCTGTCAGTTTTGTTAATTCTACATACTTTTAATAAAATGTGTCACACTTCTAGTAAAAAAGAAGTTTCCCCAGGTCTTAAAATTAATTTTTGACACAACAAACCTTTTAAAAGTTGTGTCATAAAAGCTGGAAACTTTGGACATATACTGGCTTATAAGTTACTCCTATAAGAATTTTAAAAAATAATTTTAAAAATACAAAATCAGATTTTATTAAGCTAAAACAAATTCCTACCCAGAAGACTTAAAACTTCATTTTGAAATGAATTATGAAAATTGCCACATGAAGACAGTAGCTGAAATTTTCATTCTATATGTACATGACTATTTTGGTTAGTCTCTAACATAATATGTGACATATAAGATCACTCTGCTAGCTGAAGTGGGAAGCAGCCACATAGCACAGGGAGATCAGCTCGGTGCTTTGTGACCACCTAGAGAGGTGAGATGGGGGAGGGTGGGAGGGAGCCGCAAGAGGGAGGAGATAATGGGGATATATGTATATGTATAGCTGATTCACTTTGTTATAAAGCAGAAAATAACACACTATTGTAAAGCAATTATACCCCAATAAAGATGTTAAAAAAAAAAGATCACTCTGTTAGCTGAATAAAATGTTAAAAATAGAACCTCCTTCTTACCTCTTCAGTCATTTATTATTTTGCAGGAAAAGTAGCTCTAGATGTTGATTATTTTGTTTTAATTTCTACACATTTACATGTGATGTTACATGTTACCCATTTTTTAAAAAAAATTAACCAAAAATGATTTTTGTGGTAACATCTTAAAGTCATCTGTAATTAATAAAAACAGTCCTGTTGACTTAATAAAATATTGAAATATCACATGCTGCTCTTGACCATCATCATCTCATTACCATCGCTTTGTGTTTTGCATTATTTTTCCTTTTGCATGGAAGATCATCTGCTATGGATGGCCATGAGTTGAATGAGGATGGAGAGCTGTTGCTGGTTTATGAAGGGTTGAAACAAGCCAACAGGTTATATTTGTCTCCTCAAAATGGGATGTTATTAATTTGTTGTTTTTCTTACTAACAGTGGCCTCCGGACTTTAACTTCTGTATTTCTTATTCATTAAGTGTCTTCCTGGGTAAATTTCAGACACTAAAGTTTGTGAATATCTCACTAAAAGTGGAAGAAATTCCAAACCTCTCAACTGGAGCCCAAGCTACTACTGCAGGAGAGATTAATACCTATTACTTAGTGGTTTCTTGTTTGGAATAATGATCAATTTAAAGGATATATGTGCCTGAGCAATGTGTCTACATTCTCATATATTATGATCATGCTGCCTAACAGCAGTGTTAAGCAGTGTTAAGTGCACGATTTGGCATTCTGTGTGGTTATTGTGAAATTCCGATTTATGAAACCGCAAGCAAAGAGGGTTTCCTGCATTGCTACAGTTCAAACTAATCACCCTAACTCAACATGTTAAATATGTTTAGGGGAAAGCAAATGAAAATGAAACAGCAGCACCTTTCTAACACAGACACTCATCTCCTCTAGTGAGATTTGTGTCTTAAAATCTCTTAAAAATGCCATTTTAGTGATGAATTTAAAAAATATTTAGAAATATTTAATTTTTAATATTTATATTAAATATTAATATATAAATATTTAATTTAAAAATATTTTAAAACATTTAGACTCTTTGTTCGAGGGGCTTCTACTTATTCTGCTTTGTTCTAATCACAAACCATTGTCATTAACTTTGTGGTGTTATTGGTTCAAATCCTTTTGAAATTTTATAATCATTAAAATATTTTTAGTCTGCTGTTAACTGTTTGCTTGCAATGGCATCAGTGTTTCCCAGCATTTGATAACTAAGGGGGTTCGAATAAAAGAACATCTTTGCTTTCTTCATGTTAGTTAATTCCTATCCATAACTTTGTCTTGGCTTTGGAAAAGGGGGTGAATGTAGAAATGGGGGTGCCTGGTGAAGGGAGGATGCCAGTTCGCTCTAGTATCCTCCTGCCCTAGACTACTCACGGCGCAGCTGACTTGTATGTTTGCTCAGAGAAGCAGTAGCTGCTTTGTTGGTCCCACTAATATTGATGTTCTAAAACCATATCTTGTTAGGATTCTGTTACTGATAAGGAAGTTTATGGGGAAAGAGAAAATGACAGATTTTATATATATATATATATATATTTATATATATATATGAAATTTCAGAGCTATCTGTCTGGATTTGGGTAAATCTGTATGTATTTCAGAGTAGCACTGCAGCCTTTCTGCCCTTCAGAGATAAAAGTAGAAAGTAAAAATGGGACCCTGGTCATACCCTCTGCCTGGAATTAGTAATGCTGAAAGTCTTCAAGGCATATTTAATTAGATGGGGCATTTGTAATCTTGCCCTCCATAGTGCGGTGATTTTGTGACGAAGGTACTAGCTTTGCCAACTTTAATGCTAGTTTGTGAATGTAGTAAGCCAGGTTCTTTAACCTATGTCTTTTCATTGATTGATCAATTTTTAATTGATTGATTGATCATCATTTCCTATGAACCTTTCAAAAGAGCTAAAATTTTCCTGTTTCTAGGGGCCTTTGAGAACTTTGTAGCAGGGTCCACAGTTCAGAAAGACACAAATGTGAGCACATTTGTTTCCATTTCTGGCCCTTGGTTGAGTTCCTAGACTCTAATCAAGTCAGAAGCTACACAGTCACTACAGAGCCCCCGCTTTTCTGCCCTTGCAAGTGAGCATGGAGTCTTGCACCCTTCAGGCAGGGACCCTGGTGTCACCTCCCTTTCCTACTCATGTGGCTTCTCCGCAGGCTCCTGGAATCCCAGCTGCAGTCGCAGAAGAGGAGCCATGAGAATGAGGCCGAAGCCCTCCGCGGGGAGATCCAGAGCCTGAAGGAGGAGAACAACCGGCAGCAGCAGCTGCTGGCCCAGAACCTGCAGCTGCCCCCAGAGGCCCGCATCGAGGCCAGCCTGCAGCACGAGATCACCCGGCTCACCAACGAGAACCTGGTAAGGGAGGTGCCAGGCCACACTCCTCAGCACGCAGGCCCTAGCCCTGCAGGGCGGCCTTCCTTGCTTTTTGAGCAAAATGTCTTTCCTGACTGGGAAACACTCACTGCCCCACACTTGTTCCCCTCTTTCCCTATCAGGGACAGAGTAAGGAAAATAGGACTATGTTGGTAGAAGTGAAAAAGGCATGTACTCGGGTTGTTTCTCACAGAAGGCTCTGGTGCATCTCAGCATCCTCAGCCCTCACTTGGAGGGTCTGGAAGATATCGGCCGACTGTGTGCTGGGCTTTTGATATCCTCAGGAACTCAGCTTCCTCCACGTCAGCTGCAGCTTCTCTGCCACCGAGGAGGTTATATAGTTGTCACAACCTTTGGTCCCCAAGCACCACTGTGGCCATCCCAGCCCCTGTCTCTAGCAGACAGCGGGGTTAGAGTTAGGGTCAGGCAAGGCAGTTGGCAGAACCAACGTGGGGCTGTAGGTTGACCTTGGTTCTAGCTCCAAGGTCAGGGAGGAGGAACGTCAGGATTCAAGTTTATACATTCGTGATTCTTTTTTAGCAGAACTTGGGCAGTGAATGAGGAGATTTTTTTCCCCTTGCCAGATTCTGAGTGCTGGCACAGAGTCCAAGTTTGTTCTTTTTCTCTTTTTTTCTTTCTGTCCTTCTTTCTTTTATAGAAAATATTTTCTAAAATATTTCTTTCTCAGTCACAAAGTAACTTTTATTACAGATTTATACTTAAGTTTGATAAACATTTATTAAAGTAAAAGTCATTGAAAAAGTATAATTCCACTTTTTTTTTTTTTTTTTTTTTTGGCTGTACCACATGGTTTGTGGGATCTCAGTTCCTCAGTTACCCGACCAGGGAACTCCCAATGCCATATTTCTATATAAAATCTATATTGTAGTGTCAGTCTGGTTTTGAGAAAAGCTGTTTAGGGCTAGTGGTAATTTGTTTCTGTTTTGGGTTATTTTTAATTAATTAATTTGTTTGTTTATTTATTTATTTATTTTTGGCTGTGTTGGGTCTTCGTTGCGGTGTGCAGGCTTCTCATTGTGGTGGTGGCTTCTCCCGTTATGGAGCATGGGCTCTAGGCGTGAGGGTTTCAGTAGTTGTGGCACGTGGGCTCAGTAGTTGTGGTTCACGGGCTCTAGAGCACAGGCTTAGTAGTTGTGGCGCATGGGCTTAGTTGCTTTGTGGCATGTGGGATCTTCCCGGACCAGGGCTCGAACCTGTGTCCCCTGCATTGTCAGGCAGATTCCCAACCACTTCGCCACCAGGGAAGCGCTGTTTCTGTTTCTTCAATTCAGGGTTTTAATGAGCTGTACTAAAATAGTTTGGATTTTCTCTGAAGATTTAACAATCTGAATTATCCCTCCATTATTTCATTAGTGATCATTTACATTACAAATAGTTTTCTGGTGTCATCTATTCAACCATCTTTTATATTAATTTGAAGCAAAACTCAAAGGTATGGGACTTCCCTGGTGGCGCAGTGGTTAAGAATCCACCTGCCAATGCAGGGGACACAGGCTCAAGCCCTGGTCTGGGAAAATCCCACATGCCGCAGAGCAACTAAGCCCGTGTGCAACAACTACTGAGCCTGTGCTCTAGAACCCAAGAGCCACAACTCCTGAGCCCACGTGCCACAGGTACTGAAGCCCGTGCACCTAGAGCCTGTGATTCGCAACAAGAGAAGCCACCACAATGAGAAGCCAGCACACCGCAGTGAAGAGTAGCCCCCCTCACTGCAACTAGAGAAAGCCCGCGCACAGCAAGGAAGACCCAATGCAGCCTAATTAATTAATCTAAAAAAAAAAAAAAAGGTATTCTTTTTCCTGTCTGTGCTTCCCTCTGAGGACAGCTTGCTGGTGAGGCTACATTGCAGGAATGGGAAAGGTGGGTGAGGGCAGAGTTTGGACTCTTTCCAAAGGGCCTGAAATATCACTAATTTGTGGGGGAAGGTCTTCTGAATCATGGAATATTTCTGAGATGTCATTTTATTACTCACAAGTATATTGTTGCTTAAACTAAACTAACAATGCTTTATTGCCTAAGAATTGATATACTAAATAATATAATAATAATTGATCAGCATATAAATTCTGTGCTTTTTAAATGATTATCTTAAAATACAAGGTGAAACCATGAAATAAAGATGATTCTGGATGGTAGATTCTCAGAGTTTTTTCACTAAGCTGGTTAAGCATTTCCCTTTCAACCTTATGCACAGTATTACTTTTCTTCTCAATTTTTAATAGCTAATACAAACATAAACTAAGCCCTCAAATTCTCAACTGGTAGAATCTAGTTAACGAGTTTGAATTTTAGGAAAACCCTTCGTAGGTAAGCTGCTTCTGCCTTGCTGACTACTTATTCAGGAGAGTGGATTCAAACTTACAGATAGGGGATGATGTACTTTTTCACAATCATTATAGTGTCTCAATCTTAATTGTGCATTTCTTTAGGAAACACTTGGGCAGATATTAAAGCAGCAGTGGGCCTAGGCTTAGTGTTCTGAGAAACTACCCTGCAAATCCTTCCCACCCACCTTCCCCCCAACACAATCACAGAAATGGTTTTTCTCCCTCCTCTAGTGGACAAGCGTCACAGGCCACCCGCAAGCTGCCTTTCAGGGAAGGAAGGCACACAGCTTCTCATCAGTCTTTCCAACTTCAAACAAGAGCTCCAACTTTGCCATTATTTTCACTTTTGTTTTAAGGGAATTCCCCACTCTTGCCACTGCTACTGGCAGCAAAGAAAGTGCAGCAACTTGTGAGCAGGTCTGAGAATTGAAATAACAGCCTTATCTGGGGAATATGGACCACAGCTCTGTTTACCTGCTAACATAGCCTGTTTCCTCTGAGCATATGAAAATATATTTGTGTATATATAATCAGAATCATCTGTACTAGAAAAATTAGAGGGCAATGGCAGGTGACAAATCAGAGCCTTTTGAGTATACGTGGTTTCATTATTTGTGTTTTAAAATATTTTAAAATTGATTTTGCTGAGAGGTAGCATTCCCCTCACAGAGAAAAACAAATGTCCATTGTGCCTGTTTTTTCAGTATTTTGAGGAATTATATGCAGATGATCCTAAGAAGTATCAATCATATCGGATTTCACTTTACAAACGGATGATTGTATGTAAACTCAGAGTGCTTCTCTGTCGTCTTCCCTGCTAATTCTAGCCCTCTGTAACTGAAGAGCACACCGCTGCCTGCCCCGCCCCAGGAAGTCTCTTCAAAAAGTGTCACAAAACCTTTCTCCCCACAGCTGTCTTTTACCCAGTGATGTCGCCTCTATCAATGTCCTGCGTCCATTGTCACCTTCAGTTTGTTATTAACACTAGGCTTACAGTGTGATGGAAGCAAAATTTGAAAGATAAAGTAAAATCCAAGAAACAACTGAACGCTTTGAAATGTTAGCAACTGTTCCTTTTGAATCATTGATCTAGTATCTAAATCAGCCTTGTCTAAACTAAACTGGAAAATGAATGAATATTTGTATTTATAAAAGCTTTTCTAATCCATAACCTGAATAACAACCACAGACTTATTAAATCACTGATTTATTTCCCTTCCAAGTTCCTAGTCTGCTGTTGTCCACTTTTCTTCTTAATTATCGATCTTTTAATTATGCTGGTCATTTGAAAGAATTCTTGATTAGAGAGCCAATTATCACAGTTTTTTTAACCCCCCACCTTTGAACCAACTGCTTTTGTTTTCTCTTTTTGCATAAACCATGTGGAATTATCCCTTTTTCTCTATAAACAAGCTTATATCACCTGGGAGATTTTTATGGGAACGTTATCCAACCTGCCACTTGGTCTGCAGACCACTCTATCCTGTTTTCTGTCGTTATTTATTTTTTTTAAACATCTTTATTGGAGTATAATTGCTTCACAATGGTGTGTTAGTTTGTGCTTTATAGCAAAGTGAATCAGCTATACATATACATACATCCCCATATCTCCTCCCTCTTGCATCTCCCTCCCACCCTCCCTATCCCACCCCCCTGTCGTTATTTTTTAACTTACCTTTTAATTCCCAAAACTTCTTAACTTTTCTTAAGTTACAGGACTAGTTTTAGCCTCTCCAAAGGGTGGGACTCATAGAGACAGTGCTTCACACACATAGGTGTTAATCAAAAGCCCCTAAGTTCAACCATCCTTAAAACTTCCCAAAAAACTGTGTGCATTCATCAGAATTTACTTTGCCTGTTCCCCCTTTAAAAGAAAAACTTGCTACTGGAATAGCAGTACATTTTACGAGCATTTTAATTGTTGTGGAGTCTACTGGAAAAGACTCCACAGTGAGCCTGCTGTCCATCACGCTGTAAAGGAGTTTACTGCCTTGTATATTTTAACATTTGGCTTTTATTATAGCTGCATTTCCCATTGCCTGCCAGTTTTAGCCAGGTGGGGCTCCACCCATGAGCTTTCATGGAGCTTTTATGTAAAACTAACAAGTGCTGTTTCTGTAATTTTGTGTCTGCTCTCCTTCTGTGCATTTTAGAAGGTTTATTTTGGTCTTTCTGTTATATTTCTCATTTTGATCTTTAGGATTTGATGGAACAACTCGAAAAACAAGATAAGACTGTCCGGAAACTGAAAAAACAACTGAAAGTATTTGCCAAAAAAATCGGTGAACTAGAAGGTATTTAAACATGTTTCTATGACAGTTGCTGAACCTTGGTTTTATATGCAATACTAGTGGCTTAAAAGGTTTTTGTGTGAATATTAGGGACAATAACAAAAATGACGTTCAGCAAACCTGGCCTCCGTGGAGTGGAAATTTTCATTACTAGGTGGGGGAAAATGTTCTTTTCGTGGTAGTAATAATTTACAAAGAGAGAATTCATTCAGCAAACATCTAATGACCGTCTTCTATAGACCAGGCACTATGCTAGGCAGTATTGCATAGTGGTTAAAAGCATGGATTCTGTAGCTAAGCTTCTCGGGCTTAAATACTGCCTCTTCCACTATTAGTCATCTGATATTGGGCAAGTTACTGAGCCTCTCTATGCCTCAGTGTTCCCACCTGTTAAATGGGAATGATAATGGTGTCTACCTGACACGGTTTGTAAGGGTTAAATTAATTAATATGTGGAATGCATTTGGTATATTTCCTGACACACAGTAAATCCTATATACACCTTATTTTTATTACTGTTAGTATTAGGGATACTAAGATGAGTAAGACAGAGTCTGTGTCCTCAAAGAACTTACATCTAATGGAGAACAAAAAGAGAAGTAAATAAGAAAAAAAAGAATTATGATTATAAAGAAATAAGATTTTAGAAAACATCTCATGATTTATATATGATGATGGGAAAACACCTTGAGAAGTGATCAAATATCGGTTATTATTATATACAAATGATTCTTGTCTTGTGGGTTAGTGTTTGTTCCTTCAGTAAGTAGGTGCCAGGGATATAGCAGTGAACAGGGCTAAAGCCACATTCTCAGCTTAGTCCAGCAATGATCTCATTGTTCAAGAGATCCTGAGACCCTCTTTGGAATTGCCTTCAGACCTATGCAGGCTATTACCATTTTGACCAAAAATGATACTGTGCAGCCTGCCCGTCTATTCTGTCATTGTCACTCTGAATAATTTTTGCTCTGCTCAAAGGGTGAAGATTCCCCATCACTGGGAATGTCCAAAAGAATCTACCATGATTAACTGTGTGGCTCTCATTCCTCCAACGTGCCAGGCCTGTCGTAACTGTTCCACCTGTTTGATCTTTTTGCTTCTCTTAGTCAAGTCCTGCTTATCCTTTGAGACCAGAGTTATATGTCACATGCTCAAGAGCAGCCTTTCCTGATCACACAGATAGACCCTACGGCTCTACCCTCTGTGTACTGCAATTTGCCTCCCATCTTTTGTGGTTTTCACTGTCATATTTTTAGCAGTTTTTCTGTTTGAATTACTGCCTTCCTCAATGGACTATGAACTTCCTGAGCATGGTGACCACCTCTTATTTCCTCTTGTTTTCACAGCACCTAGTATACTGTTTGACCTGTCATAATCATTCCATTTATTAAAATTTTGAACCTCTGAATTACAGACCCAGACTATATGTCTGTTGGCGGAACTTTAAAAATCTTTATTCAGGGCTTCCCTGGTGGCGCAGTGGTTGAGAGTCCATCTGCCGATGCAGGGGACGCAGGTTCGTGCCCCGGTCCGGGAGGATCCCACGTGCCGCGGAGCAGCTGGGCCCGTGAGCCATGGCCGCTGAGCCTGAGCATCTGGAGCCTGTGCTCCGCAACGGAAGAGGCCACAACTGTGAGAGCCCCGCGCACAAAAAAAAAAAAAAAAAAAAAAAGTCTTTATTCAGAGAACCTTTCTGTACTTAACTCTGCATTAATTATATCATGAGATGATAATTAGACAGCAGAGTATCCGCTTGAACGAAACTGATTTTAAGGGTATTAACTTGTAAGATTATTTTTTAAGCTCCTAATCGTTTCTTTACCATATGTTAGTAACTTTTGATAAATAGAAAAGCCATTTATTATTTTACATTTTTACTTAGCTTTCTTTGATATGTATATTTTACTTAAAGAGAAAGCTTAGAGCAATTTTAAGCCATTATCAATCAGAATTCAACCTCATCAGTTAAACTATCCTGCCAGCTATATTCTTAAATCTATAAGTACATTTGAGAAGGCAATTCATAGATTAAACAAAAAAGTCATTATGATATTCTTAAGAAAAGTGGAGTTACATAATACATATCTACAGAATAAGATGAAATAGATTTATGTGACTTGAGCGTTTGCTGAGTGCAGTGTACCTCCCCTCCCCAAGGCAGAGAAGAAAGACAACACGCTTTTCCAACACCTTTCTCTCCTGTCCCCTTATCCCCACAGTGTACAGAAAACACTGATAACCTTGTACAGCAAAGCACCTTCTAATATCTAAAAGTTTTCTTATATTTTTCTAAATATAATATACTTAAATGCTTCTGGTTTAAAATAGCAAGACTCTTACCTCCTCCTATGGGCTACACTTAATTAAGGAGACATTTTTAGAAGCCAGTGAAGACTTTTTAAATGCCAACATACATAATTTTTAGCAGAAATTATATGGCTAAATGGAGAGTGTTTCAAAATTTGATATGCTTTATGCTGTATTTTAATCCAGGAGTGAGTGTTCCATCTCAATTTTCATAGAGTCGGGGAATTTAGACCTAAAAGAATTCTAGAAATCAGTTAATTATTTCATAGGAGAACAGAGCTGAGGCCCAGAAACCATAAGGGACTTCCAAAGTCTCAGCCACTTAGTGGCCAAAATGGGACTAGAACCCAAGCCTTCTGAAGAGCACTGACTTCTTTGTGTCATATTTTCCAACAGACCCTCTCTACTTATAATAATTCATTTGACTCTCAATTAAACCTGAGATCAAGATCTTCCCTGTACCAAAGTGAGGGGAGGAAAAAAAATTTTCCAATTTCCTTTCTATTTCTAGGACAAAAAGGTTCAGGAATGTTTTTCTCTCAAGCATAAAGAATCTATTATACTTGAAAATGGAAATAGATGTTGCTTCAGATCTTCCTAGAAGATTGCTGTATTAGATGGAGCATTCGACTAAATGACCCCCAAGGTCCCCTGAGTCTCTTAAAAACTGGGTGGTATTCTGGCTTCTCTCTTTCAGGCTTTATATTTTCCTGATACTACGTAAGGGTTGACATTTTAATTATATGATTTGTTAAATAAATCAAGGTCATGTTGAGCTGACATCTATATTTTACCTGTGAGTTTTTGTGAAGACTCTAATCTCTGGGAAGAATTCAAAGACAGAGTAAAATTTTAATGAAAGTATGGCAGATTTTATCTCTGACATTTTTGTACAGAACCAAAAATATCTTCGTTAGAGATTTTGCAAAAGGAAAGTGAAGCTTTCTTTTAAAACATAATATCTCTTAGTTAAAATATTCACCATATTTCATAAATTCCGTGGTGCACAATTTTTCATATTTTAACATCTCTGAAATTAGGATGTATCTTACAGAAGTTGATGGGTTTTAGTTTAACTGGCAATATTTTTCCTTCTTTAGTGTTATATAAAATAATACTATATGTCATAATCAGTGGCACCTTAGATATGATAAAATCAGTAGGTTTAAAACATCCTTTTTGAGTTATACAGAGTCCAAATATGTGCATTTGTTGATAAACTTAGTATGTTGAATCTGTTTTCTCCCAGTTTCCCCTCATTGAATTGTTTCTGTGGCTTAAAGCAACCAGTAACATAGATGGCAGGGATCTTATTATTTTGTTTTACATGCAGAATATATACAGGAGCTGTGAAGGTCACAGCTGTGTACTGATCCTGAGATCCTCATGCTGTTGTGTTTAAACTAACTCCAGAAATAACTTATGTAAAACTAAATAGTTTGAATCTCCTATCTCTTGTAGAGAGGCATACAAGGCATTCAGTTAGTCCTGCGGTTCCGGACTGCATCATGCATGTGAAATGCTAGGTTATGGGAGGTGGCCACAGCCCTGATTTGTCCAATCACAGTATGATCGCTCTTTAGATATCATAACGTTGGTGGATGGTGGTGATTTTCAGCGCTGATAGTCCCGGTGTGTGATGCTGCGGCATAAGGTGGACGAGGTGTCACCAGGCTCTGTGCCACATGAGCAAGAGCACTGGCAGGTATTGGTGTTCTCTGTGATAACCTCATGCTGTGGAACTGGCTTCCCAGAACTAACACCGGAAGTTGCCCAGAGTGACAGGAGAAGCATGGCTGATACCTTGTGGAGTCAGCAAGATTAAACTTTCTAATGCATCTGATCTGCGTTTTGTTTGTTTGCCAGCAGTCTCTGAACTCAAACTTAAACTACACCCAAATAGATTTCTTTTTTTTTTTTTAACATCTTTATTGGAGTATAATTGCTTTACAATGTTGTGTTGGTTTCTGCTGTATAACACTAAATAGATTTCTTAACTGCCCCCCTTCCTGTAGATAAGAGAATTAAAAATCTTACTAGCATATAGCTCCACAAACACCATCATAACTCAAGTTTCCCTTTACCTTCTCTTGAATTTCCCATTCAGTTCTCAATTTTGAGATGAAATTGGAGACTTTTTCTTAACTCTCAGTTTTTCTCTGGCAGCTGCCATCAACAGTGGTGATCATTTTTAACATCTGAAAGGGTTGTTAGCCAGCGGTTGTACTTTAATGGTTGCAGCTTTGTGGTGGGACTTTTAGCACTTTACTAAAAACAAACAAACAAAAAGTGAATAATATTTAGGAAATCATATTAAATACAGGTTGTTTTATCTGCTCATGATTTCTTTGGGAGTGAGGGGTGACAGGAGAACATTAAGCCTTTTCCTTATGAAGGCTTTGTGAGAAATAATACATTTCACATCAACTAGTGTGAAGAAACTCGGTTCTACCAGCTATCTTGATGTGGTTTGAACTGATTGCAATGATACATTTAAAGTAAATGTTCTTTGGGCTTCCCTGGTGGCGCAGTGGTTGAGAGTCTGCCTGCCGATGCAGGGGACACGGGTTCGTGCCCCGGTCCGGGAAGATCCCACATGCCGCGGAGCGGCTGGGCCCGTGAGCCATGGCCGCTGAGCCTGCGCGTCCGGAGCCTGTGCTTGGCAACGGGAGAGGCCACAGCAGTGGGAGGCCCGCGTACCGCAAAAAAAAAAAAAAAAAAAAAAGTAAATGTTCTTTTTCTTTAATGACCAGATTCATAGAGCTAAAGGTAAAGGGGAATCTTTTATAGTCTGGCTGCCTCTTTGTAGAATATTGTTTTTTCCTTCTGTAAATTAAAGTCGAAATATATTTAGATATTTATGATTGATACTGATTAGTTAACTAAGAAGTTAAACCACTTACTTTGGAGACATTTAATCTTATTACAAAGTAAACCTTATTACAAAAAAAAAATGCTTTTGAATCTAGTAAGATTCTTTGGTGTTCATAGTAGCCAAGCACTAGTGGTTGTTAGAGTGACATTACCATATAAATTTATCATCTATCCACCCAGTTTTACCAGAAAAAATACTGAAAGAAGGGACAATTAAGTGGTAAATATGGCAAACTTCTGTTGTTATAGAGTTTACTTAAAATTATAGGAACATGGAAACCTCTCATCTTTTCTACCTGGAAGACATTTTTCTTCTTTTTGTTTCTGGTGAAGTGGGCCAAATGGAGAACATATCCCCAGGACAGATCATTGATGAGCCCATTCGTCCAGTCAACATTCCCAGAAAAGAAAAGGATTTCCAAGGAATGCTGGAATACAAGAAGGAGGATGAGCAAAAACTTGTTAAGAACTTGATTCTGGGCAAGTATTTCCTGCGTGAGATAAAAGGTCTTTCTGGTACATGTGTCGGTGGTGGGAAAGGCTAGTCACTCATTTATTAAATATTCACACTGGTTTCTTTAGTCATCCTTGACTGCTGTGCGTATAGTGCTGTAGCAGCATCCTGACCACATCATGGATGTCAGTCACACTGCAGGGACACTTGGTAGGACCCACCTAACTCCTGGAAGAGCAGGTTCCATAGGGAACGAAGAGTTTAGTTTGGGATGGGCTTAGTTTGACATGCCTGAGCAGAGATGTCAAAAGCCACTTGATACATGAGCCTAGAATTCAAAGGAAAAGTCAGGGCAGGAGATAGACATTTGGGAGTTGTTGTATAAGCAGCTAAGATTCACATGTTCCTACCCTCAAGAATTTCTCCACTTAGTCAGCCTTTAAAATATGCTTTTTTAAAAACACGACCTATTTACCCTGAATGATTGAACTCTTACATGAGAGCTGTGCTTTTGTATCTCAAAAAGCATTCCTCGTGAAGACTTTCAAAGTTATATAAGATTATTTTTCCTCTTTTCTTTTTTAGAACTGAAGCCACGTGGTGTAGCAGTCAATTTGATTCCAGGGTTACCAGCGTATATCCTGTTTATGTGTGTTCGACACGCTGACTACCTGAATGATGATCAGAAAGTAAGGTCGTTGCTAACATCAACAATAAACAGCATCAAAAAAGTATTAAAGGTCAGTTCATGTTCAACAAAATTCTCATAATGAATATTAATGATGACAGAGTCTGCACAGAGGTATTTTTCCTTCCTTAGACTTGAGCTAAGTTTCCAGTTATGACCACTTTTAGTCTTAATCTATACCTTCCATTGTAGGAAACATTCATTCTGTGAAGTGTCTATGTGCCTTCTTTCAAAACAGGGCTCAGGTTGAACAGTAATCAAAATTAAGTCAATATACTTGCATTTGATTGTGAAGCAAATTCAGTTTCGTCATAGAAGTTTTCTGCTTTGAGGTCTTAGAAGTAAATTAAAAATACCTAGTGAAGTTCATATATACAGGGAATATGATGCTATAGTTAAAATAGGTATTAAGTAAGTTTAGTAATACCTAGCCCATTCATATAAAAAAATGTTTGATAAAACATTTAAAATTCTCTTCTGACTTTTCTTCCCATTATTCTCCAGCTCATCTCATAATTTTCCTTGTTACCTTAAATGCCTGGTTCCATGTGAGAAGCAACACACAGATACTAATCAGAGAGGAAAGACTTGGAAAAGGCAGCAAAGTTACATAATAGAACAGAAAGCCCTGCATAACTCAGTAATCACTGAGTCACTTGCATGATCATCCTCTTGACAATCTAGAAAAACAGTGAACATTATTCTTAGTTTTAACCATTTTTCAGTTCTGTGGCATTAAGTACATTCATACTGTTGTATAACCATCACCACCATCATCTCCAGAACTTTTTCATCTTCCCCAGAACTTTTTCACCTTCCCCATCTGAAACTCTGTACCCATTAGACACACCCTCCCCCAGCCCCTGGTCATAACTTTTAATGCCGGTTCTCAGTCCCTCCTGCACAGATAGTCTATGTGGTTACTTTCTACAGTGCTTACTAAAGTGTGGAGTTTCTGAATATTTAACATTCAAAAATTGATGAATGTCTTCTGAATGTAACTCATTTAATTTTTGGTGTATTGATGCTGTATTACATTTAGATAGACTACGAGTTTTACTACTTCTTAAGTCAACTCCTACAAAGACAACAAAGCCAAATCGTAAAGTTTTCTCCCTCTCATCTTACTTGCAAGATGAGAAAATTTGGATAAATTCTTCCAAATTTATCTAATTTGACTAATTATTGTACCAAATTGTTTAAAGATTAAAAAGGAGTAGATACTTGAACACAGCACCCTTTTGATACCATTTTAAATGGATGTGCATTTGTTTCACATCCCTTTTTAAACTGAAGTGTATTTGTCGTGTGTCCCTGGCTTGATTTCGCAGAGGTGGTTTGACATGTGGCCCAGACCTGATGAAGAGCCACACTCTCCACTGCTCTGCACAGGGCTTCCTCCATTCCATTTCTGATTAGCTCCCCAGAAATTTTACCTTATCATTGACAAGATTTTTAACCTAATCTGGGTTTCAGTGCTTCACAGTATTTGTAATTCCCTTTTGTGCCTTTAGTCCTTTCTGATTCCCTTCAGTAACCCTCAGGGAAGTGAGTTTGGGTAAGCTGTGGCTTGGTGAATTGTTTTCTGCTTAAAGGGACCGCTAAGCGAATATCAATTGCATGACCAGGCATCATTTTCTAATGGCATTTTCTAATTGCCAAGCAAAGTAACAAACAACCCGTGAACTCAGTGGTTGAAATTCTCTAGCAACGATATGAGGCTTTACAACTGCAATGTGATTTATTTTTATAACTGTTGTTAATGGTAAGTGAAGGAAATGGGCCTTCTGGTATCTGTTTGGTTTTCTCAGGCTATTATTTCCCTAAGGAAAAAGCTAATTTAGGCTTATTCTCTCTTTCAGAAAAGAGGTGATGATTTTGAAACTGTCTCCTTCTGGCTTTCTAACACATGCCGATTTTTGCACTGTTTGAAGCAGTACAGTGGAGAAGAGGTGAGAAAGCCTTGATCACAAAACCAGCATGCTATACTTTCTCTGACCTTTTTAAGGAAAAAAATTTAAAGCACAAACTAATTAGCCATTTGTTAATTTAGAAACCCGAATTCAGAGGTGGCTTGGAAGTTCATAGCTTTGTTTGGTGTTCATTATTTACAAAACTGACTTGGGAAGTGACACAGTTTCTTCCCTCGGAGAGTTTGTATTATGAGAAAGCACAGCAGAAATAAAATGAGCATTGGTCATTGAATGGTTATCGCACTGAAACTTTTTGTTAAGATGTGAAAATGGGCTTTTCAAGGACTGATGTAGGAATATTGAGCTATTTAAAGAAATTAATCAGTTTTGGCTTGTGTAATACATTAAAGGTGATCAGGGTAAAACATGTCTCTTTAGATTTGTCCATAGATATTTTTGCTTTTGCTTATAGTGATGTGGTCATCAGTTGGTTGATAGACTTCATATTTCAAAACTATGTAATATATTAATAATTATCATTTATTAAGGGCTGCTTAGTATGTATCAGACAGCATTTATTGTACATTATGTTGTTTAATTCTTGTTTAACATCTCAGTGAGGTAGGAATTATAACCCAGTTTTACAGATGAGGAAACTAAATCTCATCACTTTGCCCAAGTGCTCTCAGTCATAAGGAGCTGAGCTAGGATTCTGGGTCTGTCCACCTCCAAGAGCCTCTGTCCATAACCACTGCCCTTCATACCTCCCCATCCTTTGCCGGGAGGGCAGGCAGAGAAGCTGAGCAGTAGTACTTTCTGAGCACCCACAGGCTAGGGGCAGAGGACTGTCCTGGCAGATGATGGGAAATGCAATATGAGCAAGACATGGTCCTTGAGCAGATGGGACTAGCAGAACAGAATCCTCCAGAAGGCCTATTAACTGTCCTTTCAGTCCCCAGTTCTAGACCATGTTGTTAAGTAGGTTGCAGGGAGGCAGATGCTCGAGTGTGGGCAGAATCCATCAAGTAGGCAATTGTCTTTGTCAGGCAGTGCCTGACAGAAGTACCTGCCTGTACAGTTGGCTTTCCATTTTAACAAATACCACCAAAAGATTCCATTCTAAGCTCAGACTGAGAATCATGTGTGGATACAGTAAAATATAGTAAAGAGAATTTTTTTATTTATTCACCAGTCTCTGTAGAAATTGATCAATTTTAAGAAGATTATTTACGTCCTTCCAGTGTAGTATTTATAAATAGGGCTATATTTAATGAACTGAAGTTAAGAGATTACTACTTTAGATAATTTAGTGCTTGGCAGTGAACCAGCTGTTTCATAAGTGAAAACACTCATTAGTTTTTTTTTCAAATCAAGTTCCCCCATCTTGTTTCATTGACATTGCTGGTGGAAAAGCTTAAATGCTAGGTTGCCAAGTTTAGATTATTCAAACGCTAGTAAGAAGTGGAAGGGGAGACGTGATGGAAACAAACACACAGAATTTGAGAAGGAGTATCCTGGCATTTATGTGTAGGTTGGAATGGGAACTCTTTGGAGAAAGGAAAAAATAGCATGAGGATGCCGATCAAATGAGAGAGTTAAACAGGAGACATTTTACTTCATCTGTATCATTAACTCTCCATTATGGCTCTAGGGCTTTATGAAACACAACACATCTCGCCAGAATGAACACTGCCTCACCAATTTTGACCTGGCTGAGTACCGACAGGTGCTAAGTGACTTGGCCATTCAGATCTACCAGCAGCTCGTGCGGGTGTTAGAGAACATCCTTCAGCCAATGATCGGTAAGGCCAGGGCATATTGCTGACATCCAGGTCTGTCTACCTCATGTGCCCGCCAATAGATGACCACCAGTGGCACATGTGTTGGAGCATGTATTCATATGGAGAACATAAAGTAGTAAGACTCAGTCTCAAAATTAGCTGAGGAATCCCAGAACCCCAGCCATGATGAACTGGGGTACCTCAAAATCACTGCTTCCACATGATGGAAATGGCAGTATATAGTTTACTTCCCTAATGTGTAATGCCTCTCTCTTATGATTGGGTCATGCTTTATACCCAGCAGTAGACCTCAGACCTCATCCGGTTTTCAAAAACACTTTAAACTTTGGTCTAACGTACTACTACACAGAGCTTCCTAGGGACCCATCTAAAATGCAGGAGGCTTGGGAGGGTATGTACTTTGCCTATTAGGCTACAGTAAGAGGGCTGGGAAGGTACCATGGCAACAAGAACAGGTCTCAGACACTCCATGCTGAGTGGAACATCTCATGAGCCCTATGGAATTGTTAAAGGCAATTTGGTTTAAAGTAGCACTTTCTCATTGGATGAGAAACTGGGGTGTGTGTGTGTGTGTGTGTGTGTTTCTATGTATGCGTGACTTCATGTACCTATCTTTATATGTGTGTACTCACTCTGGGTGTGTATTTGTGTATCGTTCTACCTGTATTCCTTTGGAATGTGTAGCAGGTGTGAAATAGGAATTAGAAGGCATGTACAAATTGCAGGCTGCTAATTTTGAATGCACTGAACTTTTTTTTTTAAGTTTTTAAGTTACCAAACTGTATTATTGTCAAGCAAATTATCAACAGCCTCTTAAGGCTACTACCAGTTACCCTTTCTTTCCCCATCTATGTGTTTTCCACATTTCTACAACTTCGTCTCACCTCTGTGGGCTCCTAGTGTCCCATTTTTTATTGCAGGCCCCCCTTTAACCAACTAGAAACATAGAAGGCTGAGGAAGCCATGGGGGATGGCAGTGGTTTCTTCAGCTGACGCCTAAAAGGTCATGAATTTAAAGCAACCTAGGTCAGCAAAAATGCTTGAGGTAACACAGATGCAGAGGTCAGCTTCAGTCCATTCTCTTCTACTTTTGCCTGGTTTCATTGGCTAAATAAGAAATTTTACCTTTAGATGTGCCACTAGCTGCATCTCCCAATGATTTTACAACAACAAATGTTTTGAGTCAGTATGAGGTTCTTTGGAAGCTGCATTTAGCTCTAGGACACATAACAATGAATCAGGAATGGCCCCTGCTCTCAAGGGGGCTTCCAGTCCAGGGAGTGGGCAGCCCAAAACCATCCTAGAGGAGGCATAAGCCAAATGCTGCAAGAGCGTAATAGAGGGAGCAGCAGTGCCCCAGATGAGAAGACTGAGTCCTGGGAGGCTAAGACCAGCCCGAGGTCTCCCTACTGTTGTGGGAAGCTCAGGGCAAGGAAGGGCCCAGCTCTCTAGCCCCACACAACTGCCCTCTCCCAAGTCTTCTCCAAGACCACTGCCTGATCTCCTGCCTTTCTTGCTACTTGATTTGTTTGCCTCTGGGGCTCGATATTACTGGAGAATTTTTTTTTTTTTTTTTTTTTGTGGTATGCGGGCCTCTCACTGTTGTGGCCTCTCCCGTTGTGGAGCACAGGCTCCGGACGCACAGGCTCAGCGGCCATGGCTCACGGGCCCAGCCGCTCCGCGGCATGTGGGATCTTCCCGGACCAGGGCACGAACCTGCATCCCCTGCATCAGCAGGCAGACTCTCAACCACTGCTCCACCAGGGAAGCCCTACTGGAGAATTTTTATCTTCTCCCTAACTGCTCCATACATCTCTCTCAAAAACCCTCCCAAGATACCTCACACGTGCTATTACAAGGCTTCATATTTCAGAAAATGGGCCATTAAGAGTTCTTAATTTCATGGTAAATTTTTGAATTTAAGAATTATTACTATTTTTTTGAATTTAAGAATTATTCCTTCATTAAAGTTTAAAATCCAGAAGCCCTTTTATTGAGTTCTTTTTCCCTCTATGTTGATACTCAAATCATTTTCATAAACTGCATGTGTGTATGTCTGTGTCTTTGTGTGTGTGTGTGCACACGCTTCCTTCCAGATCTTCTTTTCTGACACTTGAACTTCTCTTGCAGTCTCCGGAATGCTAGAGCATGAAACCATTCAGGGTGTGTCTGGGGTGAAGCCCACAGGGCTAAGAAAGCGAACCTCCAGCATTGCTGATGAGGGTACCTACACACTGGACTCCATCCTGCGGCAGCTCAACTCTTTCCACTCAGTCATGTGTCAGCACGGCATGGACCCCGAACTGATCAAGCAGGTGGTCAAGCAGATGTTCTACATCGTGGGGGCCGTCACACTGAACAACCTCCTCCTCCGGAAGGACATGTGCTCCTGGAGTAAAGGCATGCAGATCAGGTGAGCGAACGCCAACAGCTGCCATGGCCTTTTCATGCTGCCCAACCGCTTGCTGGGGCTCGTGTGAGGCTAGTGTACCTGATGTCCACTGTCCCCCCCCACCGACTCCCCGCCAGGCGAGCAGCAAGGGCAGACCGAGCACAGAGCTGCTTCCTCTTGTCTGGCTGGACCCTCCACTCTCATTCGTGATTGCTCCTGGCCGTGCCTTGCAACCCACTGCTTGTTAGGAACCTGCTCCATGTGAAGATAACTCGTTATTGTTTTTTTAAAGGGAACTTTATTTATTTTTATTTATTTATTTTTGGCTGTGTTGTGTCTTCGTTGCTGTGGGGGCTATTCTTCGTTGTGGCGCGCGGGCTTCTCATTGTGGTGGATTCTCTTGTGGAGCATGAGCTCTAGGCATGCGGGCTTCAGTAGTTGTGGCATGTGGGCTCAGTAGTTGTGGCTCGCGGGCTCTAGAGCACAGGCTCAGTAGTTGTGGCACGTGGGCTCAGTAGTTGTGGCTTGCGGTCTTTAGAGCGCAGGCTCAGTAGTTGTGACGCACAGGCTTAGTTGCCCCGTGGCCTGTGGGATCTTCCCGGACCAGGGCTCAAACTCGTGTCCCCTGCGTTGGCAGGCGGATTCTTAACCACTACGCCACCAGGAAAGCCCCGATAACTCGTCTGAGGGAGTGGGGAGATGATGAAAACTACATAAAGATGAGATAGCTGCTTCCTCTCCTTTTGTGTGTTTTAATTATACAATAACAAAATATCAAATTATAATGAAGATTGCTAATGTTTGATTGCTCTTATAAATTTATTTTGACAAAATACCTTTTTGTACCTATGGCAACAAGAACATGTCTAATAGATCTTTTACTGATGTTTGAAATACGCCCGTCTCCATTTTAAGATAAGCTGTGCTCAATTTTGTCCAGCTGCTCCTCAGCATAACCTTATTAGCATAATGGAATTTTTTTGTCAAATAATTTATTTTAAAACAGCTAGAAAATTCACCAAGAGGGGGAAAAAGGATTTCTCCTATGAAAGCCTGTAGTTAATCTCAGGAAGCGTTGGCTGCCTTTTCAAATTTTCCATTACTCACATCCACTGTAGGTAGTGGTAAGAAGATAATGCTTTCCACTCAGGTCGTAGAATTTATTTTTCTGCAAGCCCTGTTCATACCTATGAAGCCCCTCTTTGCCTAATTACTAAGTCCTGACTGTGGGTCCATTTATCTCACTCTCATTTGCGAACCACTATCACTTGGTTGGCCACCTCTTAAAACCTCGCATCTGTGTAGTTTCTATGTCTCTCTTCATATTTGGGGTCTTTGTCTCTTCCCACGGCCCCCACTTACCCTTCTCGCCTTCATCCCTGAGCTCCCTCAGGCCACTACCTCCATCACCCAGACTCTTCCCTAAAGAGGGCCGGAGCACAGGGTCTATGTGGGGATCTTGTTATTATGTCTACTAGCTTGGAGTCTGACTTAAGGAAGAGAGAGTACTTAAAGGATTATCAATTCTCACCTCTCAAGTTGTAAGAAACTATAAAGTGTTTTCTGCTTGGCTCTTTAATAAGGACACAGCCATATTATGTGTTCTATTTTGGTTTTTAGCACATCTTATTTCATAACTTGCTGTAATGGCTACATTTCTATCTCCCATTAAAGAGAATTATAGCCTCTAGAATTATACCTACTCTTAATATAATTATGATTATAAACCTCCTGATGATGTATAGTGATAAATTTTTAAGCACAGCTAATGATTTAAAAAAACAATTTCACTGAAATTCCTGACAAAGCCATGCACAGAAAAATTAAGACATTTATGATAACGTTCAGTAAATTTGCATCACCCCCCTTTTTCTGGCATAGGTACAATGTCAGTCAACTAGAAGAATGGCTGCGTGACAAGAATCTGATGAACAGTGGGGCTAAGGAAACCCTGGAACCTCTCATTCAGGCTGCTCAGCTTTTGCAAGTGAAAAAGAAAACAGATGATGATGCAGAAGCCATTTGTTCCATGTGCAATGCTTTAACTACTGCCCAGGTAAGGCGACTTTCCCGATTATAAAACAAGTTAACATTCATCAACGGTGACATTGGGAAGTAAAGAAGGCTTCTAGCTATTGCTTTTGTCTCTGAGCTGACTTCATCTGTGTCAGAGATGATATATATCAATATTGTAGATCTTGAAGAAGGGAGATTTTACCACAAAGCATATTTTAGTACTAGTCACAGTCCTGAACATTCAACATTCAGTACTTATTTATCCACTCTCTACACTGTTCTATATAATGTTCTAGCCACTAAGATAAAACCATGAACAAAACAAAGTCCCTGTTTTCATGGGGGTGTACATTCTACACATTCTATGGAGTTTGTACTCCATAAAAGAATTTTCCATATTATTTAATAATTGAATGATTCTTTAGACTTCTCTATTTTAAGACAAATAATTGTGTTTTTTTAATTGAAATATAGCTGATGTATAATATGATGTTAGTTTCAGGTATACTACACAGTGATTTGACATTTCCATACATTATTAAATGATAACCGTGATAAGTCTAGCAATCATATGTCCCCATACAAAGTTATTACAATATTATTAACCATATTCCTTATATTGTAGATTACATCCACATGCTTTATTTATTTATTTTATAACTGGAGGTTTGTACCTCTTAATCCCCTTCACCTATTTTAATACCCCATGCCCCTCCCCTCTGGCAACCACCCATTTGTTCTCTGTATCTGTGAGTATATTTTCATTCTTTTGGTTTCTTTGTTTTGTTTTTTGGATTCCACATATAAGTGAGCTCTTATAGTATTTGTCATTGTCTGACTTATTTCACTTAGCATAATGTCTACAAAGTCCATTCATAGTGTTGCAAATGGCAATATTTCATTCTTTTTTGTGACTAAGTGATGTGTGTGTGTGTACACCAGTATTCTCTATGCATTTGTCTGTCGACAGACACTTAGATTGCTTCCATATCTTGGCTATTGTAAATAATGCTGCAATGAACAGAGGGGTGCATATATCTTTTCAAACTAGTGTTTTTGTTGTCTTTGGGAAAATACCCAGAAGTGGAATGGCTGGGTTGTATCATAGTTGTATTTTTAATTTTTTGAGCAACCTCCATAGTGGCTGCACCAATTTACATTCCCACCAGCAGTGCACGAGGATCCCCTTTTCTCCACATCCTCACCAACACTTACTATTTATTGTCTTTTTGATAATAGCCATTCTGACTAGTATGAGGTAGTACTTCATTGTGGTTTTGATTCGTATTTCTCTGGTGATTAGTGATGTTGAGCATTTTTTCACGTGCCTGTTGCCCATCAGTATGTCTTCTTTGGAAAAATGTCTGTTGAGTTCCTCTGCCCATTTTTTAATCAGGTCATTTGTTTTTTTGATTTGAGTTATATGAATTCTTTGTATATTTTGGATATTAACCCCTTATTAGATATATTGTTTGCAAATATGTTCTTCCATTCAGTAGGCTGCTTTCTCATTTTGTGGATAATTTCTTTCACTGTGCAAAAGTTTTTTAGTTTGATGTGGTCCCATTTGTTTATTTTTGCTTTTGTTTCTCTTGCCTGAGGAGACAGATCAAAAAAATATTGCTAAGACCAGTGTCAAAAATGTACTGCTTGTGTTTTCTTCTAAGAGTTTAAGGTCCTAAATTTAAGTCCTTAATCCATTTTGAGTTTATTTTTCTAAGTGGTATGAAAAAATGGTCTAGTTTAATTCTTTTGCGTATAGCTGTCCAGTTTTCACAACACCGTTTCCTGAAGAAGCTGTCTTTTCCACATTGTATATTCTTGCCTCCCTTACTGTAGATTAACTGACCGTAAAAGAGTAGGTTTATTTCTGGGTTCTCTTTCCTTTTCCATCAATCTATGTGTCAGTTTTTGTGCCAGTACCATACTGTTTTGATTACTGTAGCTTTTTAGTATGGTTTGAAATCAGGGAGCATGATACCTCTAGCTTTGTATTAGTACTTCTTTCTCAAGATTGCTTTGGCTACTCAGTTTTTGTGTTTCCATACAAATTTTAGAATTATTTGTTCTGTGAAAAATGCTTTTGGTATTTTGATAGAGATTGCATTGAATATGTAGTTGCCTTGGGTAATATGGTCATTTTAACCATATTAATTCTTCCACTTTATGAGCCCGGTACATCTTTCGATTTGTTTATGTCATCTGTACTTTCTTTAATCAATATCTTATAGTTTTCCAAGTTCAGGTCTTTCACTTCCTTGTTTAGATTTATTCCTAGGTATTTTATTCTTTTTGGTGCAATTATAAATGGGATTGTGTTCTGATAATTTATTATTAGTGTATAGAAATGCAAGAGTTGTCTGTATATTAATTTTGTATCCTGAAACTTTACTGAATTCATTTATTGGTTCTAATAGTTTCTTGGTGGCATCTTTAGGATTTTCTATATACAGTTTCCTGTCATCTGCAAACAGTGACAGTTTTACTTCTTCCATTTCAATTTGGATTCCTTTTACTTTTTTTTTCCTGTCTAATTTCTGTGGCTAAGATTTTCAATACCATTTTGAATAAAAGTGGTGAGAATGGGCATCCTTGTTTTGTTAGAGGAAATGCTTTCACCGTTTTACCATGAGTAAGATGTTGACTGTGGGTTTGTCATATATGTGTTTTATTATGTTGAGGTATGTTCCGTCTATACCCACTTTGTTGAGAGTTTTTATCATTAATGGATGTTGAGTTTTGTCAAAAGCTTTTTCTGCATCTATTGAGATGATCATATGATTTTCATTCTTCAGTTTGCTAATGGGGTGTATCACATTGACTGTTTTGTAGTTATTGTAAAATCCTTGCATCCCTGAGATAATTCCCACTTGATCGTGTTGTATGATTCTTTTAATGTTCTGTTAAATTCAATTGGCAAATATTTTGTTGAGGTTTTCTACAACTATGTTCATCAGTGATACTGACCTATAATTTCCTTTTTTGTGGTATTTTTGTCTGGTTTTGGTATCAGGGTGATGTGGACTCGCAGAATGAGTTCAGAAGTTTTCCTTTCTCTTCTGTTCTTTTGGAATAGATTGAGATGGGTAGATTCAGGTGTTAACTCTTATATTTGGCAGAATTCCCCTGTGAAGCCATCTAGTCCTAGATATTTGTCTGTTGGGAGTTTTTTGATTACTGATTTGATTTAATTACTTGTAATTTGTCCATATTTTCTATTTCTTCCTGATTCAGTCTTGGGAGACTGTACATTTCTAGGAACTTATCCATTTCTTCTAGGTTGTCCATTTTATTGGCATATAATTATTCATAATAATGTCTTACGATCGTTTGTATTTCTGTGATGTCAGTTGTAACTTCTCTCTTTCATTTCTGATTTTATGTATTTGGGCCCTCTCTCTTTTTGTCTTGATAAATGTGGCTAATAGTTTATCACTTTTGTTTATCTTTTCAAAGGACCAGCTCTTAGTTTCATTGATTTTTATTCTGTTGTTTTTGTAGTCTCTATTTCATTCATGTCCATTCTGATTTCTTTTCCTTCTACTAACTTTGGATTTTGTTTGTTCTTCTTTTTCTAGTTCCTTTAGGTATAAGGTTAAATTGTTTATTTGAGATTTTTCTTGTTTCTTGACCTAGGCTTTTATCTCTTAAACTTTCCTCTTCCCTCCCTTTTCATATTTCTAGTTGTGGCCTTTTCTTTTCCACTTAGAGAAGTCCCATTAAAAAAATAAAAATATAAACATAAAGCTAGTTTGATGGTGCTGAACTCCTTTAGCTTTTGCTTGTCTGTAAAACTCTTTATCTCTCCTTCAAATATGAATGATAACCTTGCCAGGTAGAATATTCTTGGTTATAGGTTTTTTCCTTTCATTACTTTGAATATATCACCCCACACCCTTCTGGCCTGCAAAATTTCTGCTGAAAAGTCTGCTGATGTTGTTATGGGAGTTCCTTTTCATGTAACTAGCTGCTTTTCTCTTGATGCTTTTAAGATTTTCTCTTTATCTTAAATTTTTGCCATTTTAATTATAATCTGTCTTGGTGTGGACCTCGTTGGGTTGACCTTGTTTGAGACTCTGTGCTTACTGGATCTAGATGTCTGTTTCCTTTCCCAGCTATTATTTCTTCAAATAAGTTCTCTGTCCCTTTCTCTCTGTCTTCTCCTTCTGGAACCCCTACGATGTGAGTATTAGTGCACTTAAGTTGTCCCAGAGGTCTCTTAAACCATCCTCATTTTTTTTCATTCTTTTTTGTTGTTGTTCAGTTTCAGTGATTTCCACTATTGTCTTCCAGCTCAGCTCACTGATCCATTCCTCTGTATAATTTAGTCTGCTGTTGTATTCTTCAGCTCTTTTGGTTCTTCTTTATATTTTCTAACTCTTTGTTGAAGTTCTCACTATATTCATCCCTTCTTCTCCTGAGTTCACTGAGCATCTTTATAATCATAACCTTGTAGATTGCTCATCTCCACTTCTATTAGTACTTTTTCTGAGGTTATGTCTCGTTCCTTTGTTTGGAACATATTGCTCTGTCTTCTCATTTTGCCCAGTTTGCTGTCTTTTTTCTGTGTATTAAGTAGGTCATATACATTTCCCAATCTTAAAGAAGGAAACATCCTATAGCACTCAGAAGCATGCTGCCCTCTGGTCACCAGAGCTATATGTCTAGGGGTACCCCCTATGTGGGCTGTGTAGGCCCTTCTGTTGTGGCAGGGCTGAACTACTGTTGGCTCAGTGGTGGGTGGGGCTGGCCCCTGGCCTGGTTGGCTGCCCCACCCTGTTTCCTTTGGTTTCTGCTGCCCATTTTTTGGCAGGGCCAGCTTATAGCACGGCTGGTCACAGGGCTCATGGGAGGCCAGGGCTGGTGCTGGCCCATTGGTAGGTAGTTAAGCCCTCAGCACTAATTAGCTAGAGGGAGGATTCCAAAATGGTGCTGAGGGGCAATAACTGATCATTCAGGGAAAGTCTTATTTAGCTGTGCATTGAATTTAAGGAAATGAAAAGATGGGAAGGGCATTTGAGAACAATGGCCACAGCATGAGGCAAGGCATAGGCATAAACATACCCACATTTCTTTTGCCTAGTTATTTCTGTGCTGACTCTTGGATTTTTTAATGTCCATCACTTATCTCAAAACATAGAAATCTTACATAGATTACACATAGAATACATATAGAAAGTAACTAGCTGAATACACAGGACACTGTTAACTATTGTTACTTTGAGAGACTGAGAGCATGCAGGTGGGAGCACTTTTACTTTTCATGTTTTTTCAAATTTATGTTGCTTCTTAAAGTGTAAAATATTATATTAATACATTCTTATTTTAAAAATTCAGCTAATAAAGGTAAATGTGCCTTCAGAACCACTCCCTCTCCCCTCTTGCCCTAACCAAGCCCTGAGTAGAACTGAAAACTGTATGCAGAGATCCTTTTAGTTTTCCAGATAACAGGTACCCAGCATGTATGTATTTGATAATATGCTAAAGACTTTGATCATTTTATTTCTCCCAGATTGTCAAAGTGTTGAATTTGTATACTCCAGTTAACGAGTTTGAAGAAAGAGTCTCTGTGTCATTTATTCGTACTATACAGGTAAGATCTCCCAGGCTTTCTTTTGCTTTGATTCACCAACACAGTCGTTTGAATGGAAATTTTATAATTTATTGAAGGGTAATGCAGTTTTTATTATAATTATTTTATCTCATTTTTATAGTGCATTAACTTTCTTGATAACACCTTATTGGAAAAATGAAGTGATTTTAAAACAAATATAAATATTCTTCATTAGTTGAGGATTTTTGGTAGAATTTTGTCAAAAAAAATCTTTATAGATTCAAAGAATTGATGCTCTGTTTTTTTGTTTTTCTTTTTTTAATCTTCTCAGATGCGTTTACGAGACAGGAAAGACTCTCCTCAGCTGCTCATGGATGCTAAACACATCTTTCCTGTCACCTTTCCTTTTAACCCATCTTCCCTTGCACTAGAAACCATCCAGATTCCAGCCAGCCTGGGCCTGGGATTCATATCACGGGTCTGAAAGTGATATCAAGGAAAATATTGACAATACAATACTTGCCTGAAATAACCCATTATTTCAAGTGAGGTACTGAAAACACATTTTAAAAGAGATAGTACTTATTATCTCCCAAACAAGGGGTTATTGACTGGAACTCCCCCTAGAATACTTTTCATCATCTTGGAAAGAAAGATAGGCTCCTTTGTGCTGTGTTACCTTTTAACAACACTCATCCTTGATCAGTTAGGTATCTGCAGTTGACGTGCAGGTGAATGATGGAAGGAAGGAAAAAATTGTGTCTTCAGCTGCCAGCATTTATTTTAAATCCTTATCACTGCATCTAAATGATATCAAAAACCTAAATTCCAGATATGAATATGAGCTGTTGTTAGAAAGGTACCAATAAGGAACCTCCTGTGTGCTAACCAGAAGAATTGAAAGAAAAATCATCACTGAGTACATATCATACCAGTTTAGGAATCAATTACGTTGCTACTGTCCAACTGGAACAAAGAAATAAACTGGCAATATGTAAAGTAACTGGCCAAGTAGCTCCCTTCTATGTGTCACTATGATGTAGAGATACTAAGAGAATGTTGGTTTGCTATAGAGCATGGAAGTCCGTTTGTACCATAGTTTACTGAGCATTTTAAATTGCTGCTACATACTATGTTCTTTAAAATGTAAGCGATATTCATATTAGGCACTACGATAATAAGCTTCTCTTTTATCAACTCTGTTTACAGTTCAATCAGATCAGTTTTAACTGGATTATGTGCACATAGCTGCAGATTCACCTGCACAAGTAGCAGACACTGGGAAGTCATGTAGTAATATGACACAATGTTTGACATTTAGGGATAGGATTAGGCAAAGTGGCTATTGTTGATGTCCTTTATTCAGGATGTGTTACATTGATGTGCTCATTAATTTTCCCTGGGCACATATCACATCAGGGTACAGTGTTCTGTGAAGTGACCTATTTTTAGTTATCAGATCTGCTTCCTGCAGTGCATATTTTCAACCTTGACAGGTTTTCTTTCTTCTTAATTTATTAAGAATTAATGTCAGTCAATATCTAGAGAGGATTGTCAGAATATTCATGATTTAGGTCTTGAAATCTTAATTATTTTATAAATTATGCAAAAGAAAGTATATAACAAATAATTACGATTCCATTTTTTAGGCTTTGCAACTTCTATAAATGTTCTCAATACCACTAGATACTTTAAAGAGCATCATATTAGAAATACATTGACCTATATAAAAATATAAGGAGATTGCTGAATTTTACAGAGGATTTGGTTTAATAAGACCCAGATTCTATATGTTTTCATTCTGAAATTCTAATTAAACGTAGTCTCCATTTTTCCTACAAATCTTATACAATAAATGTTTCAGGTTGTGCAAAAGCAAATTCTTAGCTTTCTTTAGAAACTTTGGTTCTGAATTACAATCATAGATTTATATAAATTAACTATTAGATGATCTATAAAAAAGACATCTTATTAAAATATGTGCAATATTATAAATGCAAGTAAAACATTTTCAAATCAGTGATAAATATTGCTATTAAAAGATAAATTCTGTCTGTTAACTTATTTGGGCCTCAAATTCCTCATTTATTCAGTGAGAGTGTTAGACAGCTGGTTCTTAAGGTCCCTTCCACATCTGAAGTTCTCTCCTCACCGTACCTGAACCACAGAGAAGTGAGATGCAGGTACTCAGTAAGGTTACCCTCCAATGGAAAGACTAGTGTTTGGTGCCTGTTAATTTTGAGGGATTAATAAAATGTAAAATCACAGGTTTGTGTAGCTGTAATCTTTCTTAAATGTACATGATTTATGTACATGCTTTTTCAAAGTTAATGAGTTTAGGTAGTTTTTATTGAATTGTGCACTGCTGTATTCAGTTTGGATACATTTATTCATTTGCAAAACCAAGAAAAATACTAACTCAATCCTATTTTCCCTGGTTGTCAATGTGGTTTTCAATGAACTGTTGAAACCACGTGGTTAGTACTGAATCTGTCAGAGTCTTAAGAACATAGATGGGACTTGGGTGGGAGAGATGCTCCAAAAAATGCCACCATGATTGTAGGCTCTCCCCCTCAGACCTAGAAATCCTCCCAGGCCCTTTCCCAGCTCAGTCCTGTGTAGCATGTCCCGTACACACCCTGAGTCTTGTCAGGTCTTCAGGATCACACTCTAGCTTCCACTGCCACTGCAGCCCTTTATCTTTCCTGCAGACAGCTCATATCCTGAAGCATGTGTTGTCTGGGCCTTTCTCTCTCTCCTGTCTTCCATCTTCCTGCTGCAAAGTGCTGGAGCCTCTGTTCCACACCTGGGCCAGAGTCTCTCCTGTTCAGGGATGGCCACACAAAGATTATGATATTTCAGGGCTCCAACTTCCTCCAAGGCCTATCTAAAACCCCAGAAGCGGATCTGAATTAATTTCTCTTAGTGGTCTAAAGATCTTTGGTCATAACAGAAATACCTTACAACCAGGGAACCTCAAGTCCTGGTAAGTCATTCTGTGTCCTACTTTCTTGAGGATGCAGGAATATTCTGCTGACTGTGGGTATCCTTGGCCTCTGAGGACTGCTCACCTTTCCCTTTGTCCATCCACACTTTCTCACCCAGCTTCAAACACACCTGCACCAGCCCTCCACTCCGTCCACCCACTCATTTATCTGCTCACTCTGTCCCTTCCTTCAGCCACATCCTGTGTCCCATCGCCTGTCCATTCACCTGCTCTGACTCTTTTGAAGGCTGTGGGTGAAGGCAGTCCTCAGTTGCCCCACTGGCCTGCATGGGGGCTACCCTTCAGGCCACTCTTTGCATGAGTTCTTGCTGTTCTCACTTCTCTGCAGTACGATCTTTAGCATTATCACTAATTTGCTTTTTCATAATTCCTCTATGACATACAATAGGAATTCAAAGAAAGAATTATTTGAGAAAGCAACAGTTCATTGTTTTAATAGCCCCTTCTCAATAGTCTCCTCCCCACTCACTGTACAGAGAAACTCAGCTCACACCTTGGAAAGCAAAGCTGAAAACTTAGAAGCAGTTTCCCTTCTTGTAGCTTTTCTTAGGTTAAGGCTTTGCTCTGCCTGAGAGTAACTATAATGAAGGGGAAAGATGAGTATGGGGTAAACTCCATGAAGTGTAGCTTCATTATTCCTTTGGAAGTTGTGAAAGTGCACCTGACACTTCTTTCATCAATTGCAAAAGTACAACAATATATATTCCAAAGCCAACTGATAGGAGATTTGGGGATTCGGGCCAGTTTGTGTCATTTACTTTACTATTTCCTTCATTTTAATGGATAATTGAGAGTTGTCTCTTTCTGAGTAAGTGATTACGTATAATATAGATCAAATCTTTTAATAACAGTGGCAGAGGCCGTGAAAATATTTTATTAGAATTTCAGTATAGTGATTGTTGTGAGAAATGACTTCCCTGGTAACCCTAGGTAAAAGGGCATCTGGCACCATCCTGAGATGTCCTCATATTCTCTCTCTCTCTCTTTCTCTCTCTCTCTCTCTTTCTTACACACACACACAGAGTCTTCAGTATCTTCAACTATTTAGAATAAAACAGAAAGCAAAATGTCATGTGTGGCCCTTCAGTTCTCCTGGTGAAAGGTAATGTAGAGACAGTACCTTGTGTCTGGCTATGCTTCACTTCAGCCTTTCTCTGTTACCTCATTGTGTCCTCACAGCAGCCCTAGAAGGTAGAAGGGCAGCTACTACAGTCCTTAGCTGATGATAATTTGAGAGAGAGATAAGGGCAGTGACTTGCCTGAGGTCACTCAGCCCTCCAGCTGTGCTGTCTTCCCATATGCAGCAGTGGCACTGAGGGCACATGCAGGGCAGGAGACTTTAGAAAGTCCTGAGGTTCCATTCTGCTTCTCCTGGTACCTGTGGGGTGCCCCAGTCCAGCAAGAGGTGCTCCTTTTCCTTATTAGAGTTGGCAACTGGCATATGGGAGGTGAGGAAATGATGGGTACCAAGTTCTTGGTGCTAATCAGATGGGGTGCCTTGTGGTTTCCTCTTTGTTGTAGTTACCTGCTATAACTAGGTTTGGCTTTTGTAATGAATCAGTGCCCCCCTGGAGGGTACAGTACTCTGTTTTGGTCATTAATTAGTAGCAAGCTCTCCCAGCCTGACAAGAAGCGGTGAGAGCCTCCCAAAAGGAAAGAGGAAGGTCGCTCTCAACACACAGACCTCAGAGTCACTGTCAGAGCCACCAGGGGAGCTGTGCAGCCTGCAGAGAACCTGCAGCTGCAGGCCAAGCCCCTGGGTCCCTTCTGAGGGCTGTCTCCCAGGCAGGCCATACATAAGTCAGTGTGTAGTTGAACATGACGGTGTGTGCATGCTTCCAGTGTTGGATTTGGAGCCAAGAGGTGTGCTGTGTGCATGTGTGTTAGAGAGGCTCAGTGTATGGGTAAGTGCATTGTGATTTCTTCTCAGGCTGTGCTGTGAGGGCCGCCTTAACCCCTGCTCCCTTCCCTCCTAGAGCTGCCTTAAGTTCTCTGGAACTTCTCCTCTGTAAGGGGATGTCTTGCCTGGAAAGGATATCTTGCCCTGTTTCTCAAGGTGTTGTGAGGGTTTGGGTGGGTGCGGCCTCCTTTCTTCCTTCGTTCCCTTTCTGCATGACCCTCCCCTCCTGTTACTTCTCCTTCCTTTCTTTTCTCTCATTTCCAAACAGGTATTAGAACTGTGAGGCAGCAGCAATCTCAGAGCCAATGAAATGTGGTCTGAGAGAGTGTTTCCTGAGGTTAGGGGGCTCTGTGTTACAATTAAGCAAATGAATATATGGAAGAAATATAGAGATAAGTTAGATTCTTGGTAATATTTAAATGGCTTGTTTTCCACTGAACTGACCTGTGCTTAGTAAAGCTAAAAGGTATAACTGTAAAATCTTTCATGGACATTCATTAAAAAAAATTTTGAGAACCCTTTACGCATATCAAAGATGGAGTGAAAATAGGAAAGAGTGCTATAAGTTCTAATTCATTGTATTCAGTATTACCCTAAATTAAGTGAACCTGAGGTTACAGTACATTTCTCAATAGATCAGGAACTGAAAAGCACTATGTAAAATATCTGCCAAAATGCATTTTATACATTTTTTTTTAATTTTATAATTTGGTTTAGCTAAAATGTTCATTAGCTCAATTTAATGGGTGTTATTAGATTCACTAAGATGACTGAAAATGACTAACATTTCCTTAGTATTGTAATGTTTCTTGAAATATTTGAAAGAAAAAATGTTTTTTGAGTTGAATCTGGTATGTGCAATTCAGTGCTTGGTAGGTCAGTACATTCTCATGGCATTTTTCAGAGTCAGTAGTTTTAAATATTGTCATTATATGTTATAAAAACTTGGTCGACATTTCAGGCTCTCTACATGAGCCATTTAATTTTATCCAACATATGCTGAATTTTTCCTTTAAATGTGGGTATGTGTGTTATAATTTATGATTCCTAGTTATGTATTTTTGTGGAACACTGGAGTTAGGTTGATTTTCATGTGTCCTTGGAAAATTTAAATTGCTCTAACAGTGTTGCACAGAAATGAGCTTATGACATTTGATATATTGTATTTTGATTACTAACTTTAATTGTTAACTTACTGTGAAATGGATATGCCTTTTAACTACAATGACATTGAACATTGCCCATTGCAGTTTTTCAAATGTTTTCCCTTGTTGGATCTGGAAAAGAAATTCTACTCTGATCTACATAGAAAAACATGATATAGTTAATGTTTGAAAAGTTCTTAGGTAAAATAGTCATCCATTAAAAATCAAAAGTAGGGCTTCCCTGGTGGTGCAGTGGTTGAGAGTCCACCTGCCAATGCAGGGGACGCGGGTTTGTGCCCCGGTCCGGGAAGATCCCACATGCCGTGGAGCGGCTGGGCCCGTGAGCCATGGCCGCTGAGCCTGCGCGTCCGGAGCCTGTGCTCCGCAACGGGAGAGGCCACAACAGTGAGAGGCCCGCGTACCGCCAAAAAAACCAAAAAAACAAAAAACAAAAGCAAAAGCACTGAGAAGTGAAACGCATTATCAACCAATACTACTTTTAAACTAAACCTACCCCAGCATATCTCACATGGAATTTTAAAGAATAAGTTAATAATACACCTCATATCAACAAAAGCCTTTGAAACATGGATTTTCACCAGATATCACCTAGTGCTAAGATGAAAACCAAAACAATATCAGATTGACATTTATGCTCTAAATTTGTAGTTGTCTAATGTTGTACTTAGTAAATGTGCATCACTAATGCTGTATTCTCCTAGATATTATAGAAAATTGTTCAAATAAAGATATGGATATAAAGGATTTTTGGTAGTGTCTTATAAATAAACCCACAGCACATACACCAACGTAGATCACATTTGGGACTATAAAACACACCTTTAAAATTTAAAAGAATAGAATTAAACTAGAAATTAGTGACACAAAAATAGCTGGAAAATCCCAGAATACTTGGAGATTAAACAACACACTTCTAAATAACACATGTATCAAAGAAGAAATTGCTAGAGAAATTTTAAAATATTTTGAAGTAAATATAAATGAATATACAGCTTAAAATTTCTGGGACGCAGGGAAAGCAGTACTTAAAGAGAAATTTATAGCATTGAATGCATGTATTAGAAAACAAGAAAGACCTAAAATCAGTCTTCTAAGTTTCCACTTTAGGAAACTAAGAAAAGAAGAGAAAATTAAATACAAAGTAAGCAGAAGAAAAGAAATAATAAAAATTAGAGCAGAAATCAATGAAATTGAGGACGGGAAATTAATAGAGAAAATCAATTAAACCAAAAGCTGGTTCTTTTTAAAGATCAATAAAATTGATAAGCCTCTAACCAGGCTTACTAAGAAAAGGAAAGAGATGACATGTAGTAGATTGGTGGTTGCTCAGGGCTGGGAGGAAGAGAGGAAATGAGGGGATAGGGAGCAATAACTAAAGAGCAAGGAGTTTCTTTTTGAGATGATGAAAATGTTTTAAAATTGACTGTGCTGATAGTTTAACATATCTGTGAATATATTAAAAAACACTGAGTTATATACTTTAAATGGGTGAAGTGTATGATATGAGAATTGTATCTCAATAAAACTATTTTTGAGTAAACTTGTGACCTCTAATATGGCAGACTGAAGAGCTCAGCAAATTCTCCCCTCAAAAAAGCAAGGACAGGGGCTTCCCTGGTGGTGCAGTGGTTAAGAATCCACCTGCCAGTGCATGGGACATGGGTTCGAGCCCTGGTCCAGGAAGATCCCACATGCTGCAGAGCAGCTAAGCCCATGTGCCACAACTACTGATCCTGTGCTCTAGAGCCCGTGAGCCACAACTACTGAGCCCAAGTGCTACAACTACTGAAGCCCACGCACTCTAGGGCCCATGCTCTGCAGCAAAGAGAAGCCACTGCAGTGAGAAGCCCGTGCACTTCAACAAAGAGTAGCCCCTGCTCGCCATAACTAGAGAAAGCCCGTGCACAGAAACGAAGACCCAATGCAGCCAAAAATAAGTAAATAAATAAATTTATTAAAAAAAAAAAAAACCAAGGAGATGAAAGACCCATATGCTGAAAACTATAAAACATTGATAAAGGAAATTGAAGATGATTCAAAGAAATGGAAAGATATCCCATGCTCTTGGGTTGGAAGAATTAATATTGTTAAAATGGCCATACTATCCAGAGCAATCTACAGACTTAGATAGCAATCCCTATCAAAATACTTATGACATTTTTCAAAGAACTAGGACAAATAATCCTAAAGTTTATAGGGAACCACGAAGACCCAGAACTGCCAAAGCAATCCTGAGGAAAAAGAACAAAGCTGGAAGCATAACCCTCCCAGACTTCAGACAATACTACAAAGCTACAGTAATCAAAACAGTGTGGCACTGGCACAAAAACAGATATATAGCTCAGTGGAACAGAATAGAAGGCCCAGAAATAAACCCACACACCTACCTACAAAAAAGGGGGCAAGAACATACAATGGAGAAAAGAGCCTCTTCAACAAGTGGTATTGGGAAAGCTGGACAGCTACATGTAAATCAATGAAATTAGAACACTCTCTCACACCATATGCAAAAATAAACTCCAAATGGTTTAAAGACCTAAATATAAGACATGACACCATAAAACTCCCAGAAGAGAACATAGGCAAAACATCCTTGGACATAAATCATAGCAAAATTTTCTTAGCTCAGTTTCCCAAGGCAAAAGAAATAAAAGCAAAAATAAATGGGGCCTAATCAGACTTGAAAGCTTTTTCATAGCAAAGGAAACCATCATCAAAACAAAAAGGCACCTATGGAATGGGACAAAATATTTGCAAATGCTATAACCAACAAGGGGTTAATATCTAAAATATACAAGCAGCTCACATAACTCAATACCGAAAAAACAATCCACTTAAAAATGGGCAGAAGGGGGGAGCTTCAAGATGGCAGAAGAATAAGACACAGAGATCACCTTCCTCCTGACAGATACATCAGAAATACATCTACATGTGGAACAATTCCTACAGAACACCTACTGAATGCTGGCAGAAGACCTCAGACCTCCCAAAAGGCAAGAAACTCCCCCACGTACCTGGGTAGGGCAAAAGAAAAAAGAAAAAACAGAGACAAAGAATAGGGACGGGACCTGCACCATTGGGAGGGAGCTGTGAAGAAGGAAAGGTTTCCACACATTGGGAAGGCCCTTCACGGGCGGAGACTACAGGTGGCAGAGGCGGGAAGCTTCAGAGCCATGGAGGAGAGCGCAGCAACAGGGCTGCAGAGGGCAAGGCAGAGAGATTCCCGCACAGAGGATCAGTGCCGACCACCACTCACCAGCTCTAGAGGCTTGTCTGCTCACCCGTTGGGACAGGTGGGGGCTGGGAGCTGAGGCTCGGGCTTCGGAGGTCGGATCCCAGGGAGAGGACTGGGGTTGGCTGCATGAACACAGACTGAAGGGGGCTAGTGCACCACGGCTGGCCGGGAGGTAGTCCGGGAAAAAGTCTGGAGTTGCTGAAGAGGCAAGAGACTTTTTCTTGCCTCTTTGTTTCCTGGTGCACGAGGAGAGCAGATTAAGAGCACTGCTTAAAGGAACTCCAGAGATGGGTGCAAGCTGCGGCTATCAGCGCGGACCCCAGAGACGGGCATGGGACACTAAGGCTGCTGCTGCAGCCAGCAAGAAGCCTGTGTGCAAGCACAGGTCACTATCCACACCTCCCCTCCCGGAAGCCTGTGCAGCCCGCCGCTGCCAGGGTCCCGTGATCCAGGGACAACTTCCCCAGGAGAACACACAGTGCGCCTCAGGCTGGTGCAACGTGACACTGGCCTCTGCCCCTGCAGGCTCAACCGGCACTCCATACCCCTCCCTCCCCCCGGCCCGAGTGAGCCAGAGCCCCCGAATCAGCTGCTCCTTTAACCCCGTCCTGTCTGAGGAAAGGACAGACACCCTCAGGCGACCTACACGCAGAGGTGGGGCCAATCCAAAGCTGAACCCCAGGAGCTGTGCGAACAAAGAGAAAGGGAAATCTCTCCCAGCAGCCTCAGGAGAGCAGGTTAAATCTCCACAGTCAACATGATGTACGCTGCATCTGTGGAATACCTGAATAGACAACAATCATCCCAAATTGTGGAGGTGGACTTTGGGAGCAACGATATATATATTTTTTCCCCTTCTTCTCTTTTTGTGAGTGTGTATGTGTATGCTTCCGTGTGTGATTTTGTCTATATAGCTTTGCTTTTGCCATTTGTCCTAGGGTTCTGTCTGTCCGTTTTTTTGTTTTTTGGGTTTTTCTAGTATAGTTGTTAGCACTTGTTATCATTGGTGGATTTGTTTTTTGGTTTGGTTGCTCTCTTTCTTTTTTTTTTATTACTTAAAAAAATTTTAATAATTATTTCTTATTTTAATAACTATTTTATTTTATCTTCTTGTTTCTTTCTTTCTTTTTCTCCCTTTTATCCTGAGCCGTGTGGATGACAGGCTCTTGGTGTTCCAGCCAGGCGTCAGGGCTGTGCCTCTGAGGTGGGAGAGCCAAGTTCGGGAGGTTGGTCCACAAGAGACCTCCCAGCTCCATGTACTATCAAACGGTGAAAATCTCCCAGAGATCTCCATCTCAACACCAAGACCCAGCTCCACTCAAAGACCAGCAAGCTACAGTGCTGGACACCCTATGCCAAACAGCTAGCAAGACAGGAACACAACCCCATCCATTAGCAGAGAAGCTGCCTAAAATCATAATAAGGTCACAGACACCCCAAAACACACCACCAGACGTGGACCTGCCCACCAGAAAGACAAGATCCAGCCTCATCCACCAGAACACAGGCACTAGTCCCCTCCACCAGGAAGCCTACACAACCCACTGAACCAACCTTAGCCACTAGGGACAGACACCAAAAACAATGGAAACTATGAACCTGCAGCCTGCGAAAAGGAGACCCCAAGCACAGTAAGTTAAGCAAAATGAGAAGATAGAGAAACACACAGCAGATGAAGGAGCAAGGCAAAAGCCCACCAGACCTAAGAAATGAAGAAATAGGCAGTCTACCTGAAAAAGAATTCAGAATAATGATAGTAAAGATGATCCAAAATCTTGGAAATAGAATAGAGAAAATAAAAGAAACGTTTAACAAGGACCTAGAAGAACTAAAGAGCAAACAAACAGTGATGAACAACACAATAAATGAAATTAAAAATTCTCTAGAAGGGATCAGTAGCAGAATAACTGAGGCAGAAGAACGGTTAAGTGACCTGGAAGATAAAAGAGTGGAAATAACTACTGCAGAGCAGAATAAAGAAAAAAGAGTAAAAATAATTGAGGACAGTCTCAGAGACCTCTGGGGAAACATTGAACACACCAACATCCGAATTATAGGGGTCCCAGAAGAAGAAGAGAAAAAGAAAGGGACTGAGAAAATATTTGAAGAGATTATAGTTGAAAACTTCCCTAATACGGGAAAGGAAATAGTTAATCAAGACCAGGAAGCACAGAGTCCCATACAGGATAAATCCAAGGAGAAACATGCCAAGACACATATTAGTCCTATCAAACTATCAAAAATTAAATACACAGAAAAAATATTAAAAGCAGCAAGGAAAAACAACAAATAACACACAAGGGGATCCCCATAAGGTTAACAGCTGATCTTTCAGCAGAAACTCTGCAAGCCAGAAGGGAATGGCAGCACATATTTAAAGTGATGAAGGAGAAAAACCTACAACCAAGATTACTCTACAAGGATCTATGAGCAAGGATCTCATTCAGCTTTGATGGAGAAATTAAAACCTTTACAGACAAGCAAAAGCTAAGAGAATTCAGCACCACCA